TGTAGGTTTTATAGATGTTTTGTATTAATTATTTTTGATAAACATTTCTTAAACTCTTCACACACAGAGTCTCACGTTAAAAACACTTTGATAATAGTTTGGTTTAGTTTAGTTTTTATAATTCATTAATAAAGTAATTTATTAATAGTAACAAAATAGTTCGATCTTTTGGCTCAGCAGAGCTCCTATCCTGTTTGTAGATCCAAGTTTTATCTCCTTCACATTTGTCTGACTTTTATCTGCTCAGTAAGTCAAACACACAGACAGACAGTTAGACAGACACACCTCTGAATAGACAAGTATGTTTTTTTATGTTCATGTATAATCTCTAAACAGAAGTATATTTTCAGTCGTTGTACAGCCTGTACCAACAAAGACTGAAAACACAAAGTTTTATTGTGAAATTTACGAGGAAGGAAAATAGTTTAGTTAATTTTATGTTTTTGTAAATCTGGATGTAAAACATCGATATTTTCTCGTCAACTCGTCATTTTGAAAAGTTTTCAATTAAGAAATAATAAAAACTGTCTTGATGACGTGCTCTGTGATGTTTTTTTTCATAGGATGGTAGGGGGAAGGTCCCGCCTTATTCGCTTCTGATTGGCTGTGAAATGTAATCACACGCTTAAGCCGAGCGCGAGCTGTCGGCTCTGTACATCGAACAGAACATTATTATAATTCTGAATCTCCTAACCCTAACCCAGGATTTCCGATCTGGAACGGCAGTGATTTGCTGTCAAATTTCTTGGCAGAGTACGGACAGCAGGAATCACGAAATCTCACAAGAACCCGCAGTTCACGTGAAATCACGCCAAACAAGTTGCCACATAGACATATAAGCAGTAGATTTTGTCCTTCCAGTGGAGGAAATCTACTTCTAGACTTCTAGAATCAGCATCTCCTCATCCATGGTGTCATCGGGGTGAAATGACGTCTAAAAACCTTTCACTTGTTCGTCTCCGCCCGTTTGCATGGTGTGAAATACGATCCTCCTGAAACACGGAGTGTTTTATTTTGTAAAGAAGCCGGATGTTTTATTTTGTGTCTGTGCCCGACTTCCTTTCCAGCACGGGTTAATCTGTGCTGAATTTATCCGCCATGCTCCGGCGTCCAGAAAAAATAGAACTCTTGTGATCAGCTGAGGAGTCCGGCGATCCGCAGAGGAACGGAAAGAAGTCGGTGTAAATCGACACGTTAACTTGAATGGTTACGATCAGCTACGATCGGAGGATACGACCGTTTAGACGTTCCAGATGCAGCTGAAACTGGGGGTAACCCTAACTCTAACCCAAAACCGACAGGAGATGACGTTTCACAGCTATGAGAAATAACCAATCAGAGCCCAGCACTTCTAGCCAATCAGAGGCGAAGGAGGCGGGACCTTCCCCTACCATGTTACAAAAAAAATCCTGCGTCCGGTGCTGACGTGCCACAGAGGCGCTCGTATTGTTCGTGGTTATGTTTAAGACAGGCGGGGTTTGTGGGTTACGGACGTCATTATTAAAAAAGGAACATGAGATCCTTCTCTGACTCATTTGGAGTCAAACATGGTGGAAAAAGAAATAAAATCCTTGTCCTATAGTCAAACTAACCGCGCTCACTGGCAGCCTCTCCGCCGTTGGGCCGCCCAAACACACAAACCGAGCATCCCTCCTTTTTGTGTTGACAGAGCGGAAGAAAGATGGCGGCGCTGTCAGTTCAGACCGTAAACGGACCGGAGAGTCAGCGACTAAACCCTGAAGACTCTGAGGAAGAAGAAGAAGAAGACCAAGAACACGTCCAGGACCTGGTGACTGACCCGGAGGAGGACTCGGTGATGGACTCGGTGATAGAGTTCCTGCTCACAGAGGTCGGCAACGACCCGAAGAACCTGCAGAAGGCGGAGGAGCTTCTGGAGAGGCTGAGAGAGGAGAACACCGAGCTGGAGGAGCAGGTGAGACACCTGAGTCCACAACACATGGAGGAAAAAACACACACATCTGCAAACGGCTTCAATATGTCAGGAGGAAAACACATGAGTAACGTTTAAAACACACACCAAGAGAGAGATCTTAATGAAGACATACTGACCTGTTTAAATTGATGCTTACCTTTCTGGCACTCAGGAGCATTAACATCTTTGTGTTTAAAGAGTTTTCTTTTCTGTTTGTGTGTTTTGTTGATCGTGTGTCAGGAATGAAGTTACTGTCATTCATTATAAATAAAGGAATCCTCTGAACCTCAATCATCTCTCTCTCTCTCTCTCTCTTTCAGGTGTTGTCTGTCTCCAGCTCTGTCCCTCCAAAGGTCTTAGAGGCTTTAACAGCTGCAAAAGACGCCAAACGTTCCCTGGATCACCTGCTGCAGAGAGAGCGCTGCGTCTCCAACACACTGCAGCAGGTACACACACCTGTACAGACACACTGCAGCAGGTACACACACCTGTACAGACACACTGAAGCAGGTACACACACCTGTACAGACACACTGCAGCAGGTACACACACCTGTACAGACACACTGCAGCAGGTACACACACCTGTACAGACACACTGCAGCAGGTACACACACCTGTACAGACACACTGAAGCAGGTACACACACCTGTACAGACACACTGCAGCAGTTCTTTTGAAGTGTGCTGAGTTGTCATTGGTCAGAGTATGCAGCAAAGTCAACAGAGATGTTCTGATTTGGTCCTGTTAATAAAAAGTGTCTGAATTTTTTGTTGTAGTTTTATTTTGTAGGAAGAAACTGTTTTATGGTCTTCTATTTTAAGAATAAGATGTTTTCAGTCTTATTTTGTAGGAATAAAATGTTTTCCGACCTTTATTTTGAAGGAATAAGATGTTTTCAGTCTAATTTTGTAAGAATAAAACGTTGTCTGACCTTTATTTTGTAGGAATGAATGTGTTCAGTCTTTTATTTTGTAGGAATAAGATGTTTTCAGTCTAATTTTGTAAGAATAAAACGTTGTCTGACCTTTATTTTGTAGGAATAAATGTGTTCAGTCTTTTATTTTGTAGGAAAAAGGTGTTTTCAGTCTTATTTTGTAAGAATAAAATGTTGTCCGACCTTTATTTTGTAGGAATAAATGTGTTCAGTCTTTTATTTTGTAGGAATAAAACGTTTTTTAGACCTTTATTTTGTAGGACCAAAAACGTGTTCAGTCTTTTATTTTGAAGGAATTAAACGTTTTCAGTCTTTTATTTTGTAGGAATAAGATGTTTTTAGTCTTATTTTGTGAGAATAAAATGTTGGCCGACCTTTATTTTGTAGGAATAAAATATTTTTAGTCTTTTATTTTGTAGGAGTACACTGAGTTGCTCTCTGACAGCTGTCCGTTTGTCTGTATTTCCTGTCTCAGCACCTTCAGGGGGTGCAGCCGTGGATGGATAACCTCAGCCAGACTCTGAACCAGATCGACACCATAGAGCGCCACATGAAGTACCTGAGGGTCCTCCAACACGTGGAGGAGCTCAGGTAACGCACCTGGAGGGGATCCTGATCTGAAGTTCACCTGACTGATTCAGTGATGAAGATGATGATGTTCATGTGGTGCGTTGTTTCTCTGCAGCGCAGCGGTCCAGCAGTGTCTGATGACCAGCAGCGTGTGGGAGGCCATTCGGGCCGTGGACAACATGGCCGCTCTGGATGCTGGACTTAACGAGTCCGGCTGCTCTCACCTGAGAAACTTTGTGAGGGAAACACTCCTCTTCTGGCACAAAATCATCAAGGACCGCCTCTCCAGGTAACCCCGCCCCCTTCCCCAAACACACCCATACACACAGCTGTGAGTGAACACAGTGAGAATAACACACCTGTCTCACCTGTTACCCGTTTACAGTGACTTTGAGAAGGTCCTGACTCAGCTCCATTGGCCGATCATTGCTCCTCCCACTCAGTCGCTGACCCCAACCGCCAACGGTCAGGAGATTCACAGCCAGCTGGAGCTGCTGGTCACACAGCTGCTGGCTCTGCAGACCTCGTATCCTTTACCTGTAACACACCTGTAACTCACCTGTACACACCTGTACACACCTGTAACACACCTGTACTCACCTGTAACACACCTGTACACACCTGTAACACACCTGTACACACCTGTAACACACCTGTACACACATGTACACACCTGTAACACACCTGTAACACACCTGTACACACCTGTACACACCTGTAACACACCTGTAACACACCTGTAACACACCTGTACACACCTGTAACACACCTGTACACACCTGTAACACACCTGTAACACACCTGTAACACACATGTAACACACCTGTGTACACATGTAACACACCTGTAACACACCTGTAACACACCTGTACACACCTGTAACACACCTGTAACACACCTGTACACATGTAACACACCTGTAACACACCTGTAACACACCTGTAACACACCTGTACACACCTGTACACACCTGTAACACACCTGTACACACCTGTACACACCTGTAACACACCTGTACACACCTGTACACACCTGTACCACACCTGTTCACACCTGTGTACACATGTAACACACCTGTACACACCTGTAGCACACCTGTACACACCTGTAACACACCTGTACTCACCTGTAACACACATGTAACACACCTGTGTACACATGTAACACACCTGTACACACCTGTAACACACCCATAACACACCTGTAACACACCTGTAACACACCTGTACACACCTGTGTACACATGTAACACACCTGTACACACCTGTAGCACACCTGTACACACCTGTAACACACCTGTACCTTTGATCATGATGACTCTTATTGAGGAACTGTGAGATTTAAAGGAGGAGGTTCAGGACCCCAGTCAGGAGCAGTGTTATTGTAATGACCTGAATCTGTGTTAGAGGGCGCTGTGCTCCGGGTTTCTTCTTTAACTCTCCTGGCAGTGATGACCTCATCTCCCAGCGTGCTTCAGTCTCCTCTTCAGGCGCTGGAAACTCAGCCACACCCCACTCAAAGGCCCCGCCCCTCTGTCTGCCTATCCAAATCATGCTGCAGCCGCTCAGCAGGAGGTTCAGATACCATTTCTATGGCAACCGACAGACCAACACGCTCGGCAAGGTGTCTGCGCCGCACACAAACACACCCAGACGGACCTCAGAGTTTTATTCATTCATTCATGTGTTACTCTGTGTTTTTCAGCCCGAGTGGTACCTGACCCAGGTTCTGATGTGGATCAGTCACAGCTCGACTTTCATGGAGGAAAAAATTCAGCCAATCCTGGACCGGGCCGGAGCCTCCATCAGCGCGCTGGTCAGAACCAACAGGGTTAAATTAAACAACCAGCAACGACTACAGGGTTTATTTTCATGTACAGATAATAACAACAGGGTTTAATTAAACAGGATCAACAGAGTCTGAGGTTTAAAGGGATATCATCATCATCATCATCATCGTCGTCGCAGTCTGCTCTCATGAAGATGAAGCTGTGTGTCTCTGTCTCAGCTAAATACACAGGTGGTGCTGTGTGTGTTTCTGTCCAGGTGGAGCTGTGTCGGGGTCTGCTGTCTCTGGTGCAGGACAAGGTGGTGAGCGACGCCAACAGGCTGCTGTATGAGGACGCTCTCTTCTGCCACCTGGTGGAGGAGGTGCTGCAGTTTGAGAAGGAGCTGAGGACCAACCACTCCTACCCCGCAGCGATGCCCGGTCTGCTCCACCTGCTGCTGGAGGACGCCATCCTGCAGAAGTGGCTCACTGTGGAGAAGAGGAGTGAGTGTGGAGACCGCACACAGACAGACACAGACACAGACACACACAGACACACACAGACACACACACAGACAGACCAAAAATAAAACTCCATTATTAAAGTATTAATTAGTTTTGCATTAAATTGCAGGTGAAGTCTTTATAAGATTATTTGAATATTCTTTTATTAACCTCTAGTTGCCCTGGAGTCATTAAAGTGTTATATTGTCATTTATTTCTAATACATTCTGTTTGTGTAAGTAAGTGAGTTAATATAATTAATACAAATAATTTTAAATTTATCAGACTTTATTTGTTTTATAGTCTGTTATTTTATAATCAGACAGAGTATTTTAAAAGTATTTTTGAAAGTTTTCTGGAAGTATTTTTAAAAGTTTTTTGAAAGTATTTTTGAAAGTATGTTAAAGTACTTTTAAAGTATTTTAAAGTATTTTTTTTTCATATAACCTGCATTAACATTTACATATGTGAGTAAAAATATTCTATATAATCTGTACGTCACGGTTCATGTGGAGTTTATGTTAAATAATATTATGATGTTAATGTAAATGAACTTGTATGTTTCAGTGGCGGTGGAGAAGATGGACGCCATGCTGTCAGCAGACGGGGCGTGGAGCTCTCAGTATAAAGACATCAGCGATTTAGACGAACTGAAGGCTCCTGACTGTGCTGAGACCTTCATGACTCTGCTGCAGGTGATCACAGGTGAGACGCGCTCTGATTGGTCCAATTTCTCATTCTCGTTACTGTGAGGTGAAGGTGAGAACACGCCCACAAAAACAGTGTCTGTGTGTGTTACAGGATCGTCTGTTAGCGTCACTGTTTGATAGATTTATAGATTTTAATATTTATACTTTAATTTCTATTTTCCTGATTTTCACGTTTGTCGTTTTTTGTCCTCAGAGAGATACCGTCCGTTACCGTCTCCGTCTGCTCAGCTCAAGTTTCTGGAGCTGCAGAGAGAGCTGGTGGACGACTTTCGCATTCGACTCACGCAGGTGAAATAAACATTATTTTATTAAAATATAAAGTGACATAAACAGAGAAAGTTACGGCAGACCTTCGTGATTTTCTCTTCATTAGATAATCGGTTTGAAATCTTCTTTTTTAGATGTTTGTGATCGATGTTGAAATCAAAATTATTCAGTCGTCATGGAAAGTAGGATTTAGTTTTGAGTTTGGATCAAATCTTTGAAATATTAGTTTTAATTATTTAATCTGTTTACTGCAAACACCTGAAAACTGAAATGCACCGGTGGTTGAGTCATTTAGATTTGAACTGTAAATGTTTCTCTTGTTTTTTTTTCCCGTGGTCCAGGTGATGAAGGAGGAGTCTCGCTCTCCGCTCAGCGCCCGTTACTGTGCGATCCTGAACGCCGTCAATTATATCTGCACCATCCTGGGAGACTGGGGAGATGACGTGGTGAGTGCAGGAACCAATCCAGACGTCATTTTATTATCTGAATGAACTTAATAAACAGAGAAAAGCTTTATGAATGTATTTTAATTTAGATATAAACAGATTAAACTTTTCCTTCGTTTGTATTATAGAGACGGTCTAGACGCTTTCTTCTCTGACAGGCGTGTTTCCTCGTCTTCGTCTGTAGTTTTTTCTGCAGCTGCAGCAGGCGGCGGTGTCCCTCGGTGAGGAGGAGGGGCTTGGAGGACTGGGCGTGTTGGAGCTGGGTCGGTTGGCGTCCCTGGAAGGTTCCCTGTTTGAGGGACTTCTGTCTCTGCTGGACCGGCTGAAGACGGACATGATGGGACGCCTGCTGGACTGGACCATGAGAGAGATCACAGAGAAGGCCCGGCAGTACTGCAATGACAGGTGAGAGAACCTGCACAGGTAAAACCAGGTGAGAGGTGCTCACAGTCACAGATCCCACCGTCTCACAGAGAGTCTGGATCCTCACCTGAACATCTGACTCTCGATTCACGAAAAAACATTAAAGCTCCTCCCAGATTTTTCATCCCTCGTTTTTTCTGCAGGTGGTTGTCTCTCCCCTCGCAGCAAGACCTGTCCACCATGTCCCTCTCCAGTTCAGCATGTCCCATGATGCTTTGCGTGAGGGACAGGCTGTTGAACCTCCATCAGGTCCTCAGTCTGTCTTTGTTCCAGCTAGCATGGCAAGGACTCGCCGAGCGACTCGACAACTACCTGTACCAGGAGGTGAGACACACCTGACCCGGCGTTTAATATCTTAAATAATGTTAATGTGATTTTATACGGACTAACCCTTTAATTGTCTCACTTCCTGAACACACCTGACCTGGTGTTTTCAGCTCTGCGTTGACCATATTTGGTAGAATGATTGATGAAGTGAATCGTACATGGAGGTGTGTCTCCGCACAGTTTGATAAATCTGGATCATTTTTGGCGTGTGTTAGTTTGAGGGTCGGGCTGTGAAAAAAAACAAAAACATTTGTGAACCAAAAATTCAGATTTCTCATAATCAGACTATTTTTGTTTGATGAACTTTGATAAACAAGAAAACCATCAGCTATTACTGTGTTCATTGAATCAGTAATAATGATAATAATAATAATAATAATAATAATAATAATAATAATAATAATTATTATTATTATTATTATTGTTGTTGTTGTTATTATCATTATTATTATTATCGTCATTTTTGAAAATATTTATAATAATAATGATAATTATAATTATCATTATTATTATTATTATTATTGTTGTTATTGTTATGTTTATTATTATTGTTATATTATTAAAAATAATAAAATGAATAAAAAATAATCATAATAATAAATAATGGTTTGGTCTGTTTTCAGGTGATCCTGTGTAATCACTTCAGTGAGGGCGGTGCGTCTCAGCTTCAGTTTGACATGAGCAGAAATTTGTTTCCTCTGTTTGGACATTACTGCAAGAGACCCGAGAACTTCTTCAAACAGTAAGCCGTGTGTGTGTTTTTGTGTGTTTTGTTTTGGTTTAGTTATCATATCTAATAATGTCGTGTTGTTCCTCCACAGTGTGAAGGAGGCGTGTATCATCCTCTGTCTCAGCGTTGGCTCTGCGATCCTCCTCAGGAACCTCCTGAAGGAGGCGGAGGAGGGAGGGGTCGGGGATCCGTCTCCGGAGTCGGCGCTGAATGAGATCGGGGTTTTCTGTTTGGCCCCATGTGACGTTCTGATTCTGCTAAACCTGCGGGCCTCCTGGCCTGGACAGTGACCCTCTCAGATTTATTTTAATAGTTTATTTTCCCCGATGTGTAATCACAGCAGAATTTTTTGTTTTTCTTTAAACACAAAGTTAAAACTGTTTAAACCTTTAAGTGACGATTTATTTTATCTTCTGTAACATCAGAGAACTAAAACTCATTAAAACTCAGTATGGACCAAACTCTCTGCTGGTGTCACAGACGACGACTGAAGGAGACCACAAAGGGTTAATGACGGATGCTGTTTCAAAGAGGAGGAGGGGGAACTAAAGGACAGAGGAAGGGGAAATAAAGGAGAGAGGAGGCAACTAAAGGAGAGAGGAGAGGAACTAAAGGAGAGTGGAGGGGAATTAAAGGAGAGAGGAGGCAACTAAAGGAGAGAGGAGGGAACTAAAGGAGAGGAAGGGGAATTAAAGGAGAGAGGAGGGAACTAAAGGAGAGAGGAGAGGAACTGAAGGAGAGATATCAATATTTAACATACTATAATATGACATTTCTTTTAATTTCAGAATATAATTTTTTTTTCACATAAAAATTTAAAATTTTTATCATACTATACTTTGGCATTTATGTGTTGACTGATAACTTTTGTGACCACAAAAATATGATTTTTTTTAATCAAAGTATACTATGGCATTTTTTACATACTATACTATGATATTTTTTATCATACTATACAATGGCATTTATTATATATAATATATAATATAAAAATTTTTTAACACTAAAATATATTTTTTTTACATACTATGACATTTGTTTTCATTTCAAAATATGATTTTTTTTCACACTAAAATAGGAATTTTTATTACATACTTTACTATAACATCTGTTTAATACCAATATATGATTTTTTTTTCTACATAAAATTAGAAATTTTTAACGTACTATACCATGACATTTTTATTTTACTTTTCTATGGCATTTATGTTCTGACTAAAATATGAAATTTAAATTTGAATTTTTTTTCACACTCAATTTTGAAAATGTTCATCATACTATACTATGATATTTGTTTTCATTCCAAAACATGAAATTTTTTTTCACTCAAAAATTGGAAAATTTTAAACATACTATGCTATGACATTATTATCATGCTATACTATGGCCTTTTTTTCGTAAGAAAATATTAAACAAATTTTCACACTCAATTTTGAAAATTTTCAACATACTATACTATGACATTTGTTTTCATTCCAAAACATGAAATTTTTTTTCACACAAAAATTTAAACTTTTTATCAAACAACACTGTGGCATTTATGTTTTGATTAAAATATGAATTATTTTATCACAAAAATATGACTTTTTTTATCAAAGTATACAATGACATTTTTTACATCCTATACTATGACATTTTTATCATACTATAATATGGCATTTCTTTCATCCCAAAATATGTATCTTTTACAACAACAATATATCTTTTTACAAACAAAATGTGAAACTATAAACAAACTATACCATGACATTTCTATCATACTATACTGTGGCATTTATTTTCAAACTAAATTATTAAATTTTATTTCAAACTAAAATATAATTTTTTTTGCATACTATACTATAACATTTTTTTATCATACTATACTATGGAATTTTTTTATAGAAAATATGAAAAAATAAATTAACACTATTTCAAAATTTTTCAACATACTTCACTATGACATTTGTTTTTATTCCATAACATGAATTTTTTTTTCACACAAAAATTTAAAATTTTTATCAAACTACACTGTGACATTTTTTTTAATCAAACTATACTATGAAATTTTTTATCATACTATACTACGGCATTCTTTTTTTATTCTAAAATATATAATTTTTTTCACACTAAAATATCAATTTTTCAACTCAAATTCATGAAATGCTGCCAATTCTTACAAAAATACAAACATTAAAAAACACGAAAGCATGATTGTGTACATGTATGTATGTGCGATAGTCTAACCTGGATTCAAAGCTTGAAAACCAGTCAAATTTAATACCTCGTATCATCGGGATTAAGACTTTTTAATACTTTTTAAGGGCCTCAATTTTCACAATTGATTTATCATCTTTTAATACTTCTTAATTAATTATTTTTACTGAGATCAATATCATCATTCACCATCAACCATAACCTGTGTGGTCTTCTGACTGGTTCCCAAAGCTGATGGCTCAGGTGAGCTGCAGGTGAACAACCACATCAATATGAACCTCTCCTCTAAATCTTTTCCTATGTAAAATAAACTGGAGATGAGAATCTGCAGCTCACTGAAGCTTTACTCCTTTATTCACAGATGTGATATTTTCTCTAACATTTCAAATTAAGAGTAAATCAGATATTTCATCCTGACGTCTTTAACACAGAGCAGATCTCCAGATCTCCAGGCCCAGGCGACAAACGTTGGTCTGTCGGGGTTAAAGTCGGCCTGGAGGAAGTCAGCGGGGCACAGCAAGCATCCTGAACTCGGCAGGGGAATTGGTGAAGCCCTGCACACCCTCCAAACTCGGCGTTTCTCCAGGAAGAGGACAGAAGGTGAAGCGTTGGAGAAGAGTGGTCAAGAAAAGAAACAGCTCCATTTTCGCCAGTTGCTCCCCCAAACAGACTCGTTTACCTGAGAGTGAAACAGCAGACAGGTGAGTCAGGTGTGAACGTTGTTTCTGAAAGCTCAGTATTCTCTTCTAAGTGAACCAGTTCAGAGGGACCTGCAGAAAAAGGTAAGAAGGCCTCTCTCCTACGAAACCGCCCCTCCGAGTCCAAGAAGTGTCCAGGATTGAAGACATCTGGAGTCTCCCACTCGTCCTTATCAAACAGCACAGACGCCAGGATGGTCGTGATCGCCGTGCCCTGAGACGTTAAAGGTTCGACGTGTTACGTTGTTATAGAGGTGAGAGATTATGAGCAGCACAGAGAGGGTCATATATAACACTGATGGTCGTGCAGACACATCAGAGGTTTATCAGCGTTAGTGTTAATAATCAATCGACCAGAAAAGTGCTGACTCAGGCGTGAGTCTGTAGTACAGGAGCCGATCAGCTGGTTATTGATTGTTAATGGTCCACCATGAATACCCGCTTTGGTCTGTTCAGGTGTCCCGTACCTTCGGTATGATGTAACCTGCCAGCGTCGTGTCTTTACTGGCCATTTTGGGGAACCCCATGGGAACGATGTTTCCTAACCTCTGGGTCTCGTGGATGACCGCGTCGGTGAAAGGCATGCTGGGTCTGTCAGCGAGGGTTGGCTGACGAGACTCCCCGATGACCCGGTCGATTTCTGACTGGACTTTCTCTGAGGGAGAGCACAGTCAGGTTAACGATGGAAGTCCACCTGAAGATCAGCTGATTGGCGATGGCGATTAAAAACCGACCCTGGATCTGCGGGTAGTTCATCATGTAGACGAGCGCCCAGCGTAGAGTGGTGGCAGATGTTTCTGTCCCCGCCTCGATCAGGTCCAGGATGCAGACCATCAGGGTCTCTATGTTGAATCCAGCCTGAGGATCCTCTTTATTCTGTCAGCCAATCAGCAGAAGGCGTCTTTATTTCCTCTTTTTTAATACAAACACATGAAACCCCCCCCCCCCCCCGCCCCTCTCATTTTAGAGCAATGGGCTGAGGATCGGGACTGGATCTCACGAAAACCTGACAAATCCTGTTTTAACTGAATTCAGGCGTTCGACCGTTAACTCTAGGCCTGAACGATATATCGTTTGACTATCGTCATCGCGATGTACGTGTGTGCGATAGTCACATCGCAGAGCCTGCGATATTGGAGGTGAATGAACTCATTTAATTTCAAGGGTAACCGACTGAGATACACTCCATGTGACTCTGCATGTGCTGTGCAGCGATCCACCAATCACCTTCGTCCTTAACTCAGTTGCCAATCAGACTCACTTCTCAGTTGCCAATCAGACTACCCTGCCAGCTGTCAATCAAAATCAGGGAGGAGAAAATCCACCCCTGCACATGTTCTGCACATGGAGGGAGACGTGTGTCCGCTGAGAATTACTTTCAGAACTTTACTCATGACTGTTAAGCCCAACAAATAAGAACTGTATGGGTTTTAAATTGTACATTTCCGTGGACCACTCTACTATAAGCAGTGCGCGTTTTGCGAGGTGCATGCAATTCTCGGAGGACATGCGTTTCTCGGCACGACACCGCTAACAACAACAACAACGATCGCAAAATGAACAACGAACAAGCGAAAACCACCGAAAATGAAGATTTGTTGTCCAAAAAGAAAAAGGAAAGTCAGTTATCTGGAATTATTTCGGTTAAAAGAAGGATGATGTCGACCAAAACACGTGTTCTGTGTTCATCTGTTGCCACAATAACGTCCCAGCACAATAAAAGCTAAAAATATCTCTGAGACAGACAGAAGCCATTCTAACATTCACAAAAAGAGGTAAGATCAGAGCAGATTAACTGTCCTCAAGATTTCAGCAGTGCAGCATAACATTAAATGCTATTCAGGTCATCTGGTGATAATACTGTATTTTTAATATCGCAATATATATCGCAGGGTTGAAAAAATCGCAATATTATTTTTTTCCAATATCGTGCAGCCTTAATTAACTCTGTGTAAAAGTTTAAACTTTAATTTTTACACTTTATCCTTCTAAAAGTGTCGTCTGAACGGAACCGTCTCAGCTCTTTCCAGCCGCGGGTTCATCACGACTTCAAACTGTTCAGATATTTGTTCTATATTTGAGAGAAAATATGATGAAATCCCACAAAAAACTTTAAACTATTTTAAATATGTTGACAGGAAGAGTTTATTCATTGGTTCCAGGAAGTTTCATTGATCATGGATAAAACATGATCTCACCTTCTCCATCTCCGTCAGGTAGACGTCTATGAAGTCCCGTGGGTCGTCAGGGTTCCACTCCTCCTTGTGCTTCTCCACCTCCTGTTTCAGGAAGTCCATGATTTGACGGTAATTGTCATGGACGGTCTGGTGAGGTCCCGGCAGGTGCTTCATCAGTCCAGGAAAGACATCATACAGCTGTGGACAAGTGTAAAGGGACAGACCTCAGACCTCCTCACGGAGATCTACAGACACTTACAGACGCTTAAAGATATTTCTAGACATTTACAGACACTTAGAGGTCTTCATAGACATTGACAGATACTGTTCATCCATGTATGGACAGATCTCCTGAGTTATCTGTAAAATGACCTGAGTCTGAGGAGAGCCAGCCAGCAGGACCGCGTCGTTGTCCAGCTTCAGTATTCTTTGAAAGTTCTGGTCGCTGTATTCAAAGCGATGTCCAAAGACCACAGAGGAGATGATGTTGCTGATGGCGTTGTTGATGATAAAGTGAGGGTTAAAGGGTTTTTCTGGAGGGTTAAAGTAAGGTCAAAGTTGAGGTAACCACTGTGTGCACTGTGGAGCAGTTTCAGCCTTTTTAAATGTCATAGTTGTGTTTAATGACCCGTGTGTGAGTCCGTGGTCTACTTGCCTTGTTCGTCTTTAAAAGCTTCACACAGGAAGTTGTTTTCCACATGAATGTAATTTTCTAAAGTCTTCTGGCCGTCTCCAAAGTAACGCAGGTGAGTGTTGGCGAACTTCCTCTGTTTCTTCCACAGGTAACCGTTGCTCAGAGCGATTCCTGCGGGAAAAGTTTGATGACAATGACCACGGACGCTTTTGAAAGAGTTGTTTTATTTCACAGACAGACAGACAGACTGACTCACCGATGCCTTTGAAGACCACGTGGAAGAGCGGGACGATGGGCCGGTCCACAAAGCTGTCCAGCTGGTTCACCAGCGCCTCTTTGACCATCTTATATCCAGAAATGAAAACCGTCCTCTCACTGCCTCTCCTCAGGCTGAACACCGGGCCATACTGCTGAGAAAGCTGCATCCAGAAATCCAAGTTAATCTGATTCATGGTTTAACTCAAATACAAGATTGACCTTAACGATTACAAAATGTAAAATAAATAAATAAAAACTGAGCCTGAAGTCACATCTAATATGTTTCATGGCTTTTATACAAACTGCTTATCAGACGGAAAAGAAATGGAAGAAAAATGACTTTTCTTAAATAACTGACTTTGAAACTCGGATTTTTTTCCTGCTGTCATGTGGTGTTTCTGTCTCCTACAGAGTTCACTGTTTCTCTGTATTAACCTTGTTTTAATAACATTTTTTTTTATTTCCAATAAATCTGTTTTAGAGATGTTTAAAATCCTGAATTTAGAGGTTTATGAAGTCAATATTTAAATTCGATAAACAAATATTGAACCCTGGAGCTTTTCAAAGTTTCCCTGTTTGACTTTAGTATTTAGTGGTTTAGATCTGAACCTTTACCTGCTAACATCAGTAACCAGCTTAATGACTTTACCTTCAAAAAGATTTTATTAATATAGTAAACTTTTCTTTTTCTGTTAAGCAGCGGTGGGTCTAAAGGTCCTTACACACTTTTTTCGTGCGATTATTTCTGACGTCAATATTTTTTTTCGAACCCGTATCCTGTCAATACAAGTGTTCACATCAGCGACGTTTTCCCGTCCTGCGATATTGCGGCATTTATTCTTTCGGATCACGGTTGAATTTTTTAAAAGTTTCGCTTACTGTGTGTCCACTTCTGACCAATCAGATTTCGACCTGAAGGACGACTTGTGGAGAGTCATAGCGTTGGATTTCTCATACGACGATGGTTTGTGCGCTTTAACAGTTTGATAAACGTCTTAGTTGCAAAATCACATCGTGCTTGATGTGTATAGTCGTGCACCTCAAAACTTCGAAATGTCAAAAATTCGCCTAGAATATTTCGTAATTTTGCGTCGTTCTCAGTGTGTTAGGACCTTAAGTCTGAAATTTTGGTCACTGATGTAAATTTGGTGTTTTGTTCATTTATTTTTTGTCAAGGAACTGAAAATCACATCCTGCAACTGTTTCTTCTGTGGTCGTCTTATTTCCAAACACAACGTCAAAAAAGAACATGACGTATGCATTATATATAACAAAAATCCACCCATTATATAAGCTAAAGGTGAGCTTACCTTCTCCATGGCTTTATAGTCCACTCCAGTGAAAATGTTTCCAAGAAAAGGTATTGCCAAAGGTCCTGGAGGAAAGCTGTGTGGTCTCCAGTTTATAACAACATCAGCCAAAAGTAACACCAAGAAACTGAACAACAGCCAACTAGAGAGGTCCATACAGTCGAAAAGAGCCTGAAAAATCATCCTGACTTTTACTGAAAGCCTTCGCTAAAATCAGAGAGTGCTCGTGTAGAGAGGACAGCAGATATCTGAGGGAGAGGGGAAGCAGCGCGACCAGGGAGTGTTACATAACACCAGAATGACCTGGAATGACCTTTTTGGAGAAAAACAGACTCTGGACTTCATGTTTTAAAAAGACAGTGAAACAGCAGAGAGAGGCGGGCTGAGGTTAACAAAATCAACTTACTCAATTAGTCAATATCAACAATCATTCACTGATTCATCTAGATCATCAGTCATTCAGTAATCAGTGAAAATCATTAATTACTCATCGATGGGTTTAACAAAATATTGTCAACAAAAAGCCTCACCATAGACTGTATGTAGGATTGACAGTGTCTGCTTCCTCACTGGATGGGGCCACTGCGAGAACAGCGCCCTCTGGTGACGGGCTGCAGTATAGGTCATAAACCACGCCTCCTTATGGAGCTGTGGACAAACTTTATAAATGAATGACACAGAATATAAATGTTTCTCCCCCCTGGTTGTGATGTTGACATGTAGTTACTGTCAGACTGGTTTGTGCTCAAGTCCTCTTTTTTCTGTACAGCTCCATTTTTAAAAGTTATTAGGGGGTTCATGTTTACTGTGATTGACACCTGATACAGCCTATGGGAGTGCGAAGATATAGCTCACCCAGGTTGTTTGAGCCGGGCGTCATCACAGCGACTCTGCCGCCAAATGTGTACAATGCTACTGCGCGATGTATCCCTACTACACCCTCACTCTCCCCCCAGCCCTCCCTCACCTTCTCTCTCCCTAAATAACAGTCACTTCTTCACATTCATGTGTATTTTTATCTATTAAACACTATTCAACTGGTACAATCATTCTTTTTATTATTATTGCATATAACTGCTAAAAAGCTGTTTTATAAAAAAAAAACATTAGAAGATGAGAATGTCTTTAAATGATTCAGAAAATCCACAGATCTGTATTTCCGAAAAGAAAAAGTCAAACATTTCAACAATCTGAAGGTAAACTCTGATCCTCTCATCAGACTCCTTTACTTTCTCAGTTACCCCTGAACTACTATGATGACTTTGGCTGTGTCCGAAATGAATCACTCCGTCCCTAACCCCTAACCCCCATATGGGGTTTTACTATATACTTAACTATGTAGTGAACTCAGTGACCGGAGGTTTCAGACACTACATGGCATGACGGGGATGCACACCACCGGTGAGTGACCATCGGATGGTCGCTACATTTTGCAATGCTTTATGGGAAATTTAGAGTCACCTATATTGGGCACTGGAATTGATCACTGAGGTTTTGGACACCCCTCAAAAATATAGAGGTTAGGGATCCATTTCAGACACAGACTTTATTAGTCCTCTAAGATAAAATGGTGATCTTTTATGTTAGGGTTTTTGACCTCATGTTGTCGCTCATAGATACCACATTTAATGTATAAAACAAATTTAAAATGATCTTTTTTGGTCTGAACACAATTCCAATCAAACTTATTACAGACTAAATTCACTTTCAGAGTGATTTTTTTTTTTTTTTTGTAAATAAATGTCTAACCCCTTCAACCATGTGCTTCAAACCTTCACAGACTCCATGAATTGATGCCCATCTCCTAAAGATTTAGTCACATGATCAGTTTCTTTGACCATTTCCAAGAAACACGGGGTGGCTCAACTTCCCCCTATATACAGAGGAGAGTGGGATAAGTTGGGTTAGTCCCCAGTGGAGTGTTGTCATGGTAACGTGGCAACCAATTACTGTAACCAGGGCAACGGAGTGTTGTGTTTGTGATGTAGGCGTGATGTCACATGATGTCACCTTCTTTGATGTTCTCTTTGATGACATCATGCTTTCATGTGAGATGAAGGCCAGTCCAGACCTTTACCACCTACAGTTGGAGGAATCACGTTTCTGTCATTTACAGTCGTTTGTGATTGAAAATTATCAGCATAAACACCGATTTGATTTTAGGAAAATTAGATTCCAGTCAGAGAAGAAAGATGAACTCTCAGCTAAACCGTTCAAACAGACTGTGGGCGCCACAGCCTGAGGAGACAACAACAAAGGAGATTGAGAGGATCTCCTCTGCTTCAACTATCGCGGATCTTCCAGATATCTCCATTGTTTCAGACGTGATGGAGTCTGAGGAGGTGGACGAGGAGAGCATGACTGATCCTTGCTTCTTAAGTGCCTCCAAAGCTCTTTCTTCTTACAATGATCTTTGGTCCAAAGTTGAGGAGCTTAGGATTTTGCTTTCTGAAGAGAAGAGGCAAAAGGAGGATCTAAGTTTCACAGCTTTGAACATGGAGGCCAAGCTTTCAAACATTCAAGAAGAGAACGAGTATCTGGAGCAGACCATTACAGCCCTCCGCTATGAAGTTGTCGCGGTTAAGAACAAGGCAGACGCGGATAAATATAAATACTTTGAAATGCAGTGTGACTATCAAGAAATGAGGGAAACACTGCAGTCCCAGCTGGATAGAGTTACAAATGTGAACAAAGAGCTGGTCACTTCATTAGAAACCATAAAGAAGAGAGAGGCTCTCTGCATCGAATTCAAAGATGACCTCGTGAAGCGCTTGGAGAATAAGATAGAGGAGGTCGAGAAGTTGAACAATGAGAACACCGAACTTTGTATGAATAACTGCAGGATGGAGACTGTTTTCTTAAAGGAAAAGGAGGCCGTACGGGAGAAAAGTGAAGCTCTGTGGCAGGAAACTGAGGAGCTGAGGAAAAGCTTCCAGGTAGAAAAGGAGGAGTATACAGAGAAGCTTTCCAAAGCTGCCCAGAGGGAGGAATCCCTCCTCCAAGAGCTAGAAGAAGTAAAGGAGGCAAATTCTGTCCTTCAGTCCTTTATGAAAGAGCAAGAAGAGAAGAAAGGTGATGAAGACAGCAACCTCCAGAGCATGGTCCAAACAGAAGGAGAGCAGGCTCTGGAGAGTGGTACGAATCCCTGCAAGGAAGAAGAGGGGGCTTCTCGGCAAGAAACTGAATCCCTCAAACATGAAATTGAGGAGATGAAGAAAATGCTCGACCAGCAGGAAGAGATGCTTTTGGAAGCCGCTGAGAGGGAAAGGGCCCTCCAAAAGAAAGTTCAGGAGGTGCAGGAAGCCCTCCAAACTGAAAAGAACGTGTATTCTCTTCAAGTGTCTGACATGAAGGATGCACTTTCTCAAGAGAAGAGGAATAAGACGGCCTTGGAGGAGAGCAATGAAACCCTCAAGCAAGAGAACGAGAAGCTTCAGAATCTGCTGGATGAGGAGAAGAGCAGGAAGGTAGAGATGCTTCTGGAAGCTTCTGAGAGGGAAAGGGCCCTCCAAAAGAAGGTTCAGGAGGTGCAGGAAGCCCTCCAAACTGAAAAGGAGGATTTTTGTCTTAAAATGTCTGAGCTGAAGGATGCACTTTCTCAAGAGAAGAGGAATAAGACGGCCTTGGAGGAGAGCAATGAAACCCTCAAGCAAGAGAACGAGAAGCTTCAGAAACAGCTGGATGAGGAGAAGGGAAGGAATGAAGAGAAACTTCTGGAAGCTTCTGAGAGGGAGAAAGCCCTCCAAAAGAAAGTTCAGGAGGTGCAGGAAACTCTCGAAACTGAAAAGAACGTGTATTCTCTTCAAGTGTCTGAGCTGAAGGATGCACTTTCTCAAGAGAAGAGGAATAAGACGGCCTTGGAGGAGAGCAAAGAAACCCTCAAACTAGAGAAGGAGAAGCTTCAGAATCTGCTGGATAAGGAGAAATGCAGGAATGAAGAGATGCTTCTGGAAGCTTCTGAGAGGGAGAAAGCCCTCCGAAAGAAAGTTCAGGAGGTGCAGGAAACCCTCCAAACTGAAATGTCTGAGCTGAAGGATGCACTTTCTCAAGAGAGGAGGAATAAGACGGCCTTGGAGGAGAGCAATAAAACCCTCAACCAAGAGAAGGAGAAGCTTCAGAATCTGCTGTATGAGGAGAAGAGCAGGAAGGTAGAGATGCAACTGGAAGCTTCTGAGAGGGAAAGGGCCCTCCAAAAGAAAGTTCAGGAGGAGCAGGAAACTTTGTGGCTCAAAGTGTCTGATCTGAAGGATGAACTTCTCAACATGTGGAAGAATAAGTCGGCCTTGGAGGAGAGCAATAAAACCCTCAAGCAAGAGAACGAGAAGCTTCAGAAACTGCTGGATGAGGAGAAGAGCAGGAAGGAAGAGATGCTTCTGGAAGCTTCTGAGAGGGAGAAAGCCCTTCGCCAAGATCTGGAAGAAGTCAAAGAGAAGACGAAGGAGGCTAAGGAGAGGGAGGTGGCGATGGAAAAGCTCAAAAGAGAAATACATTGTCTTGAGATCACACTTAAACTAGAAAAACAGCAGACAGAAGGGTTTTGTACCAAAACCCTGAAGCTGAGGAGTGAACTCGCCAAGAAGAAGGAAGAGAAGGAGATATTGGTACAAAACATCGAAGCCCTCAGAGGAGAAATAGAAATACTTCTCCCAAGACTGGCAAAGGCAGAACAAGGGATTTTCTCCAGGATGTGGGAGCTGCTCACAGTTCTTTTCAACTCTACCGCTGTTTAACAGACAGGGTTAGAGTTTGACTCTCTAAACCTGGCTGATGGAGTGTGTGTGTTTGTTTGAGGTTGGGTTTTCTCCGGGTGTTCCGGTTTCTCCCCAAACCAAATTCAGGTAGAAAAAAAACCCAGACACAACTGTAAATATGAAACATGTAAAAGGACTGTGTTTCTATCTCTCTTTCTTTAGTTTTATGTCCACTCAAAGCACTCTACATCACATGTAAAGTGCTTTCACTCGTTCAGGTCTAATTATTATGAGTTAATACAATAAATACACCAATAAATCATGTAAGTGTCATTGGTATGTGTATAAACCTGGGGGGTATTCCACGAAGCTGGCTTAGCGCAAAGCCTGGCTTATTTCGGTTAGTCACGCAAACTTTAGTGAGAGTTAGGTTTCACAAACGAGGAGGGCTTGGTAACCATGGAAACTCAGCCAGCGCAACAAGCCTTGTCCCTGGCAGGCTTACAGTGAAGCTTAGTTTAGCTGCGTCTACAAGAATGTCCGACGGGCTTCTGAAGATGCTTTGTTAAACTCATGTCTCACATCAAATTCATTTTCATCTGTAATGATGTGATGAATGACGTTCTTGTCTAAAAAAAAAACTAAAACATTAATTGATACCTTTTTTAAACACGGGAATAACCGTGAACCTAGACATGTCAGATACTACACCAACCCTGTGGGTCACAGAGAAGTTAATGGGTGAGTGGGCAGAGTGCAGGGTCTGATTGTATTTCCATGAAGAAATGATCGTAAATGTTCTTCCTTGGGCTGCGTCACCCCGCTGTAGTCTGTAATGGACTGGCCTGAAGTCTCGCTACAAACAAGCGGCTGCTGGAAGGCTCAACATATCCCACTCTCCCCTATATACAGGGGAGAGTGGGGGTGCCCCCATCAAGAAAAAAAGAAAATGGCAAACATCATCGACTCAACGTTGATTCAATGTTGGCATTTCACTCAGTGAATTGTGCGCTACAATACAACAGAGTTTCAATGTTGAACAACCATCAGTCCTCAATCGTAACCAAAAATCAACCTTTTCTACAAAAATTCAACGTTGAATAACTTTCTTTTGCTATCTGGGAGGCCAGTCCAGACCGTAACCAGGCCTGAGGTCTCTCTACAAACAATCGGCTGCTGGAAGAGAGTAGGTGAGTTGTGTTTAGTCTCTTTGTTAAAGAAATGAGTCAAAGTTAAAAAGATGTTTGGTGTCTAGTACTATGTCTGTGACCCTATATGTCCTGTTGATGAAGTTAGGTGCTGTTCTGAGCATTATTTGTGGCTATAGAGTGGCGTTTTGGTTGAGGGCGTGGCTCTCTGTATTTCTATCCTGCGGTCGTTACTAAAGTTGGTATAACTAGAGAAGCAAGCGGTCGACGACATTCATCTCTGGAGGGGTTACAATATTTTAGGACGTTTTTGTGGGGTAAGGTTCATCAGCCCTTGGGAGCCCCCTAGTGGCCTGGGGCCCCAAGCAACTGCCTGCCTTGCCTGTTGACAAGCTCCAGCTTTGGGCCAAAGGTCTAGAGGAAGCGCAGTCTGTGACCTGTAGTCCTGGTTCCTTGGTCTTGGGGTCTCCAGACACAAGTTTCTCTTTAGATCTGAAACTTAAAAACCAAACAGTCACTCCTCACATTTATGGTCTGGTTTGTGTTTTGGTCATGAAACGACATCAGTATCATTTTCAGCCTGATTCACAGCTGGCTAAAAACTCCTATATTTTCTCAGTACTGGGTATTTGATGATTGGACCAACAAAGCAGTTAAAAAGAGTTTAATCTTAAAAGACAGTCAGTGCATTCACATAAGTTTACATTCAAGTGAGAGGTGATATGACAAAGATTTACAGGTAGAAGGTGGAACCATAGACGCTGACAACACTGACGTTACAACAACACTGGTGGCACTCACATGATCAGCAGTCAGTTCTGCTTTGGTCAATTAAAGGAGCCACAAAACACCATCTGTAGCTGCGTTTCCATTACATTTTTTCGCAAAATAAAAGCGATGTTTATCAAATTTCTTCTTCTTGGAGGAGATACAAAACATTTTGCGTTTTGGAGCAGCTATTTCTGTGACCGTTACTGCTGTTGCCGCCGCTGTCATCAGAAGACGAAGGCAGCGGGTGATAATTCAAAGGCAAAGCCCGTATGTCTGGGAGCGGACCGTTAATGAGGAATTCACAGACGAACTGTGGATTCAAAACTTCAGAAATAACTCCGTTTCCTCCCCCGCCCATACATACCGCGCCATCTTTGCTTGAAATGAACTGGTCACATGACCCGCTACGTCACGTCCGGTGACAGAGAACCGCGAGAATAGTGTTTCTATTACACTTTTGCGATGTACTTCCATATCGATACGTCTGAAAAACCTCCTCATGAGAGCGTAAAAACTTTTTAGCGATATTTGAGAAGTTTTTCGAGATTTAGGTGTTTCCATCACAAGTTTTCTATTGCGATATTTAGGTTTAACGCAAATCTATGTGTAATGGAAACGCAGCTACTGAGTCCAAGGAGCAGGTTTAAAGTGAAGAACATATTTTCAGTTTCAAGGACACTTGGGTGAAAGGTGAACAATCAAATAACGTTAGCGCCCTCTTGTGTTTGTATGACAGTATTACAAAACATACTGTGTGTGGCAGAAGAAGCTTAAACCCTGATTTTGATTGAACAGGATATGTTTCAGCGCCGATATGGCCTTTCAAGAATGACCTCAAAGTAATAACGAACAAACAGAAAAAAGAAAGATTAAAAGAGAAAACTGCTTCAGAAAAAAGGGAATAAAACAAACAGGTAGGTAAGGTTGTATTAAGGCGGTAAAACGGCACCTTTCTGTGCTGTGCATTACAAACAGGTCCTAAAACACATCCACGATCCTGAGTTGGAGGTCACTCTTCAAATGTTTCACACTGAGTGTCATCAGGAGTGTTCAAACCTCCGCCTCACATCCGTCCACAGAGGTGGAGGTTCGACCTCGATAAAGTGCTGTCCCCGGATCGTTTTACTGCTGTGTTTGGCTCTGAGCTTCATCCTGCAAGCCCACGAAGAAACAGACCTGTGTGGGGGAGGAGGGGGCAATGTGAGGAGGATGGGGGGAGGAAGAGGAGGAGGTAGAGTTTGGGATCTCCCAATAGCTCCCGTGGAGGTCCAGAGAGGAGAGAGCGGGCGGGTTGTCTCTGTGCGAGGGTTTATCACACTCTGTGGGCTGAGGTGGACCGCTCAAACACTTCCTCAGACACGGCTCACTGTGGAGAAAACACAGACAGGACTTTGAACTCGCCCACGGGAAAAGGTCGAAATGTGGTCAAACGGTGAGGGACAGTGTGGGAATCTCACCTGATGGAGGTGGCCGGAGTTCCCTTCCAGGCCTGTCGGTACACGTTCCCCGCCACCCCAAACATCCACCTGACATCAGCCGGTACCTCAGGGATCCACTCCACAAACCTGAGACAGAGGAGGGAATAAATCAGCCAAGAGGAGGAGGAAGAGGAGGAGGAGGAGATGCAGTCCTTTCAGCACCCTCTGCTGGCCGTTACAAAAACAACAAGTTTAAGAGACCTCTGAATGAATCCCCGTTTCAAACCCGAAACACATGTGAACCTCTTTCATGGGGTCTCTGCTCACCTCTGGGCCACCGAGTAGGCCGACTGTACAGGAAGTGTGTACGGCATCAGCATGTAGGACGCCACCCTCATGGGCAGCATCTCAGAGACTTTGGTGTACAGGCCGGATTTATCCTGACACGCCTCGCAGAACACTGACGGACAGACGGACAGAAACAGTCCCCACATGTGAGACACGGCTGAACAGATGAACTTGAACGCACCTTTATCAACGACACCTCTCTGTACCTTTCTTAATGGGCGTCGGCAGATTGATCTGCTCATCCAACCACCAGTGCTGTTTCCTGAGTAGGCGGAGCCTCCGCAGCACCCACTCTCTGGTGGTCTCCGTTTGCTTACAGCAGCAGGTGGGCGGGGTCTCCTGCAGGGTGGGGCCCGAGGTCGGCTGCTCCTGCATTATCAGGTCTGAGGCCATAAAAACACGGCGTTAGTGACGGAGCAGACATTCACCTGGACTCATGAGATGACCTTTGACCTTTGGCCTCATGTGCGCACGGCCGGAACCGAAGTTTCACGATTTTGAGGAAAACGGATGAACCATAAATCTGTTATTTTGTTCTGTTCACCCGGAGCGCTTTAAAGGGGACCTGCCATAAAAATGTAATTTTCTGTGTTTTTTGTGTCAGATAAGGTCCATATTATGTTCGTCTTATGTTGTAAATGTGAAAACAAACCGTTATGTCGTTTTCATTCTGTAAAGGTTTAAAATAAAGGAACAGGTAAACCAGGCCAATTGAAAAAGCAGGTCTATGTTACGTTGCGTTGACGTTGCTCATTATAATTCACGAGCGCGTCCTCGGTGAGCCGCGCCCACTCTCTCGTTCTCGTCCTCAGTCACAGCCAGAGCGAGACCCAGCTACCGCTGTATCCGCTATGGGTCTCTTCCAAACGACCGGTGTTTCCTTCGGTTCACTGCCGGGAAAATGAACTTAAAGCCGGGCAGAATGAATGAGAAAACACCGCTGGAGATCTCCGGCTTCTTCCTCAACTTCCACCTCCTCTTCGGACTCGGGGTCTAAAATATATGGTTTAATACCTGCCGTTTTTAGCCTTTAGCATAAGGTGACCAGACGTCGCCGATTTCCGGGGACAGTCCCCGTATTGGATGACCTGTCCCCGGCAAAAACTGTCCCCGAAAATGTCCCCGATTTAAGCGTTTCATGAATGAGAGCAAAAATGTTGCGTGTGGGCTCGAACAACGGTTATTACAGTAGCCGAATAGGTAGGAAGCACAAGTTAGCAGTCCTGAACAACAGTTCTTACGGGGGTATTACAAGGGGCATGCGCTGCTACTAAATAGTACAGAGATTTTGTCTGTGATCACACAGCCCCTGCAGCCCCTGCACCGCCGCCGCCGCCGCACCGAATATCCCCGGATATCATTACAGACATCTGGGCACCTTACTTTAGCACACATTAGCATATGCTATTAGCATTAGCATAATAACAATGGATAAACCGAAATCCGAACCTCCACTGCTGAGCCAATCAGAGCACAGCAGGCTTCACAGCAGCGATCCAATCAGAGCAAAGCTCATTACCATAAATGTTAATGAGCCAAAACCAGTTGGTTTTCCTGTAAGGTTTTTTAGGCATACTAAAACAAACCATCAAATAACTTTTCAGCTAAAATTATGTTGCAAACATGATCAGAGGACATCAAGGCTTATGAAAAAATGATCAAAATGGGGATGAAATTTTGGTGGCAGGTCCCCTTTAACGTGCAGCACTAACGTCACCTACATGTACAACGTTTACCTGAGTCTCAGGTTATAACAATAATGATCAGAAAACTCACTGTTTTCTTGGAGGAAGCGAAGAGCGTCTTTATAACCGCTCTGACACATCTCAGCCAAAACCTGCGGAAACACACAGAGTTCATCTCATCAGACAAGACAGTGATAATGACGACAATATTAGTATAGATATTATAATAATAAGAATAATGATGAAAATAAACTTCATTTATAGAGCACTAATCAAAACAGATTAAAAAAAGTCAGACTTAAAATTTTTAATAAAACTGGATAAAAATAAAAGAGATTAAAACCACACATCAATCTAAAACAAGTTAAAACGATTAAAAACCAACAACAACTGAAAGGAAATAAAACGTCAGAATAATCAAAGGAAAAAAATAGATCAAATAAAACAATCAGGATAAAACATTTGATTTAACTTCAAGTTTATGTCTCCAGTGATTTTTGTTAATTTGTTTTTCTTACAACTTTATTCCCATAAACATCTTAAAGACTTTATTACAGTATATAAAGACGTTACCAAGACTTCATTCATGAATAAAACTTTAAAATAAAAATTCTTGAGTTTTTAGTTTGTTTTGTTTTTTGGTCGATGTGGCTTTAAAAGTCTGTCGGTAGAAAGACGGTAGAAAACAGAGACAAGTGTTTGTACGTTTTTTAACACATCGATGAAGAATGAACAGATTAAAATCCTCAAAAACTACGACAGAAATGAGTCTTTAAGTAACGCCTCTGACCATCATACTACTGCTATGACTCTTAACAACCACTAGATGTCAGTGTTTTTGCTCTGGAGCGGTAATGCTGCGAGTTTTTAAAGATCAGATGAAGAAAGAAACTGAACTTGAACCTGTTTAACCCGATGACGGCTGATTTTAATGTCAGGAGTGTGTGTGTGTGTGTGTGTGTGTGTGTGTGTGTGTATGTGTGTTTTCTGAGCAGAGCGCCTGTCCATCATGTCTCTGTCCCTGCGGTTTCTTACATGAGACAAACAGCGCTCTCTGTTTTCTGTGACAGCTGGATTCTTGAACCGGCCTCTGAGTCTACGCTCAGACCTGTTATTCCTCTCTCTCTTCAGGAATGCTGGGAGAACAAACCTACCCCCCCCGCCCCCCCATTACATAACTGTGGGATCCAGACGGCATTACAGGCGCACACACACGTGAGGAGGAAGAGGAGGAGTCAACATGTGAAACAACAACAAACACACGCCCCCTGAGCGAGGCCAAAGCTCGCCTCATTTCAGAGCTTAACTAACACTCGCCACAGTCCTCTCTCGCTCTCCTCACTCTGACTTTTCACCCACGTCAGCCTCTGTCCAGGTTTTTTCTAAATCCACAAACCTCCTCTGGGAGTCCGGGTTCTCACCGCCGTCATAATTTAGATGAGTTTATCTAATTACAACGCTGTAAAAGTTCATGAAGCCTCTTTTCAGGGCAAAACCACAAGCTCCCGGAGCGGCTAACAAACCATGAATAGTTACTGTGTGTAAAATCTGAACCCAACACCAGCAAAGGCTGCTGGGATTCCTAAAACTGGAGATATGAGTGAGTTAAAGACGCGCTGCATCCACACCTGAACAACGTACACGATCAAAAAAACTGAGGACTTCTAAACCCCAATCTCCACCTTCATCCTGATCGTCTCCTAAAAGGTCGTATCCTCCGATCGTAGCTGATCGTAACCATTCAAGTTAACGTGTCAATTTACACCGACTTCTTTACGTTCTGCTGCAGATCGCCGAACTCTGCAGCTGATCACAAGAGTAGAGCCCGACCGATATGGATTTTTTGGGCTGATGCCGATACCGAACATTAGAGGGGAAAAAAATCTGATTACCGATTAATTGGACGATTTTTACAATTTTTTTAATAAAAAAAAAAAGCTCGGCAAATCGGTACCTCCACCTCTTTACTCCCGTTCTTCATCTCCGTTCTGGTCTCATCTGGAGACATGCAGCTGCCTCAGTAAGAGAAGTCGCTCCATCACTAATGTGTACTGTTGTTTATTCTACAGTTACTGGCACGGCTAACAGTGTAGCTAACAGGCTAACAGCAGGTGACTAACGCGAAACATCTCAAGTAAGTCCAGTTGTCCTGTCAACAAAGAACTGAAAATCATAGATGCTGCATCCTCAGTTTTAAACAATATCTCCAGATTTAGAACAACATCTACGTCCATCCAGACAAAGACTTTTTCAGGAAAGACCTTCATATGATCCCAAACCACATTGTGACAACAGCATGGCTCTGTAGGAGAAGAGTCCTGACTGATGCGGTCCTGACTTGACAACATTTGGACCATCATGACCCCGAAAACAGGACCAAGGAGACCCTGAACTGTTGAGCACCTGAACCTCTCGCGCCATTTGGACCGGTCTCTGCGTTTGAGGCGTTACCTACCTTGGGCTCAGGTGGGAACAGCGCCCTGCTGAGGCGGTACATGTTGCCCAGGTTCATCTGGATGCTGGTGTTGGTGAAGCGCAGCTCGTGGAAGCTGGTGGAGTTGTCTCGCGGGCAGATGTCGCTCTCGCCGGAGAAAGGAGAGATGGTGATGGTGTTCTTCAGCTCCGACTGCGGCAGGTTGTCGCTGATCCCGCCGTCCACGTAACGCTGGAGACACACGGGAAATCAACTTTAGACCAGAACAGGGTCTCTTCAGGTTTCAACAGGTCACATTCAAGACTTTTTAAAGACTGTAATGAATAGTTATTACATTTTAAGATCTTTTAAATCGTATTCAAGACACTTCATCGGATTTTAAATTTTTGGGGGGCATTTTAAGGCCTTAAATTAAAATAATTGGATTTTAGATCTTTAAAGGCTTTTAAGACCCAGGGGATACCCAGATATTTAAGACCTTTTAAAATCATATTTAAGACATTTCATCAGATTTTAAAAAAAAAAATTTCTAGTCATTTTAAGGCCTTAAATTCAAATTCTTCGATTTTAGATGTTTAAGGCTTTTTAAGACCCTGCTGATACCCTGATTTTTAAGAATTTTTAAAATCATATTTAAGACGTTTTATGAGATTTTAAGAGAATTTTAGACGTTTTAAGTCCTTGAATTCAAATTCTTAGATTTTAGATGTTAAATGACTTCTTAAGACCCTATGGATACCCTGGTTTTTAAAGACCTTTTAAAATCATTTTTTAAACATTTCATCAGATTTCTTAATTTTTTTTTAGACATTTTAAGGCCTTATATTCAAATTCTTAGATTTTAGATGTTAAAAGACCTTTTAAGACCCTGCTGATACCCTGATTTTTAAGACCTATCAAAACCATTTTGAAGACATTTTACGAGATTTTAAGATAATTTTAGCTTTTTTAAGGCCTTGAATTTAAATTGCTAGATTTCAGATGTTTCAAGACTTTTTAAGTCCCCACCTATACCCTAATTTTTAAGACTTTTTAAAATCATATTTAGGACGTTTTATGAGATTTCAAGATAATTTTAGACATTTTAAGTCCTTGAATTCAAATTCTTCGATTTTAGATGTTTAAAGACTTTTTAAGACCCCACCAGAAGCTAAATAAAGGCGGATAAATCTCCACCTTCAGGTAACATCTGGTCATCAAATCAAAACCTGAGTAATAACAGACCCTCGATGACGAAGGCTAACTCCATCCAACGCTTAAAAGACTGAAACGATCCACTGATGGAGTTTGAAGATACTGACAGCTGAACTGTGCGAGCCCCTCATAAATATACCTGTACAGGGAAAACCATAAAACTCAGGCTGACAGGGGACACAAATGGACCGACAACACAGCAGACGTCACGACATCGAAGATTCTCGATCATCGTATCCTTATGAAACACAGACTGAGATCATGATGAAACCGTAAACTCGAGGAGACTGGACACGGTTTCGGTCTTTTGCATCATAAATCCAGACTCTCATCAAAGACTTATTTGTGTCCCTAAATTTGGATTACATAATCTGAACCAGTTCTTACCTAACGCCGCAGAGGACATGTAAACCTTCCAACTTTCAAACCCCCCAAAACAATGACTGCATTCACACGACCGTAACGACTCGATCTCTGCTGAGTGACTTCTTTCTGAGGGACTTTATCCTGTTTTCATTTTTTCCCCTCTCCTCTGTGGAAAATCAGAAACTGAAAGAAGAGCTTTATCATCGGAGGGCTTTAAACGCCGTGGAGAAGGCATTAACCTTGTTCTTAGTGCCGGCTGTAAAATCCCGATCTGCTCGGCAGAGACGCTGCCAGCTGTGAGACATGCAGCCTCGGCGTGACAGGATGTAGGTCAGCGAGGAAATGGAGGTCAGGGCCGTTAAATATGAAGCTCAGAGGGCAAACGTGTGTGTCTGACTGGGACAATCAGGGGTTCACAGGGTTCATCAGACTCAGCAGGAGCAAACCTGGACAAGGTTTTCCCATCCCTCCACAGACCCCCAGGTTTTTTCCTGGCTCCGCCCACCGCTCCGGCTGTCCTCCACGCTGCCGTGTGTCTAAAGACTGCAGACTCACGCCTGAAGAGAGTGAGTCGGTAAACTGAGCGGAGAGGACATGATGTACGGCGTCCACAGACCTGCAGACGGCTGTATGGACGTCTCACAGACAGCTGAACTGAACCTAGTGCTTCACCGTCCAAGAGACACAACAAGAGACACAACAAGAGACACAACAAGAGACAAAACCAGAGACACAACAAGAGACACAACAAGAGACAAAACAAGAGACAAAACAAGAGACACAACAAGAGACAAAACCAGAGACACAACAAGAGACAAAACAAGAGACACAACAAGAGACAAAACCAGAGACACAACAAGAGACACAACAAGAGACAAAACAAGAGACAAAACAAGAGACACAACAAGAGACAAAACCAGAGACACAACAAGAGACAAAACCAGATACAAAACCAGAGACACAACAAGAGACACAACAAGAGACAAAACCAGAGACACAAAAAGAGACAAAACCAGAGACAACAAGAGACACAAGAGACAAAACCAGAGACACAACAAGAGACACAACAAGAGACAAAACAAGAGACACAACAAGAGACAAAACCAGAGACAAAACCAATGACACAACAAGAGACACAACAAGAGACACAACAAGAGACAAAACCAGAGACACAAAAAGAGACAAAACCAGAGACAACAAGAGACACAAGAGACAAAACCAGAGACACAACAAGAGACACAACAAGAGACAAAACAAGAGACACAACAAGAGACAAAACCAGAGACACAACAAGAGACACAACAAGAGACACAACAAGAGACAAAACCAATGACACAACAAGAGACACAACAAGAGACACAACAAGAGACAAAACCAGAGACACAACAAGAGACAAAACAAGAGACAAAACCAGAGACAAAACAAGAGACACAACAAGAGACAAAACCAGAGACACAACAAGAGACAAAACCAGAGACAAAACAAGAGACACAACAAGAGACACAACAAGAGACAAAACCAGAGACACAACAAGAGACAAAACCAGAGACACAACAAGAGACAAAACAAGAGACAAAACCAGAGACAAAACAAGAGACAAAACCAGAGACACAACAAGAGACAAAACAAGAGACACAACAAGAGACAAAACAAGAGACACAACAAGAGACAAAACCAGAGACAAAACAAGAGACACAACAAGAGACAAAACCAGAGACACAACAAGAGACAAAACAAGAGACACAACAAGAGACAAAACCAGAGACACAACAAGAGACAAAACAAGAGACAAAACAAGAGACAAAACAAGAGACACAACAAGAGACAAAACCAGAGACAAAACAAGAGACAAAACCAGAGACAAAACAAGAGACAAAACAAGAGACAAAACAAGAGACAAAACCGGAGACAACAGTGTCTATTTAGGGTGAAGAGGACCAGCATGTCCACAAAGAGCCTGTTTGTCTGCAGAGTCCTGTTTCTCAACAGAGTCTCAAACCTTTGACTCAGTTTTGGACTTTAATTCGATCCTGATTCTGTCCGTTTTGACTGTTTTTGTCTTTACACACATCAACCTTTGTCTTCTTTCTCCTGTGACTGAAAGTACCTAAAAGACGACCAGGAGGTCAAACTCTGACGGAGACCTGTGAGTGTGGGGGCGGCAGCTTGGTTTGTCCTCATCCACAAGGTCCCGGACAGTCCGTCAAAGATTCAAACAGCCAATCGTTTGGAGAGAAAACCCGACAGCGACCGTCCCTTTTGGACTAACGTGGGTTTTGATGTCAGAGAGTCAATCCACTTTTTCAACATCCTCTGAATCAGTCCGTCTGTCCGTCAGGAAACCGAGCCGCAGTGACTCTCCAGGGAAACTGATCAGAAATCTCTTTACCTGCTGGGATTATATTTGTAATCTGGTGGAGACAGTTTGACTGAGATTATGAAGCTCTCTTGGGTTTGAGTTCACTGTTATTTATCAGGAGTCAAACTAAACCAGATCAGAGACCACAGCGGTGATACTTTGGTTGGTCTTCAATCTTTTTCAGACTCCTTATGTAACATGTCGAGTCATTACAAACACTCGACCTTTGTGTTTCCTAATGTTTTTATGACTTTATCGGAGTCTAATCGGACTAATTTGGCCGTGACGGCGATGAGAGCTGCACGTCAACAGAGTAACCAAAGCTCTGAACGGGATCGCTGCCAAAGTCCGAACCCAGCTGATAAAACACGACTGCAGCTTTATTTCCCTGAAATCAACTTTTTCACGCTCAGGAGGAAGTTTCTGCTTCCTTCTGCTTCTTCAACCTCACTTCCCTCTTCTGGTTACATCATCTCCAAAGTTTTTATCGCAGTTGCGCATTTTTAAAGACCGAAACCAGAAACAGTCACTCACCACTCCTCTGAAGGACGGGGGAATCAGGCCGCAGTAGACGGGGATGAAGCAGCTGCAGATCAGCGCCTGTGGACAGAAAACAGGGTCACTATGTGATCCATGTCATGTGTCCTCGCGTCTTCCTCATGTGTCACGCTCGAGGCGAGAGAGATATAACTGAAATGATGTTATAGAGTCTGAGGGCTGTGTTTCAGATCAGCTGAAAATACGAGTGAAATGAGGTCATTTTCAAGTCAAAGCAGATGTTGGACGACTCGGCGGCGACAGTCGGTCAAATCCTGACTTCATGGATCTCAACGAATCGTTACAGATTAGGGCTGTCGGCTGAAAACTCCCCTGAAAAATCAAAGTTTTATCCTGTAACATAAGAACCAAGTTCACAAAGTTTGAGTCCAACCCGTGGAGGAACAGTTCGCAGCACTTTTCGGTCGGATTCACGTCAGTTTTCGTGGTTTTTAGGGTTTTTATCTCAAACTGAATTTTTCACAGAGGCTCTAAAACGATTTCAATCTCTAACTAATCTGATTTAAACACTCGCTAAAGAGGGAAAGTTAAAATGCCACTTCAGGGGATTAGCTTCACTGTTTCTAGGACCTTCTTTTTAGGGCGGATTAACTTCAACGTTTCTTCAGGGTCACGGGATTATTCCCAGAAAAGTCTCTTCGTCTTCAAAACAAAAACAACCAAAAGGTTCGAATCAGTTCAGCTCTGAGAAAAACATCAAAAGTTAGGGATGCTGCTGTCGACGGGATCTAAGGGCGTTAGGTTGAGACAGCGTTTCCAATATGGCTGCCGACGCGGTTAGGCTTCACAAGTTCGCCATTTAGTCTACTGTTACAGCGAATGAGATTGTTAGCGAAGTCTAACGTCAACGTTGTCAGGCGACGTAAATATCATGGCAGCATTTACGAGGGCAATGAGGGAGGAGGTCGGTTTACCCGGTGGGTCGTGAAAAAACACAACAGACTCTTAAAATGTGGTCGACCTCCGACTGAAACGGCGTGAAGGAAGCCCCCTCGTCTATCGCATGAATCAAGGCCCACCCTGCGGGCGTCTACCACGTCGTTGAGCAGCCCTCACCTGTATGAGCTCCTCCTTGGTGTTGAACTCGGACACCAGAACGTTCTCGCCGTCCGACACTCTGGTCAGAGAGACACACAGCCGACCCGAGGCCAGGACGTGTGCGTCTGAGGGGAGGTCCCGATCCAGGCCGGTCTTAATCACCTTCACCAGGTTAAAGGTTGGGTGAAGGGGGCCCAGGTTCCTCTTCCTGGCCTCTTTCGCAACCTCGATGACATCTTCACAGCATTTGACTGAAAATCAGAGAGAAAGACGAGAAGTTCAGGCTCAGCAGAAACTCGAACGGATCAATACCCTGCAAACAAGTACACGCAATCTGCATCCGGATCAATAATCACTGAACTACCAGGAGTCAACGACCAGCAGTGACCCCTTCTCCTGCGGGCCGAGTCCACTCTGAGCCCCCTTACTCGGACAGTTGAGACCCACAGAGTCCATGTTCTCCTGATTCCACACGACTTAAAGCTGCAGCTGAACTCCTATGAAAGGGACTTTTATCAGCCTCAGTATATCGACTTAAATTTATGAGCAGTGCCCTTTCAGCCTCAAGGTGACTGATTAGACGTGCTAATCTAATCTCATGCATGTTATCCACACCATGTTTACGCTGCTTTGAACACTGGAAGTCTAATTCTGGCTGAAAAATACGTTCATGAGTCAGGGATGGTTCAGACAAACACGTCTATTTTGGTCTGAAGTGACAACAACTTAGATTGAGAAATATCCGACACCGAACTGTGGGCTTTAATTCTGTAAACGAACCGTGAAAGACAGAAGTTAAAAACACGTGTTTGTTCAGATTTAACATTTTCAACAACAGTCACAGTCGTGTGTGAACGCGGTACGACGGGACATGATTCAGCACCAAAGAATAAAACAACCACATGATAAGACAGAGTGATAACACGATATTATACATGTATAAAATATGAGTATTTATCTCTGCTTCAAATGTCAAAGAAATAAATGTTAGCCAACCTGAAAACCGCCTACAATCAGTTTATTATTGAATTCTCTCTGAAACTTTAACCCTCTGAGGTCCTTTAAAAAAGTTACGTTTAGGTCCTTAAGTGGACAAAATGTCTGTCTCCTAAAAGTGCTCTAAAAATATCATACAGTAATATTTTTTTCCAACTTTTTTTGTTTAAATCTTTTTTCCAACTTCAGTCCTGATCACATCTATCAAATATTCATTCATTGTCAGAATTTTAACCCTTTAAATGCCAGTTTCACTCTAAGATGTCGCTGTTATTTACAATAGAAAAGAAAAATAATTTGAAGTTTATCTTTCATTTATTACACGCTGGGCAGGAATTTCTGTGTTTTTTTGTTTATAAAGGTCTATAATGTGTCAAAAATTAACAACAACATTAATGTTATGTTTGATGTATCGTCCAAATTCTAAAGAAATTACGTTTAAGTCCTTAGATGGACAAAAATGTTTTTGTCACAGTGAATATTGACCTGATATAATAATTTTAAATATTGGAAAAGAAAAAAAAAACTAAACACAATCCATCCATTTGCATGAACACAGCCAAAATGATCAACAAATGAAAGGTAAAAAGTCACTAAAAAGGACAAAAAGAGCCTCAGAGGGTTAATTTTTGAGTCAGACTTAAACTCAGAAATTCACTAAAAGTTTTGTGAAAGTTGAAAAAAGTGTTTATCAACTGATATTTTAACTAAAGTTAAGACGTTTTGTGTAGGTAATAACAACAACAGTAATAAAGTATTCTTCATGTCCACATGTCTGCATGTTTTTCACAGCAGAGCTCCAGGACGTGCAGCGGCTGTTTCTTACTGATCGAAGCCTGGCTGGCGAGCACAGAGGCGGTCAGAGCTCCGGCAGAAGCCCCGTACAGCTTCGTGGCCCCTCGGATGAGGTACGGCGCTTTCTCCAGCAGACAGCTGGCGACTCCGATGTGGTAAATCCCCAGAAACCCGCAGCCGGCGAAGGACAGGTTCCAGCCTCCGTTCAGGTCAAACATGGTGGGGCATACCCGGGCTGCGGGGCCCTGAGAGCGGATAGAACACCGTGTACTCTCCGCTGAGGGGGTGAGGGAGGCACGCCGGCTGTTTCAGCCCCGGATGGTCGGAGAGAAGCGGTCTGAGATCCTCCACAAGTCAACCGCTGGTTCTATAGAGAGGAGAGGGGGCGGGGAGACGGCTCATGATGCCTTCAGGGACTGTCGGACAAAATAACATCTACAGAGAAAACGCAGCAGGAGCAGCATGTTGATCTTTGTCAAACACTCTTTTCCTCTAGTTTATCAATATTTTTTATCAATAGCAATAAATCGACAATCAACAACGACCAACAACAGAGGGAACCTGTTATAGCTACCAAAGTCCAAAACCATAAGACGGTCATAATAAGAAATGAAGTAGAACATACTTGTATATAAGAGCTGAAACCACCAGAAGTTTTATACACTGGCTTCATAAAATGAGACAACATATAATAACAATAATAATAATAATAACTTTTATAGCACTTTTAAAAACAGAAGTTGACAAAGTGCTTTGACAAACAGTCGTAAAGAACATGGAAATAGAAACAAAAAACAAAAGGCCTCCGAACTTAAGGACAATTTCATTTTTCATAAGAAACCAAGACAATACAAGAACCCTATAAAATAAAACGAGACCATTAAGGACCGAAATAAAAACATTAAATAAGTGAGAAAAAGAAAAAGGTAATAAAAAGGGGGGTAGAAAGCAGGAATCAGGATAGTAAATATAGGAAGACGATATTAATAATCATAATAAAATGATAATGATGGTAATAGTGATATAATGGAAAAACAAAAATGAGCAGGAAAAAGCAATAAACTCAATAAAAGGCCTAAAAGGTTAAATAAGAAAAGATTATGAGTAAAACAAAGGCTAAAAGGACAGGAAGTCAAAATATGAGAATAGACGATATAATTAAAATTAAGAAGATATAATGATCAAAATAGTTTGCACTAAGTTTTCTGTCCATAAAGTCACCAATACACAGATAAATCACTGCAGTGCTAAACAGACTTTTGTTATAGATTACATTGAAACTGTTCTTGAGCACAGGTTTACAGCCATGGTGTTCATTTTTTTTAACCTGTTTTTAAACTTCGGGCACAAGCTCAAAATTCAAACAGCCCAAATATTAATAATGTAATATATGAGTTATTGAACCAAACAAAAAAACCTGAATATTGGCTTACTGTGTTTTATTTTCAGTTTTCACATAAAAGTTTGAGAAATTATGACTAAAAAGTTCCTGAAAAATCAGATTTAAGTGTGATTTACTCCAGAAGAGCAGCTCCAGTTGAGGCGGAGTCCATCTGAACTTCACTCCTGGATACTTGATTAAGTGTGACTCAGACGCTTTATTACATAAAAACTGTAATAAGGTCATGTTCAGCACTGAGTCATAGGTTACATACAAATTACATCATTCACGAGGGACAGTGAATGCAGCACAAGTTATTCAGAACTCGGTTGGATCAAGGCGCGTCAATCATCTCCCATTTTTAGCTCGACAGCCAATCAAAAGAGAGTAGGTTAGGAAGCAAATCACGAAGCCACGCCCCCTTAAAAAAAATCATAAACAAACTCTCCTTCACTGTGCCCGACAGTCTCTGCTGACTTCACACATCTTTATCCATGTTAGTAACTCTGTGATGAGACAGAATTATTTTAATATAATGGTTTGTTTTATGTTTGTAAGTAAACACAGAACAGTTTTACAGCCAAAATTTCATGAGGTGAATGTCCAAAATGTCAGGGTTAGGGTCACATGATTCAGAGGGGCGGAGTCTCTCAGAAGGAAAGATGGACGAGGTTCAGGACTCTGTGAGAGACTGCGTGAGCGAACAGTTCAACAGTTTCTGAATAATGTTCCTGAGTGGATTTCATCATCTACAGAACTTAAAGGGATATTTAGGGTCAAACCCACCGTAACACCGAGTTAGACACCCCCTCCAGAGATGACTTCAAGAAAATGATAAAGAAATGATCATAAATGTTCGTCCTTGAGCTGGGTCTGGAGAAATCTCTGTACTAAAGGGACAAGGACCAAAACCAGGACTCGATGGTCCTGATATACAGGGCATGAAAAACAGACAGGACTCTGGAGTGGAAATCACCGCATGGAAAGGGCAACTAGTGAGTAAGTTTCCAAGTAAGAACTGGAAATCATAGAAGCTGCATCCTCAGTTTTAGAGAGTTTTAAAGAGGGGGATCATCAGAGTCCATGTCCTGTAGATTGTGGTAGACTACATCATAAAATCATATTACACATAAAAAACATTACTACTCTATTATTACTTACACAGTAGATATGGTGGCCGAGAACCGCCACTACTGCAAATAAAAAAAGGAAGTCACAAAAAAGTTTGTGATGCAAAAAAAAGAGAAAAAAAAGAAAAAGAAACCTAAGCCTACTGCAAATAAAAAGAAATGGTGCAGATAAGAAAAAAAAAAAGCCACAGTGGAAGTCAACGATGCAAAAAAAGAAAAGTGGCGATGCAAAAAAAAAAAAGTTTCTAACTGCGAAAAATAAAAGGATGCAAAAAAAAGAAAAAAAAAAAAAAAAAGAAAATAAAAATGCCACCATGGAAGTGAGCTGCCAGGGACCAACAATGACAATGCACCAGGGTTTTATGATCTAGGCACAGAAGACGTCTACGAAAAGACGATCAAAGAAGTAAGTGGAAAGGTTTTTGTTTAATTTCACTTCGTAAACTTTTAAAGTGTCGTTTGGTTAGACCATGTAGCGCCTGAGTCCATATGAAGTTAAACTGGAGGACGTCGGTGTAGAGTTAGCTTCAGTTCATCCTTATATCAACTCAGGTGCTACATGGTCGAACCACTTTAAAAATTTTACGAAGTGAAATTAATCAATAACCTTTACACATCTTTCCGCCGTCGTCTTCTGTGTCTAGATCGTAAAACACCAATACTGGTCCCCGGCAGCTCACTTCTGTTGTGACTTTTTTTTTTTTTTTTTTTGCATCGTCACTTTTTTTTGCGTCGTTAACCTCCATTGTGCCTTTTTTTTAATCTGCACTGTATGTTTTTTTATTTACAGCTTCGTTTCCTTTTTTAATTTTCATCGGTAACTTTCATTGTGACTTTTTTATTCGCAGCAGTGGCAGTTCTCGGCCACCGTACATAGAGGGTTGTTGAAGCGCACTCCTGTATCCTGTGATGGGAAGCGTCCTTCCCCCGCGTGCTCGCGCTTCCTGAGGAGAGAGAGTGGTCCTGATGCTGGATCTCGTGCCCGCGCATTACATCACTTCTCTGCTGCGTGATTGGCTGGTGGGTCAACTCAGCATCCACCGCGAGCCTCAGCACCCTGAAGCAGCGTCTCAGAACATCCTCATCATCACACCTCCATCCTCCTCCTCTTCTTCATCATCTGTGGTTTTAATCACACACCGAAAACACCCTGTTCACGTGGCTGTGCGCGTTTTCGTGTCCGTGCTCTGGCGGCTCGTTTCGAGGATGGCGGAGAGCGAGGCAGACACGCCGAGCACGCCGATTGAGTTTGAGAGCAAATACTTCGAGTTTGATGGAGTGCGGCTGCCGCCCTTCTGCAGAGGGAAGATGGAGGAGATCGCCAACTTCTCCCTCAGAAGTAGCGACATTTGGATCGTCACCTACCCGAAGTCAGGTAAGCAAACCTCTGCAGCGTCACTTCCTGCTCTGTGCTGCAGGATCATTAAAGTTTCCTCTTATAAATGAACCTCAGACTCCAAACATCAGTCAGTCAGAAGGTCTGGTCTGCAGGTTCAGCAGGTTACAGTGATTCCTGCAGCTTCTGTCTTTATTCGCAGTAAAACTCTGATTTACGGGCCTCTATCAGGCTCTTAAACGCAGCATATGTTTCATAATCAGACTCGAACTAATTAAGTCAAAGTCAATCGATGAATGTCTGGCAGTAAAGTGCAGTGCGTCTGCGCAGGCCGTGGTTATTTACAGGAGTGACACGCGCTCTCAGACGCAGGTGGAGGTGGTGTTTACATCCTGCAGACTGTTGTGGTGCAGCGCTGCTGCAGGCGGTGCGCTGCACGGTGCCCTGCTGAGCGCTGGGTGGGACCGGTCATGTGACCCTGGGTGGTGGGCAGCTCGAGCTGGAGAGGGAGTTTGATTCTGGTGTTAATGATAATTAATCTGTTATTAATGCAGTAATGAAACACCTGAACTGATCTGAATGGAAGAACTTTGATTTTATTATGAGTTTATTTAATCTGAACATTTACAGCTGCCATTACATGTGTGTCTGTCTCCTTAGATTAATGCATCTCTATTTTCAGCATAAAAGCATCTCTCTGTGTTTATCCCGCAAACTGTTCTCCAACCAAGACCTTAAGATTTAATTTAAAAAACAGTCTTTTAACTAATTAAAGGTGGGGTAGGCAGGATTCTGTTAAAGAAGGATCTTATTTTGTGGTGTATAAACAAAAAATCTTCTAATATCAGTCAATAGTTATTAGTTATTGATGACATTTGGTAATATATCGATATCTCTGTGTTCTCTTCTGTCTGTGTCGTCAACATTTGAACATTTTTGAGCGGTCCGCTCTTTCTGACTGTAAACAAAGCCGTTCTCCACCTCCTCTAACCTGATTGGTTGTGAGGCAGACGCCGCTCCCCCGTGTCGTTCAGGAGCCCAAACAAAGTTAGCGTGCTACAATATCGGACAGTAGAAACCAACCAGAAAGTTCAGAAAATTGTCTGAATCCTCCTTTGGCCACGACTGCCGACACAAGCAAGAAAACAAAGTAAATACCGGAGACTCTGGAGGAATAACGGGCGCTTAAAACGGAGGTAGACCGGACAAGAGCTAAAAAGCCGGGTCAACATAAACGATGGGGGACGCTTGGGGATCTTGGTGACCCTGTAACCTTTCTGCTGGACAGGTAAACCGCTTTAACAAAGTAAGACAAGTGTCTGTAACAGAAGTGTTTCTTGTCAAACGGACCTGCTGTAGCGTGTTGTAGCGCCATCGCTAAACTGTCCTCCCTCGGGTCCTGGACTATGTCACTTTATCCTCGTTGTAGAAGTCCTGCAAACATTGTGTTTGCTGGTAGTCTGTTGGCATCTACAGTAGCACCAATGCTTTTGACTTTCACCTTGACTGGGCCCCATTTGTAATGATCTGAAGGATTTATCTGCATTATATCTGAATTTAATTGGAACGATACGAGCGAGCAGGAGCGTCTGTTTGTGGGCGGGGCTTAAGAGAGGGAGGGGAGAGGAGGAGCTGAGGGGAAAACTGGTTTGGAGGGGTCGAGTTTACATTCAAGATTTCTCCTAAAAACTGGAACTTCCTCAGATCCTGACTACAACACCTTTAAATGTACATTATTTACATCCATGCACCATGATTCTGCCCGTTAACGATATAAATTAAAGTTGTATATATATATATATATATATATATATATATATATATATATATACATACATCTATAGAAGAAGGCCTTGATCATTTATTTTTCCTCTGAAGTTACTTGATTTTTTAGATTCTCTGTCAAATATTTGCTTTTATTCTGAGAAGTTTCTCTCGTCACTTTGGTCGGCTGTCTGCCTGACTAAAATGAGAAATGACTACAGCATAACAGAAAACCTTTTTGTGTTTTGTGTTGAGAAACGTAAAAACAAACTATCCAGTGACACCCAGACTGTGTTCAGAGGATTTCTGCAAAACTGCAGGAGACGAAACAAGAATCTGCTGTTGTCATCACAGGCTGCTTCATGGCCACTGAAAAACTGTAACCTGAGAAACACAAGTGCAGTTTAGGGAGGACGATTAATCCGAATGCAGATGTGTCTGAGATGCATCACAGCAGATTTTGTTCCACACAGGTTATTTTCATGCAGCTGAAATCCTCTGAAACTCGAGTGGGACGAATTCTTTGTGCCTAAAATTAGAAATCCAGCCCAGGGTTTCACCAGTTAAACTTAAGTTTAAAGGTAACCAAGTTTAAATGCAGTTTTAAATTTCTGAGTAAACACTGGCTGTTAACGGCTCATAGTTTTGAGAGACAGAGAGACTTTGATGAAGAGGGTTTTACTGACTGATTTGTGTTTTCAACGATAAAGAACATCGGTCGAAAATGTGCGACGAGTTTGATCTGAACTTCTGCTGTTTTTCTGCTTCCTTGGTGTTTGCTGTAGTCGATTATAATTTAATACAGCATTTAGTGCCGTGCTTTGTCATCTGTCACTGTCATGTTGCAGACAGCTGGAGCTTCACTGATTGAATTAAAGCTTCATTTCTGCAACAGTAGTTCGGTTAAATTGGACATTGTGCTCTACCGGTGAGTAAATTCAAAGTGTGCACGGTGAAACCAAACAGTGACACAACTTAAGCGACAAACTTTCTATTTTTAAAGTACAGCTTGGTATAAAATTTGCACCTTAGGTTTAGATGCATCTTAAACAAAGCAGCTGCAGCAGGCCAAAGCCAGTTTTAGTTTTACTCTTCCATGAACTTAAGGCTGAAATCTAAAAGAAGATTTTGGAGAGTTGAATTTTAGTTCTATGATCTATAATCTTCATACAGCAAAGGTACAAGCTCAGGGACGCAGCAAGGTCAACATTAGGCAGTAAATTAGTCAAAGTGGTTCAAACAATGTCCAATATTTGCGACCGGGACTTCAATCTCGGCTGGTTTTCAGAGAAATTATTACTCAGACGTTCGAATAAGCCCCTCCATCATGAGATCTTTTTTCTCTAAGAGGTCTGAGCTGTTAAAACGGCTTAATGTCGGTCTGTGGGCTGAATTAATCCGCCATGCGATCAGGATTGTGCCGCGTTCACAGTCATGTAAATTCAGGCCATAAAGGAATCAGAGGCTCATTGAATAACACCGAATGCGTTCATTTGCATGTTTGAGTTTTGTGAACAGAGTCCAGTGAGTGGACGGGGATCAGTGAGTGTTGCTGTGGTAAACGTGCTGCTACATACATGAGACATGCGACATGAGACAGTGCCGATTCCTCTTCAGGTTTTTCTCTCCCTGCAACAGTTCATGCTGCAGCCCCAGAGTCTGTTTGTAAACATGATTAATTTACCCGGGATTTCCACCGCATCTGGAACGCCTCCAATCTGGAATGGTGGAGATTTTTGCTGTCCGCCAATTCCTACCAGATCCGTTTGTGAGGCGAATTTGATAGTGAATTACGGACAGAAGGAATTGCAAGAACTCACAGGAACTTGCGGATTCACGAGCAATTGTACGATAATAAGTTGTCTCTATAGCCAAACAGGCTAACCATATAAGCAGTAGATTGTGTCCTTCCAGAGGAGGAAATCTACTTCTAGACTTCTAGAATCAGCATCTCCTCATCCATGGTGTCATCGGGGTGAAATGACGTCTAAAAACCTTTCACTTGTTCGTTGTTTTATTTAGAAAAGAAGCCGGATGTTTTATTTCGGGTTAATCTGTGCTGAATTTATCCGCCATGCTCCGGCGTCCAGAAAAAATAGAACTCTTGTGATCAGCTGAGGAGTCCGGCGATCCGCAGAGGAACGGAAAGAAGTCGGTGTAAATTGACACGTTAACTTGAATGGTTACGATCAGCTACGATCGGAGGATACGACCTTTTAGGAGACGATCAGGATGAAGGTGGAAATTGGGGGTTAGACCTGGTGGAGTTAAGAGACCTTCATGCTGACTGCTGGAAGACAAAGTCTCTAAATGAGACTTCCACCATCACAAACTGAAGAAGGGGCTGCCTGTAAATCCACGCGAAGAGTCTGAGGAGTGATCTCAGGACAGTCGATCTACACAGCTGTGTAAAAAGTAACACCCCGAGCTGTGTCTAACTTTCTATCAAAGCTCATTCCAGGTGTCCCGTATCATCTTACCATCTCATCAGGTAGTCGAGCAGAAAGGCATCGTGGTTCATCAGGGGTTGCTGAGGCTTTGCTCACCTCCTACATCTCACCTTTTCAACCTTTACCAGCTCTGTGTGTCTGAAACTGAACACTGGAGTTAGATAACATTGAACGCCCACGATCTGGACAAGAATTTAAAACACAGCATCACTGATGTAAGAAAACAAAATCTTGTGCAATTAAACTTCACAAATGTAATGCCTTATTTTCAGTAGAAGTCCTGATTTGAGCAACAAACGGACCTTTGTGTTTGACTCTGAGAACACATGCAACATGACATAATAGACATGAAAGCCTTGGATAAGGATGTCAGAATCGTTTCCAGGAAAGGATGGCCTGAAATCAGAGACCTTCAGATTTCTACTGAAGTCACTGCAGATGACAGCTTTGAGTGGCCTCCATGAAAAGTCACATTCATAAATTTGTTACACAAAAATCCAAAATGTCCCCTGACATTTCTAGACCAAATAAACGAAAGCTTTGTCTGCACGTTTTCACTTTAAAAATAATGATTTGAGTACAGAAACGTTAAAAAGAGCTGTTTTTAGAATTTCTGCAGACTTTTGGGCTTCATAAGAGAAACCACCTCTCTTCTGTCCTGCAGCTCTGTGTTTGTGATTCTGTTGCTGCTGCAGAGAGAGACCAAGCACATGGCAGGACACATGGCTTCAATGCTGCAGAGCATTGATGCTATTGGCTAACATTTGGCTGTCTTAGCCAATGGAATATAAAAGACTACATGAACCTGAAGGGGGTTTAAAGTGAGTGTGGGGGTCTGCAGAGTGTGATGGCGGTACCTTTATGTCTGTTTTGACATCAGCCAGATGCTGCATCATCGCTCTCTGCAGACCTCTGCACCGCCCTGCACACTCATTAATCACAGAGGCGTGAATCAGACACGCTGACACAGAGGACAGAACATCCCCTGCTCTGGCTGCACGCTATGTTCATGAGAGTTTCAGGGAAAATAACAAAAAATCCAAATTGACTGAAAATCTCAGAGCCAATTTGCCGGTCAGGACGAGTGTATCAGTTTTCTTCTGTGAGTCTGCAGAGGAATTACTCAGGCTTTGGATGCTCTGCAGAAGTCTGAGGATGTGGAGTGTGAAATATGAAGACAGGAAATTAAACTGAAAGTCAAAATATCAAAATTTCTTCTTCATCGATTTATATAATCCTTTCTTTACTCTGACTTTTGCACAAACTCCAGTTTCATATTCAGACTTCAGTTGTTGACAACCAAGTGAGTGCAGAAGAAGGTACTCTGACATGCATGTTGTCGAGGTATCAGGGTGCTGTTTGAAGTGTGAAGCATGTTATAACGCAGATCAAGACATGTGACACGTCTCCATTTACTCTATTTTTGGAGGAACAACACCAGCAACCACCACGAAATGACAAAGACAAGAGGGCTGACGACTTCAAACAGAGAGATTTCCTGACTAACAAAGCTGGTTCGCCAACAACATCAGTGCTCTCTGCGGAAAATGACACCCGCTCATGCAGACATGCTTTTTTCCTCCAGCACGTTAAAAGTGGACGCTGTGAGTCTTATTTTTCGGTTCAGCTCTTGTTGCAGTAATTCCTCATGCAGCAGTTATTTTTGTCGGCCTGCTCTGCATGTCGTTATTCAGCGTGTGCAGTAACTTGATGCCAGCGGCGTGGGCAGGGATGATGGTGTGGGTGGGTGCAGAGGAACCCAGATAGGCCTACCTGAGCCTAAAATAATCCCCTCTTAGGTTTAGTAACACCTTTGTCGAGCAAAGTAGGACATCAGAACCACTCGCCTGACCGATTTAATCACATAAGCCACATCACAGGTCATGTCACATACATCAGCAGTAACAGCATCACATGACCTCGAACTCCGAATTTTCACAGCGTCCGGAACTGCTCCAATCTGGAACGGCTGCAATTTTCCCCGTCCGCCAATTCCTACTGCATCCGTTTGTGAGGCAAATTTCGTGGCGGATTACGGACAGCAGGAATCGCGAGAACTCACAAGAACCCGCGGATTCACGTACAATCATGTGATGACAAGTTGTCTTTAGCCACAGAGGCTAACCATATAAGCAGTAGATTGTGTCCTACCAGAGGAGGAAATCTACTTCTAGACTTCTAGAATCAGCATCTCCTCATCCATGGTGTCATCGGGGTGAAATGACGTCTAAAAACCTTTCACTTGTTCGTCTCCGCCCCCGTTTGCATGGTGTGAAATACGATCAGCCTTAAACACGGGTTAATCTGTGCTGGATTCATCCGGCATGCTCTGGCATTCGGAAAAAATAGAACTCTTGCGACCAGCTGTGGAGTCCGGTGATCCGCAGAGGAACGGAAAGAAGCCGGTGGCAATTGACACGTTAACTTGAATGGTTATGACCAGCTACGATCGTTGGATATGACCTTTTTGTAGCCGTTCTGGTGGAAATTGGGGGTTAGGCTTGTGAAACACAGATGCAGCAGCACCAATGCTCTGTGCTAACAAGATAACAGGTAGAAGACAGTAGATGGAGCAGGAAATAAGGAGTGAAATGCTAGAAAGTGGCCCCAGGAGGGAAACAAGCTCAGGTAGTCCACATTAGGATCATAGACTGTGACTGTGCTTAGAGGACGAGGATGACGGCGCCTCAGTCAGATTTAAATTTCTCTGAATCAAGTCTCTACATTATGGAAGAGACACTTGACATACATGGTCGTAATAGGAAGGAAACTCGATGTGAGGAGACAGCACTGTCAGCAGAAGTGTCACTGCTAACATGCTGCCAGTGCGAGCAGTAGCAGCAGTGCAGCCGTCATGTGCTGCTCAGACCTGCAGCATTTCTTACTTTAGCTCTGCATCTGAATCTCTAACATTTCTTTCTGCGAACGACCATCAAGTCAATATTTTGAAAAGTCACACGATCATGTAACGACGCCGGGAACACAGAGAAGGATGATCTCGTTAGAGGAGGCGGGATGTCCAAGTCTACATAGCGTGCCAGTGGTCCATTTTGATTAAAATGGCAACTCTTTGATGGTTGAGATGTTTGAGACATGCATGTTTTCTCACAGTCCTCATGTAATCTTTTTTTTCTTGGTCAAAATATTTTTGGTATTTTTTTCAATTTGGATGCCACAGCTGATGTTTTTCATGTGCCGAACACAAATGAAGCCTTTCATCGATGCTAAATACATCTTCAGTGGTGAAGGACAAAAGCTTTTTCAGGGTCCTGATAGGGATCTTGTGTGGAGTTTATTTGGTTTTACAGAAATTATGTTGGCGGCCTGAGGCCTAAGAGTGTCACATCTTTCACCCCGAAGCAGAAGAAACGTCAGTCCTGCTCATGTCAGACCCCCTCCTTTAGAAAACTGGTGAGCTGACCGACTGACGGTCTTACTGACAGCAAACAATGATGGATCGTTCCTGATGTGTCACCTTCCTCTCTGCTTAATGAAACTTTGTCCTTCATGCTGCTCATCCCATGCTTCAGTATCTGCCTCCTGTTTCTGTCAGAGCAGTGTGTGGGATATCGGATTGGACCGACACACTTATTTCTGCAAACCAGTGAGTCATCGCAGAGAACATTGGCATGGCAACAACAGAAAGTCTGTTTTGAAAAGACCATTTTTTTAGAGGCCAAGACGGATTTTTTTACAGGACAGGTGGTTGTTGGTGAGGGCCACGAGTTCAGAGTATAATAAAGAAATTCTGCTGTTCTGTTCAAGTTCATCACTGCGTCAACAAATCCAGGTTAAAACTGTAGGAAACACGGCCTGGGTCGAGGGTCACGCCATGCCTTTGTATGTTTCTTGTTCTCTTCTGGTCACTAAAACTCCTGATCATTCACTGTTTGTTTTCTGTCTCTTCGTAGGCACCAGTCTACTTCAGGAGGTCGTGTATCTCGTGAGTCAGGGAGCAGACCCCGATGAGATCGGCCTTATGAACATTGATGAGCAGCTGCCTGTCTTGGAGTACCCCCAACCAGGTCTGGACATCATACAGGTAATACAGCTGAAGCTCATACGGCCCTGCTTGTATCACCTTTGTATTGCATTGATAAAGATTGATAAAGGTAGTGAACCCAGCAGAACAGGTCCTGGAGTCTGAAAGTGAAATGTTGTCCCGTTCTGGCCTGATAGAGGATTTCGCCTACTCAGCAGTTCAGGGTCTCCTTGGTCCTGTTTTTGGGGTCATGATTGTCCAAATGTTTTTAAGTCAGGACTGCATCAGTCCAGTTTCTCAGCAGGACTCCTCTCCTGTTGAAATCCCTGTTGTCACAATGTGGTTTGGGATCAGATGAAGGTCTTCCCTCGAAAAGTCTTTGTCTGGATGGACGCAGATGTTGCTCCTAAACCTGGAGATATTGTTTAAAACTGAGGATGCAGCATCTATGACTTCCAGTACTTTGTTGAAAGGACAACTGGACCTACTTGAGACGTTTTGCCTTAGATGAAACATCCAGTTGTTCTTTCCAAAAAAAAAACGTAAGATTTTGACCCATCAGACCACAGGCCAGTTCTCCTCGTCCCCTAAGTCCACCTTAAATGGGCTCAGGTCCAGAGAAGGCTCTGGTGGTTCTGGATCCTGGTCTTATCTGGTCTCCTCTTTCATGGTTCAGTTTGAACCTCATTAGTGGATGCAGTGATGATGATGTGTTCACAGATAATGGTTTTTGAAGTGATTCTGAGTCCATGCGGTGATTTCCACTCCAGAGTCCTGTCTGTTTTTAATGCCCTGAAGATCAGCACCATCCAGTCCTGGTTTTGGTTCTTGCCTCTTCATTATGTTTATGAAATGTTTTGAATTCATTTAATGGAAATCCCCTCATATAATATTTCATTGGCCGACATGCAAACAGGCCGAGTCTGTTCCTTTAGAAAGACAGTCTCCTGTTTTCTAAGAAATGGAGACTCTGTTTGTCGGTGACAGCGGGTAACATCAGATCACTCAGCAGGACTGATATGTAGAGAGAATAGCAAAGATCTTGACTGTTTTTGTACTAAAAAAAAAACACCAAAATGAGTTTAAAAAAGACTACATACAGTGGCACAGACAGGGAAGTTGAGGGTTCAATCCCAGCTCCTGCGGTCCTTTCCTGGAGTGTTGTTGGACACCGAGCCTCAGAAGCTCCTGATGGTTTATCCAGTGGTGTGTGAAAGCTTGTTTAATGGTCATGGTTAACTCTAATGGACATTCAGCATAAAACCCTCGGCCATCAGTGAAGGGGTGTGGTGTGAATGGGTGAATATGACATGTACTGTGAAAGTGCGCTGAGTGGTCCCATAAAGCACTTTGTAGTTACAGTCTGTTTATCACTGACCTTTGTTATAACAGCTGAGCTGTCGGTTAAATAACAGATCTGTGTTTCTACAGGAGCTGACCTCCCCTCGTTTGATCAAAAGCCATCTTCCTTACCGATTCCTCCCCTCAGCCATGCACAACGGAGAGGCCAAGGTCAGTTACCCACGATGCACCTCGCACAGACTGGAACTTTTCCGAGTAACATTTCTGTAGATGACAGTTTAGAGAGCTTTCCCTCCCTCCCCCCAAATCCAGCTGCACTGGTTTCAGTGTCTGACACAGTCTGGTTTCGGGGTCTCTCAGAGGGAACGCTGTTTGAATTGTCTTCAAAGTCCACAATGTGCAAGTTCCCTGCAGCTGCGCAGCTCTGTTTGGTTCCATCTTTTTTAACCATGTGGAGTTTGTTGGGCTCAGCTGACAGTCACATTTCCAGATGTGAGTAGAGGCGGGTTTGTCAGTTTATCAAAAGTTTAACCAACGTCAGAGCAGGGTTTGGATCCCTCGTCTTCCTCAGATGAACCACTGTGGGAAGTCCCAGTATGCCTTCATTGTTGCACCAACTCCTGCAACCGTGGCAGCATGCTGTGGTGGAAATTAAAATGACGTAAATGAATGTAGTTTACTAACGATAAATATATTTCAAATTAAAATTTAAAGTTGATTAAAACAGATTAGAGGATTTCTGCTCAGCTCTGGTTGGAGGGCCTCTTCCTCTAAACTCCACTGGTCTCTTCATGTCTTAAGTCTCGTTCAAATGCAGGCGGGTATCTGCAAACAGAAATCCAAAGTACTCATGTTGGTTACCTGACTACAGGGTGTCATCTGGTTTCTGCTCCTCCAGGTGATCTACATGGCTCGTAACCCGAAGGACCTGGTGGTCTCCTACTACCAGTTCCACCGCTCTCTCAGGACCATGAGCTACCGCGGGACCTTCCAGGAGTTCTGCCGCCGCTTCATGAACGACAAACGTGAGTGACAGAGATGCAGGAGGAACTCTGAGACACACCTGACCTTTTCCTCGACTCTGACCCGCCTGCCTCTCTGTCTCTCTCTGGTTTAGTGGGATATGGTTCCTGGTTTGAACATGTTCAGGAATTTTGGGAACATCGCATGGACTCCAACGTCCTCTTCTTGAAATATGAAGACATGTACAAGGTAACATCATCCTCATTTATCATCATCTAATGTGCTTTTTTTTTCTTTTAACTCAAACACTTTTAACAACAATGATCAGGCAGGACTTCTCTTATCAACAGTATGAATGAATAACAGAGCACTTGGAGTCCATTGACAGTATCATGCAGGCTTTGTACACAGTGCTGATCGCTCTCATAAAGCATTACTCTATCACCACCAGGACTACTGGAGTCATGTTTAGCTTGTGGATACTTCTTCTAACTTGAAGATGAGTTGTTAGTCTGAGACGAGCTCTTTTTCTTCCAGGATTAGCGCTTATTACAGCCTAGATAAGCACAAAAGGTGTAATAAAGGCAAAATATATGCTTTATGGAGGAAATAATGAAAGCTGAATCAAAGATAAAATAACGGTGTAGCACAGTCTTTATTAGGGTGTAATAAAGGCGTTATACAGGTTGAATTAAGGGTGTAAAAGTCACATTTTTGTGGAATAGTAACTATTTAACCGCCACTGAAATAACGGATATGAAATGTTACGTTACTTCTCACAGCTTCTCTCAAAGCAGTCAGAGGACTCTAATTGATCAGGAACCCTAGCACCGTTCTTGGCAAAGTCCGAGTCCTGAACGAACATTTAGGTTTTTTTTACCGACCCCAAACTTCATGTTCCTCATGATCAGCCAGTAAACAGCCGAACAGCACATCAGAAAGGGTGCGGGTTAAGTAATGCGCTGTGAGCGTCTCATCACCTGACCCACTTGTGCAGAAATAAAGGGAGTCTGATGGCCCACAAAGATTGGTGAACCGTCATTCATTCGTCACCGCTCGGTTGGGGAGTTTGCAGAATGTCAGGTCAGGTACTCCTCATATCCTCCTCTGTGTTCATAAAGAAAGCCTACTATTGCAGGACACACACTGATAATACGGTTTTGCAAACATCCAGCCAATAAAATCACATGAAGTTAAAATCCACCAAAATACCGTACACAGATATCTGCTGCTTCACCATCTGTTAAATCTTTAACCGTCACTTTGCCCTGTAATCTTCTTTTTGCACAACGTGGCACTCGCCTACATCCATATCTCCTCCATGTTCAGGACATTTTGTGTAAACATTCGAGGAAAAGAGGGAAATAAAAAGGCAAATCAATATCTGCCCTTTGCTTTGTCAAAGGTCTCTTTTTACAGTGTCTGCTCTTATCACGTTTATGAGGCTCAAACTCTCTGGGTTTTTCTTCAAAACCGCTTTCTTGGAACTCCAGCGAGAAGATGTAATGTGGCTGAACGGCACAGATCGCCTCTGGTGTTGGAGAAAACTCCTTCATTGATAATTACTAGAAAAAAAAGCAACTCTTTATTTCTGATTGGAAAAACACTGAAAAGGCTTCAGTTTTACACCTCATACCTGTACTATAACTAGTGTAAAATCTTGTGAGTGAAGAAGAAGCTAACAGAGGATTACAGATCGAAAGCCTCCAGATGCAAGAAATGATCAGCAAAGAGACGGAGAAGAAGACTCTTCTGTTAGTCCCACAATTTCATGAATGTGTTCCCAGTTCAACCAAAAAGCCCTTTTTCTCCAAGTGAACCCCTGATCGCGTTCGCAAAATTGTCTCCGTTTAAAACTGACGTCATTAAAGATACAAATATGAAATATCAAAAATACCAGAAATGACATCTTTAAGGCGGACCCTCTTAGGAAACCTGACAGGTTTTAGAAGGTGCATTAGAGATATCTTTAAAAACTGAGCTGAGGGTTTTGAGTTGGCGGACTTTCGCCTCCTCACTTTATGTCACTGCTGCCAGTTTGAGGCCAGTCCAGGGACGCCAAAAGACGAGGGCACCTTCATCTCAGTCTGCTTACAAACATATGTCACCTTAGCCAGGCACAACCCAAAAATTCCAGCCCTTTACAGCCCCAAGACTGATGTCAAACTCTCCAATATGCGCACTGACTCCACTGCCCACTCTCTTTCTGACATGACACAACACGAAAGCATCTAAGCAGAACAAAAGATTCAGGCTTTGTGGAGATATGGGACGCACAGAAATGAACAATCTTTATTTTTGGATTAAAAAAGGTCAATGACGGAGTCTGTTGAGCAGAAGGATTGTTTCAGTCGGTTGACTCAGCAGATCCGTAAGAAAGAGGCCTTTGTGTTTTAACATGTGCTCAGGTTTACAGATGCCCCAGGTGGGAGACAACATGGCTCGTCCCTGAGAACAACAGAGGATCTGTTTCTGCCTTAATATCAGAGTTTGTATGTGCAAGGTTGGTCTCTGTTGGAGGTCCAATTCCTGCACATTTGCATGACTCTGGTCCTAAAACGTAAATTCAGCCTCTGCCTATGGTTTCAGAGGAGCAGTGTGATAGCAGCTCTGTTAGTCTGTTGTCCTTGTAGGTCAGTAATCTCAGACTGGACCTACTTTAAACACACACAGACACCCAAAGCAAACACAGACATGTAACACGGAGCTGTAAACTGATAGCCTTTACGTTAAACTGCTCCTACAGATGATTGATACGAACACAGAGCTGTACATCATGTCCTTACAGCTGTCAGAGTTTCACCTTTACACCAGATTGTGTAAGAGCAGAGGACAGCGTGTTCCCTGCAGCCGTGGGTGGATGCCGTTTGGGGAAGCAGAATCTGTGCATTAGAGATATTTCAGGATCCACGAGGGAGGCAGTTCCTCACATTTATTTTGTAGTTTTGAGTTTTCTTCATGCTCGTGTTTTTCTCTGCAGGATCTGGGGAACCTGGTGGAGCAGTTGGCGCGGTTCCTGGGCGTCTCTTGTGACAAGTCTCAGCTGGAGGGCATGGTGGAGAGCTGCAACCAGCTCATCGAGCAGTGCGGCAACTCGGAGGCGCTGTCCATCTGCAGGGGTGAGTGGAAGAGGAGCTACAGGAGGTCAGAGCTGCTCCTCTGGTCTGCTGAAAAAGCAGATTTCTGTGAGGTCTGGGTGAAAGGCCTCTGGAGGCTGAATCAGACAGTGAGGAGTCAAACCTTCGAAGCATTACATACATTTAAAACCCTGACAGCTGACATTTATCCACATTTTATGTCTCTAACTTTATGATTTCTCCACATGATCGGCTCATTTTGCTTTTTTTTTCTCCTTTAAAAAATGATGATGGCACAGTGGGATCATTTCCAATCAGACTTTTTAATGGCTCGATCATGAGAGCACCGAAAAGGTCAGACTATCCCACTGAGAAATGTGTTCAAAATTGATTTAAAGCTCACGAATGTCGTCACAGCTCCCTCTTCAGAGCTTCTTCTGCCTTTAGGTGATCGTTTAACTACTGTGTCCTCTCTAAAACAAAGCAGCAGCATCCATGACTCTCAGCTTGACAAATTAAAGCTGAAATATTTCATGGCCAGATTTAGATAAATATTAGTTTATTCATCGGCATCACAAGCCGAATTTCACATGACTGTAATCTGTATATTCCATTCCGTTATGAATGCTGTACAGGCTTTAATATGTTAGTGCTCAACCTGAACGTCCACAGTGTAACTCAGAGTATGGAATAATGAAGTCAGCCCTTTATAATACCCAGGCTGTAAACTCTCCTGCTACAGATGAGCTTTTCAGAATGAGTGTGTATGTGGTTTCAAGTGCTTCTGTAGCCGACCTCTAATGGACACTCAAGGAACTGCAGTTTTCTAAAGACTGGATTTTCCTGCTGGTATAGAATTAAAGGTGGAGTAGGCAGGAATCCTTTAAAGAAGCAACTTTTTTGTGGTGTATAGACAAAAAAAGCTTCTAATATCAGTCAATAGTTATTAGTTATTGATTGGTTGTGAGGCAGACGCTGCTCCCCCGTGTCGTTCAGGAGCCCAAACAAAGTTAGCGTGCTACAATATCGGACAGTAGAAACCAACCAGAAAGTTCGGAAAATTGTCTGAATCCTCCTTTGGCCACGACTGCCGACACAAGCAAGAAAACAAAGTAAATACCGGAGACTCTGGAGGAATAACGGGCGCTTAAAACGGAGGTAGACCGGACAAGAGCTAAAAAGCCGGGTCAACATAAACCATGGGGGACGCTTGGGGATCTTGGTGACCCTGTAACCTTTCTGCTGGACAGGTAAACCGCTTTAACAAAGTAAGACAAGTGTCTGTAACAGAAGTGTTTTCTTGTCAAACGGACCTGCTGTAGCGTGTTGTAGCGCCATCGCTAAACTGTCCTCCCTCGGGTCCTGGACTATGTCACTTTATCCTCGTTGTAGAAGTCCTGCAAACATTGTGTTTGCTGGTAGTCTGTTGGCATCTACAGTAGCACCAATGCTTTTGACTTTCACCTTGACTGGGCCCCATTTGTAATGATCTGAAGTATTGATCTGCATTATATCTGAATTTAATTGGAACGATACGAGCGAGCAGGAGCGTCTGTTTGTGGGCGGGGCTTGAGGGGAGAGGAGGAGCTGAGGGGAAAACTGATTTGGAGGGGTAGAGTTTACAGTCAAGATTTCTCCTAAAAACTGGAACTTCCTCAGATCCTGACTACAACACCTTTAATATGATGTTACAGGAAACTCTTGTGATAACAGTATTTAAAAACCATGAACTCCTCACCTGGCTTTAAGTTCATTTACTATTTAATTTTGTTTATTTAGGATTACAGTATACATGTAAAAACTGGCTTACATATGACTCAGAGCGCTTTGGACCCAGTAGACTGCACTTAACATAAAATTTGATAAAATGAACCAACTTTACTAAAACTCAGCTCTTCTTTAGATTTTATTTTTTATCATGAAGCAGCACAAAAGCAGAATCTGACTCTGAATTATTGTCTTCCTGAAATTCTGCCGTTATTTTTAACTTGGATTTTTTTTATTTTTCTTCAAGTTAAAACAAGAATAAAAAAATTTGGTGTTATAGATGATAAATGTCTGCACATGAACGTGATTGTTTTTTAAGTCTGACATGGTTACAGCACCACCCTGTGGCTGCATTTTGCACCTGCATCAATAGTTAAATCTATAGTTTGATTTGACCTGCTTGTCCATTTTCACTCAGACCCTTTGAGTTGTATTTGTCTTTTGCATTTCCTCAAGTGTTATAATTATTCATATTTATTTATGTTGACCTTCTTGTTTTGATTTACTCTTTTCTGTCGTCCGTTTTTTTTTTTTTCCATCTTTTCTTTTCCTTTTAGTGCATGGGAGTCTGGTGTCTGCTCTGCTTTAGGCTAAACACACAGCTGCCTGTCAGTCTGAGCTCAGATCAGTCTGTCTCTCAGCTCAGCAGGTGAGTCACAGCTGCATCAGATGAGGGTTGAGGAAATATACAGCTGTTTTCTTTTAGTGGAAATATTGATATTGGACTAAAAACAAACATATGTCGAAATTTTAAGATTTCATGTTCATCCAAAAACAACATTAGAGTTAGCGCTTCTTTGGGATACTAACTAATTGATTAAATGTAAATACTTTGTTACAGTTACTTTAGCTGCTGTCAACCAGGACCTAACATTTCACAGGGATAGTATCCTTCAAAATAAAAGCCTAGTTTTACAATAACAAAATAAAGTGACCTAAATGCAAGGCAGAAAAATCCTGATACTGATACTTGAAGCAATAGTGTTTATTAGTTCAACTGTTATATTGATAATATATAATAATATAATAATGTTGGCTCTACTCGTGTCAAATCATTCTTTACTTTACTAATTTTGTCTTTTTATTTTAAAGATTTCCACAAATACAAGAATTTTTTATCACAATGTTTTAAGATGATTGTGAAGTTAAGATCTGAAGTTGTGAAAGCCCTAATTAAAAAAAATAATAGTCATTATTATATTATTATGATAATAATGGCAATAATAATAATAATAATAACAACAATAATAATAAAATAATAAATTATTAATAATAAAATTTATAATAGTTATATTATTATAGTAATAAAAATGGTCATAATAAAAATTATAATAATTATAACAATAATAATAAAACAATGATAATAAAAATAATAATGGTAATAATAATTACCGTATCAATAATGGTAATGATAAAGATGATAATAATAAAAACAAATAAAATAATAAAAATAGTAATAATTATAAAATTAATAATGGTAAAAAAATAAAAAATATATACATTATAATAAAAAAATAATGATGATAAAAAAATAATGATGGTAATAATAATAAAAATAACAATTATAAAAAAGTTATTTTAATTATCATAGTAATAATGATAATAAGATTTATAATGGTAATAAAATGAAAATAATAATACAAAAAATTATAATTGTAATGAGAATAAAATTTATAATGGTTATAATGACAATAATAACAATAATAATAATAATGGTAAAATGACAAGAATAATAATTATAATAATGTTTATGATGATGATGATGATCATAATAATAATAATAATAATAACAATAATAATAACACTGACTCTCCATGTCTGTGGTTGCAGGTCGTGTTGGTCTGTGGAAAGACGTCTTCACAGTCTCCATGAACGACAAGTTTGACACCGTGTACAGACAGAAGATGGGAAAGTCTGACCTGACCTTTGACTTTTCCCTGTGAAGAGGAGGAGACCCCCGCCCCACTCTCCCTCCTCACCCCTAAGACGCCTCCTGACTCTCCACACCACATATCCCCTTCAGACAACAATCGCACACTTCCAGCCAAAAAACTCGCACTCGACACCAACTACAATCCGAGGGTTTTTCCCAGAATGCTTTGTGCTCAAAATCACAAGTTATTCCAACCCCGGTCTCAGTGGAACGGTCAAAATAAATCCAGATTTATCAGGATTCACTCAAATGTCTGAATCGATAGTTAAACCAAACCTCCCTCAACCCCCTACCTCTACAGAAAATCAGGTGAAGAGAAGCCAAACCTGTAGAGAACGTTTTAGCGCTTAAATCGGCTCCTAGAGAGACTTTTTCTTTGTTTGACGAACTTTATTTTGAAGTGCTGCCGGCTTTTTAGCTTTCATCGCTCACGTCTCAGCTTTATGTGTGTGTGTGGACGTTTGTGAGAGTGTGTCGAGGACTAAGAGAGTCGAGGTCAACGCCAAAAGACTGATGGACATGAACTCTTTCTATCACCTTCAATGTCACCTTCATTTTATGACTTTATCTAAAAATATATCGATCTGAAATCTCCCTGAACAGACTCAAAAGTGAAAAAAGAGAGCGGCTCTAAAACCGTCTTTGTGACCTCTTGATGGATTTGAGGATACCACAAAAACCAAATGCAGATCAGCACTCTTAAACCTCTAAAAGCTGCTATCATGAGTGTAAAATACGTGTTAGAGTGCCAGTGCAGGAGTCCATCACAGTGGAGTGCATACATACTGCCCCCTAGTGGCTCAAATGAGCAGCAGCGTGGTCAAAATCAGTACTTAAGTAATGTGTTTGTAAAAGGAGAGTTTCAGATCACTGTTTTCATGCAGGCAAACATGATTTTCTGAATTTAATGGTTTTTTTTTTTTCTTACTCTAGTCTGCAGAATAAAAATGTATGAGTGTGAAAAACAAACGTGTTATAAAGATAATCAAAAATATGTAAATATGGGAAAAAGTCAAAAACCTTTCCTGAAAATAAGCAGAGACGTCTGAGGATAACCTGAAATAAAAAAGACGTTTCTCTGTGTGTAACATGGACGACGTTTAGAGTTTAAATAAGAAAAAGAGTCGAAACATTATAAATGTGACGAATTAGAGAGAACAAGTCAGCGTGTGGACGATTACAGCGTCAGACTTAAAACAGGAATATACACCAACAAAAACACAACGTTCACAACATCATGAGAGTCATGTGTGCATGTTGGGCCTCCCTGATACGTAAGAGGCATCTAGGTTTTAACTCTAAATGGGACCATAAAGTGAAGAAACCTGAAACTACAGACTGAGACCTTAAACTCATGAGGACTGTGTTTACTAAACTGAGAAGTCGCCTTACCCCCAATTTTCACTGCATCTGGAACGGCTCCGATCTAGAAAGGCGACGTACGCCAATTCCAATGGGATCCTTTGGTGAGACGAATCATGTGATAACCAGTTGTCTTTAGCCACAGAGGCTAAACATATAAGCAGTAGATTGTGTCCTTCTAGAGGAGGAAATCTACTTCTAGACTTCTAGAATCAGCATCTCCTCATCCATGGTGTCATCGGGGTGAAATGACATCTGTGCCGACTTCCTTTCCAGCACGGGTTAATCTGCGCTGAATTTATTCGACATGCTCCGGAAAAATAGAACTCCTGCAATCAGCTGCGGAAAGAAGCCGTTGGAAATTGACAAATTAACTTGAATGGTTACGATCAGCAGATACGGCCTTATCGTAGCCGTTCCGGATACGTTGGAAATTGGGGGTTATTCACTCATCTGCTTCCACACCATCATACTCCCTCTGCTGGCCATGATGAGGACTGCAGGTTTCAGACACTAGTGCACTATATCCAGTCAGACCAGAATCTACTTCCTCCTCTTCCATCTTTAAATCAGTCTTTAATATGAACGGGGTTGATGCGTATTTCTGTGTATTTTCTCTGCGTTTCTAGAGAAACATCAGTTTTTTTTTTTGATGCAGGAGAGAAAAGAGAGAAAAGAGAGGAGCTTTGACACGACCAGCATTCACTCTTCAGCCACTCACTGCACCGGAGAGCCACCGCAGCAGCAGAACCTGCCCTCAGACTATTATTACAGTCCCCCCCCCAGTAGTTTCCAGTCCAGCAGACCGGTCCGTGCGCTCTTCAGACACTCGTGAATGTCTTTATTGTGTGGATGTAAAACGACAACACTCGTCACAGCACCTCTTTTACGGCGTCTCTTCATTGTTCTCCCTCTTTTCTGCGTCACTCTGTTTACAGCCGTTGGCGAGGTTTCTCTGTCCACCTCCACTTTATGGTTTGTTTGGGTTTTATTCATGCCAGCCTCCGTTTCCTGGGTGTCCTGTATTTATTTTACATGCTTTGCTCGCTGGTTTACTAATAAAGTTGTGTCTTCAGGCAATACTCACCGTCTCTGTTCTCGTTTTTTAAACTTGTGCACATCAAGTCTTTGGGTGAGCGTGGTCAGAGACGGCAAAGAGAACTAATTCTTTTATTTCTCTTAAATCACAGGTTGTTATTTCTTCACATCTCCACATGAGACTTCAGGTTAATCACTTTGATTCGGCACCTAAGACTGCAAAAAACTTGAACAAGCAGCAAATCAGTGATGGGAGGCAGGTGTGATTTTACAAATGATGGTGAAACTGAAACAAACAACCAAACAGGTCAAAGTTGTACCGCTAAAAAAATATCTGGAGGAACATCTCCGACTAAAGAGGTGAATCTCTAACGGGTAAGTCACATGACTGGGTCCAACCCCCAATTTTCACTGCATCCGGAACGGCAATAATTTTCACCATCCGCCAATTCCTACCGGATCCGATTGTGAGGCGAATTTTGTGGCGGATTACGGACAGCAGGAATCACGAGAACTCACAAGAACTTGCAGATATACGTTCAATCGCGCAGTAGACTGTGTCCTTCCAGAGGAGGAAATCTACTTCTAGACTTCTAGAATCCGCATCTCCTCATCCATGGTGTCATCGGGGTGAAATGACGTCTAAAAACCTTTCACTTGTTCGTCTCCGCCCGTTTGCATGGTGTGAAATACGATCCTCCTGAAACACGGAGTGTTTTATTTTGAAAAGAAGCCGGATGTTTTATTTTGTGTCTGTGCCCGACTTCCTTTCCAGCACGGGTTAATCTGTGCTGAATTTATCCGCCATGCTCCGGCGTCCAGAAAAAATAGAACTCTTGTGATCAGCTGAGGAGTCCGGCGATCCGCAGAGGAACGGAAAGAAGTCGGTGTAAATTGACACGTTAACTTGAATGGTTACGATCAGCTACGATCGGAGGATACGACCTTTTAGGAGACCATCAGGATGAAGGTGGAGATTGGGGGTAAGATGGACATTCAGAGGATCTGGAGAAACCTCTGTACTAAAGGGACAAGGACCAAAACCAGGACTGGATGGTCCTGATCTTTGGGGCATTATAAACAGACAGACTCTGGAGTGGGAATCACTGCATGGACTCAGAATCACTTCAAGAACCGTCGACTGTGAACACAGTTCATCACTGCATCCACTAATGAGGTTCAAAGTGAACCAGGAAAGAGGAGACCAGATAGAAACAGGATCCAGAGCCACCAGAGACTTCTCTGGACCTGAGTCTATTAAAGGTGGACCGTCCTGAGGTCTAATGGATCAAAACTTGACATTCCTTTGAAAAGGACAACTGGACTTACTTGAGACGTTTCGCCTTTTATTGGGACACTATTTGACTGTCAGACTCCTGAACCTGGTCTGCTGGGTCCACTCAGGTCTACAGAGGGTTAGTGACACACGGTGAGAAACTTGACCCTGTAGTTTCTTTGTTTTTTTTTTTTTTAATAAATACAAATTTTAAGTGACAAAAAAAAAACAACTTTAGAGTTTTTAAAAACTGTTTTAACGTTTGTTTTTTTTTCCGGAGCTTCTGTCATTAAAAATCTGTTTGAACTCCAGAGTTTATTTTGGTGTTTGCTGCCATAGAAACGGACAACAAAAACACCCGATCAGCTGAACACAGTACAGTGTCAATGGCTGATTCAACTCTCTCTCTCTTTCACTCACACACACACACACACAAAGAGATCAGGTTCAAGTGTCAACTAGCAACCACAGTCTGTCCTCTCAGTGTCGTTTAACACGTCCCGTCTGCCTCCAGCCTCTCCACACACACACACACACACTCTCACACACACACCAGTCTCTCTCCCAGTATGGCTCGGCTGCAGCCTCTGCACCCCGGACTGGGACCGCTGGTGATCGGCCGGCGGCCCCACACGGCTCCTGGCGTCCTCACGTCCACCAGAGGACGGACAGGAGGAGGATTAAAGCAGACGCGTGTCCACACTGACAGAGGTGAGGTTTTATTTTTGGATTATTTTGTAGTTTTCTGGATTTTTCTTTAAATAACACAAATTAATTTATAATTTAATGATGTTTGTTTTTGAATCAGTTTTTACATCGCCTAAACTTGAGCTCACTTAAACTCTGAATCTCATGAACGTCACCTTAAAAGATTATTTACTACTGAGTCTGGACCTTTAAGACTTCATGTAAGTGTGTTAAACTATGTTAAGACTCCTCTGAGTGTGTATTTGACTTGATTTTATGCACAGATCCATCATTTCATGTTGTTTTTGTTCGAGAAACTCCTAAATTATATTTCTCTGTTCACTCACTCAGGTTGGCAGCTCCCCTCCCAGCAGGGGGCGCCTCTGATCTCTGACAGACTGGAGGACGTGAAGTCGGCGTTCAGGGCCGTGGATCCTGACGGGTCAGGTCTGGTGACCAAAGAGGATTTCAGACGGGTCCTGCAGAGTCTGCTGCCCGTTTTCCAGAAGCAGCTCCAAGAAGTGGTCAACCAGGTGAGCGGGGAGGTCAAAGGTTTCACGCTTTCCATCATTTTCATTGAGCGCTCCTCCACAGTGGATTCATATTTGATCACTCAGTCCGTTTCCACGACACTCGAGAAAACCGAATTATCGCCTTATAAGACCAGACAACTGAAGGTCATGTAAACACCTTAGTCCGACTATAATCAGAGTCTGATTAAGACACCCAGACAATGCAACTGGAATTCGATTTTCTCTACCATGTAACCAGCGTAGTCGGCGTATGATCGGACAATGCATGTGCACGTTCGCCATGCCCCCATAAACCCGGAACAAAAACACCAGAGTAGAGGAGTAGCGTTGGTCTCATCTTTAGAAAAAGTAGCGCGTCCATCATGTCGGACAAAAACAACGCTGTACGATGCTCCATCTTCTTGTTTCTCCAAAATACCCAGCAGCAGTTGTAGACACTTCTGACGTCTGACACCGACCTGCTGTTGTTGGAGAAGAGATAGAGAGAAGTCCGATTTCGGGGGAAAAAAAACTAATTATATGCTTAGTCCAATTAAACTGTGCATGTAAACGCACCAACTGACTCGAGGTTTTGACCAGGACATTTTGGCACTGTGGGTCTTCAGCTCGTCTGTATTTTTCCGGTTTGTTTCTCATCTTCTTCTCGACAAACATCCCACAGATTCTTGATGTGTTGGTGGTTTTGGCGCTGTGGGCAGGTACCAGGTCCTGCTGGAAAAGGAAATCTGTATCATGAAAAAGTCCGTAGCATCAGTCCAGACCAGGAACCTGAGAGATGAGGGAGGTCAGGGACACTCAGAGAGATCTGGTTGGTAACTCTGATCTTCCTAAAGACTCTGGGACCAGGATTTCCAAATGAGATGCCAAATGGACTTTAATCAGGACCCAGGAGCAACAGTCCGGCTCTTACTGGGCCTGAGAAGTGAACCCTCTTATTTCTGGCGCTGTCATGTGAAATATGAACCAGCAGGTGGCAGTAGAAGCCTGGTTTTGCCTCGTCTGTGTGGCTGACATTGATAAATGAAGCTGTGTGGCCGTGGAGACCGGTCAGAGGAGAAGTGAATCTGGCAGCTGTTAAAGCAGACGTTATTTGTTTGCACCTCTGTTGCGTTGGCTGGGATCAGGTTTTTTCCTCTGATCCGGCGCACACACTCGGTCTCTGCTGTGTTTTCACTCATGAATTCCTCTGCAGGCTGAAGGTGTTCACTGAAAAGGAAAGAGTTTAAAACTCCTGTTGGGGCTGCTTCTCAGTCCATGAGGCCTTGTACCGAGGTGCTTCTTCTCCTGGCACTGATCAGTCAAGCGTGCACCTGTGTGGTGTGTTCAGGGTCCAAGCACAGTGCTGTAATCCCCCCCTCTTCCTTCCTTCCTCCCTCCTCTTCATCTGTGCGCACGCTGCCTCTGTCACTCGGCGGCGGCGGCGTCTCTGTAATCGTCTCCACTGTTCCTCTTTGTTCCGTCTCAGCGCTCACGCCTGACAGTTTGACTGCCTGTCTTTCCCACACAGATTTCCACCCATAATATCAGCACTTTGTCTCCTCCACCCCCCGAAAACACACAACCCCACGCATCCCTGCACCCCCTCCCGCTCAGCCTCCGCCTCATTCATTAAGGATGTGTGTGTGTGTGTGTGTGTGTGTGTGCGCGCGCTCTGCAGAGTTGTGCAAAGTTTACTTTAAAGGACGATCAGCGGAGTAGCAGCTGTTGTTCTGGTGACATTTTGATGTGGAAGTTGCTTTGTGCTTCAGGGAGCGAGGTGCCACCCACCCCCTACTCCTTCTTCTTCTTCTTCTTCTTCTCCTTCTTGTTCTTGTCCTTCTTCTTCTTATTTATTTTTCTATCTGGTTTTGCTCATGACACATTTCGTTGGAGTTTAATCAAAATTATCCTGCACTGATAGTGGTTTAGCGAGTAAAAACAAAGTCACTTGGATAGCTTGAGCTGAAACGGTGATGTGGTCGATTTCTAAAAACAGACTTTGGCTCCAAACGAGTCCAGAAAGATTTAAAGTTGCTTCAGTCTGCAGCTATAAAACCGTCTAACACCAGGTAGAAACGCTGCAGCTTAAATTCCTCTGATGAAACTATAGAGTAAAAGTTCTTGTTTTTATCACCAACAGAAATTAGGATTAAGATGTTATTAAAGGGGAATCGTTCATTTTTTATTGAAACTGATACCGTTACTGAGACCCCTTAATAATTCAAGTCCTTATCGATACAGACATCGAGCCTTTTCTGTTATTGTCTCTCTTCAAACTTCATATTTTTTCACCAAAATGTTTTTCTGCATATAAAATATTCACTATTGAGAATCAATTTGACCGTCAAAAGTCAGCTGGACGAGATGTTTGCAACTTAAGCATGACAAGAACAGATGGTTTTGTCCACAGGGGGGCGCCAAAATGTACACAAGCAGGAGCTTTAATTAAAACAATGTGACTTAACTCAGAGTTTAGTGTTATTTCAGAGGACTAAACGAAGTCAACAGCAGATTAGCTTTGATGCTGTTACTAATTTTCAGCTGATTTTTTATATTCAGTTTGGAGCCGTTTAAATAGTTCAAATTTATGCCTAAAAGGGTTATTATCACTGACAAGCATCAAGTTAGTGTTTGGCATCAAAACAGTGTTGGTAACTCTGGTTTTAAACAGGGTTTTCCTTTAATACAGACTCTTACCTTGTACGTTTTTTTTACAGCTTTCAAGGCTTGACAGTACGACGGTTTCACTCACATTTCACACTCATATGTGTTTGTAAAATGCATTTAGGGTCACGCGCGCATAAAAAGAAATCAGTCGAGTTTTAGGTTGGATATATTTTCCTGTAAATACGGCGGTGAAGTTAGTTTTAGGTTGGATATATTTTCCTGTAAATATGGCGGTGAAGTTAGTTTTAGGTTGGATATATTTCCTGTAAATACGGCGGTGAAGTTAGTTTCAGGTTGGATATATTTTCCTGTAAATGCGGTGAAGATAGTTTCAGGTTGGATATATTTTCCTGTAAATACGGCGGTGAAGTTAGTTTCAGGTTGGATATATTTTCCTGTAAATACGGCGGTGAAGTTAGTTTTAGGTTGGATATATTTTCCTGTAAATGCGGTGAAGTTAGTTTCAGGTTGGATATATTTTCCTGTAAATACGGCGGTGAAGTTAGTTTCAGGTTGGATATATTTTCCTGTTAATACGGCGGTGAAGTTAGTTTTAGGTTGGATATATTCTCCTGTAAATACGGCGGTGAAGTTAGTTTCAGGTTGGATATATTTTCCTGTTAATACGGCGGTGAAGTTAGTTTTAGGTTGGATATATTTTCCTGTTAATACGGCGGTGAAGTTAGTTTTAGGTTGGATATATTTTCCTGTAAATACGGCGGTGAAGTTAGTTTTAGGTTGGATATATTCTCCTGTAAATACGGCGGTGAAGTTAGTTTCAGGTTGGATATATTTTCCTGTAAATACGGCGGTGAAGTTAGTTTCAGGTTGGATATATTTTCCTGTAAATACGGCGGTGAAGTTAGTTTTAGGTTGGATATATTTTCCTGTAAATACGGCGGTGAAGTTAGTTTCAGGTTGGATATCTGACGGACATTCTCTGAGGATCTACCGGTGTCTTCTCACTCTCCATAACCGGGAATAACAACAGCAGCGCGGTTAAATCTACTCGACACCCTCACTGTCAACGTCGGTGTTGAATAAGGGACCGTCAATAAATTACTGGTTGATGTTCTCAGAAAAGGCTGTTTTCCTTCAATAGCTTCACTGTCATGTGACCAAAAGACCTAAAATTGATTTAAAACAGTACTTAAGTTGACCAATAAGACGAACATTATTGGATCATTTTTGATTGTGCCCTTGTGGTTCTTTGTGTGCTTCTTACTTTTCCAACTTAGGAGCAGATGCGCTCCTTCTTAAAAAGGAGGTGTCAAACCCCGGCTTTTATTTTTGCTACATCTGCAGATTCAGAATTATCTCCTAAAACTAATGAAACAGAAGAAAATTAGAAACTTAAATCTAAACCGATTCCAGGATGTTTTACAGCCTCACCGACCTCCGTTTTACCTTCAACCTGAAGCTGACCTGCAGGTGTTTCCACGCTGTCACAGGTATGTAGAGCACAGACCCCCCTCCTCCCTAAAGGTGGAGGCTGTGTGTTACGCTCTGCTGCTGCTGATAGCTGTGATAATTGGACGGGTGGTGTCTATAATAAGACTGAACGCTGGGAGCTCCGCTGGGACTGCTGCACTGGATTACACCATGAAGGATGTAGGGCAGGGCAGCAGGGACTCTGCTTTGATTATGAGCCACCAAAATAGGTATAAAACACGTCTCTGAGTGTGTGTGTGTGGTTTCAGAAACTGGTGCTCTGATTGCGTGTGTTTGGGCAGGTGCCAGCTCTTAAATGTGTTTGTTCAAACACGTGTGTGTGAAAAATCAGCACAAGGTCAGAACAAAAGCAGGCGTCTGGATTCCCCAGGTGAGCGGAGCACCTATCTGATTCCCTCGACCGGCCTCGTCCTGAAAATTACTGCTCAACCCACCTGATGCCAGACAGACGCAGCGCTGCACTGATTTCTGTACCGTGTCTGCCGAGACGCCATTAAAACCGCCATTATCACAGAGACTGCGCTGGGATGTTTTTAGAAGTTCGGAGCGTTTTTTAAATCATGTGAATCTGTTGATTTTAGAGCTTCGAGTTTACGGTCTGGCTGTTGGTATGTTGGTTTCCTGGCTACAGGAATGCCCATATTTGGATCCAGAAAGTCGAGTCAGGACTTCCTCTATCAAAGAGAGTAAAATATTTTCAGCATGGCTCTGTTTGGAGAGCTGGTAGGGGCAGGAGGAGCAGCAGCAAAGACGTCTGACTTCAAGGTAAAAATTATGACCAAGTTTTCTCTGCAGACAGTATCGACGCTGAGTTGGGGAGGATGAGTCAGTCAGGAAGGACTCGGCTCTGAAGAAATGTACCTTTTATTTCTATAATTCAGGGAAAATTCAGTTTGTACTTCAACTTTTTTTAACCTTTTATTTGCCTGTGATGTTCACTCAGCAGGTTACTACTCTGACAGCCCTCGAACCTTTAACCATCATCTATCATCATTTTAATTTAACGCACTCAGGTCGCTTTCACACCAGAGCTGTTTGGTCCGCTTTAAAAGGACCAGAGTTCGTTTCCTCGGACAGTCCGCTTCCTTTGGGCAGGTGTGAAAGCTCATCCGAACTCTGGTGCCGATCAAACAAGCGAACTCTGGTCCACCTGAAAACGTGGGTCTCTGTTCGCTTGCAAGTGAACCCTGGTTCAGTTCATATGCAGTGTGAAAGCTCACCGGACCAAACACAGGACCAAATGTACGTAATGATGCTATATGCAGTGCATCCTGGGTAGAGGAAGCATAGCAACAAGTGAAGCCGACATTAGCAGTTGCTTATTTAAACAAAATCAAATCAGAACTCCCAACAGTCACAGTTCTTAAACTCTGAGTTTAGAAAAATAACAGGATCATTCCCTGACAAGCTATGATAGCATCATAGGAACATTTGTGTTCACTAACGTTGTAGCGTTCCATAAAATAATGTGATGAAGCACGATAGAAGACGGCTAGTCCACCCCTGTTGGTAATCCGTGAGGTTACAAACCCCTCCTACTTTGTCCAATCGGTGAGCGCCCCTTTAACCACGTGATGCTGCTTGGAAAGTTCGGTGCCCTTTAGAAATCACAGCGTGAAAGCAGAACCGAAACAAGCGATAAATGCGACAATGTTGAGACTTGATCGAACCGAGTCCGCTCGGTCAGATGTGAAAGCGACCGAACTTTCTGTGCGTCTTTCTTTGTTTCTGCTGCAGGTGTGTGAGAGCAGCTCTGAGACCGTAGACTACGTCCAGTTCCTGAGGAGTTTGAGTCGAGCTCCGGCGGTCCGCAGAGCCTCCAGCAGCAGCAGCTGCAGAGTGAGGTAAAGACTCTCGGCTGTGTTTTAACAGCAGCATCTGAACTGCTCTGACTCTGAGGGTCTGTGTTTCTGTCAGGTGTGGTCCACAGAGCTCCTCCAGGTCTCTGACGGAGATACAGAAGTGTCTCAGAGAAAAGGTGAGCGCCCTCTGCTGTCCACTTTAACTTTTTTTTCAACAAATTGACTCTTAAATCACAACTGGTGTTTATGCACCCTGACCTCGAAAGCATCCTACAGGTCATGGATAAAGATTCGAACATTAAACCTCAGTTGTTGTTCTGGCTAGATTATTATTTACATTTCAGGGACACATGAATATTTTGGAGGGAAAATGATCTTTACATTCTCGCCGTTTTAACAGACGCTTCATGTAAACTTTGATTTAGTCGTTCGGTGCAGTGAAGTAGATCCAGCAGAGGCCGACTACGGCTGTTTTTGAAATATTGCGTCATTTAATTCTGCAGAGTTACGGATCCAGAGACAAAAAGTTCTTTAAAAAAAAACAAACTAAATCTTATAAAACGCTGACGTGACTCACACAGCATCCTCACAGTGTGTGTGTGTGAGTGATTCATGTGTGTGGGGCCGGCTCTGGCAGGATTGAGGCTGTACGTAGGAAGCATGACAGAACGGACTCTGGATTTGTGCTGCCTGTGTTCCACATATTACAGCGAAGATGTGGATGTTGTTGTGGAATTTGACTAAATCCTCTCTGTGGATAAACAGACGCCTGAGGGCTACAGGCCCGTCCTCGTCCTCCTGACAGACAAACATCAGGAAAAACATCCTTCACAGCCCACGTCCTTCCGTCTGCATATTCATCTCCTCTCCATCCATCTCCTCCTCGTCTCCATCACTCCTTTATTTCTGTACGTTTGGTTTTTCTCGCCGCTTGTCTTCCAGAGAAGCCAGATTTTGAGGAAAATTGTTTAATGTGAGCCGGGGCGACGAAACCTGACAGCTCAGTGTCAGAGTAACCCACGCCGAGAGACGCATCGGTCCTTTCAGAGTAAAAGACCTCATAAACAGCACTAACAGGAGTGAAACCAGATTTACCTCCACAATCTCATCGTCTGTTTTAGTTTCATCTTTCATTGTCCGCACGTTTATTTCAGATACTTAGAGCAGAACGGCTTTAGATGAGGAAGAAACATGGCCGCCATCTTTAGGACTACAGCAGGACTGGATATGAGCAGCAGCGTGTAAGGCTGTAACGCTTTTTTCAAATCTGACTAACTCTCCTCTGGAGTTTACTCGTTTGTTATTTTGAAGGATCGGCCGGCCTCCTGAGCGTCCTCTAAAGTTTAACGTTACTACGGATCCTTTTACTGCGAGTAAACATGATGACTTTTTGGGTGGGCGGGGCTTAGCTGGAGGCAAAACTAACCTTTAGACATGCTAATTAACCAACATTGGCAAGAAATAACATCAATCAGAGTGGAATCAGAGACGGACACAAACATGAAAACTAACGAACTTTTAGATTGGATCAGACTGGTGGACCTGCAGAGAAACCCAATAGCTGACCTTCAGGGCCACCGTAGAACCACAAAAAAAACCCAGAGATGGACCTCTGCTGGGTCACCTCCGCCGGTTTGCTTTCTTTACGCTGTTTGTGTTTTTCTCCTCAGTCTTTAAAGGTGTTTCTTAAAAACAGCCGATTCTCACGTGGACCTCCATCACGGCTCCGGCTGTGCACGCTTAAATCCTCTCCGTACACTTCCTCCGCCCGCCCAAACAAACGCCAGTCATTTCTAAATCCATCTTCTTAAACGCTCTGTGTCTGACGACGTCCAAGATGCTGAGTCCTGTTGTCATGGAAACAGGATGGAGAAGTTGGCGTACCCAGGTAGGGTCCCCTCTGAGGGACAAAAAGAGTGTCGCTTTCAGAGGAAGTGGTGATGAATAAATCAGATATAGGGAGAGATGTTTCCAGAACAAACGGAAGAGTCTCCGGGGAATCCCTCGCCGTGGCGAGCTCAGTTTTAGTGACTTTGATCTCTGTCAGGATTGTTTGTCAATTACCGTAATAAGTGTGAACGTGCGGGAGTGTGTGTTAAGTGTAAGTGTGTGTATGTGTGTGTGTGTGCGGTCACTGTCTGATGACTCGTCTTGGAGGACCAGCTGGGCCTGATAATGAGTGATGCACACACACATATGATGAAGTACCAGTCACAGCTGTTTACCCCATGTGCTCGCCTCACTTATCAATATTCAATTAAGATCACTGCGTCTCCCCGAACACACACACACACACACACACACACACACACACACATCTTTACTGAAGCTGTCCAAGGGTAGAATGAAGGATGTTCCTTATCTGTTTATTAACTCCATCTGTGTCTCCATCTCGTCTTCTGTTATTTTTCTTTTAATCGTGTTTTTCTGTCGCACATTTAAATCCGAGAAGAAGTTATGGAACAATAAATTTACATTAATCATTAGTCTGCTTTTGGCCACATGGTCCCAGAGCTGCAGGAAGAAGCTGTAAGTCGGTGCATTTTTCCTTTTAACATGTGCAGCTGTTCCACTATAATACATATACTAAAAAAAAGTCGTACTAGCCGTCATGGTCCGGGTTTGAGGAGAAAGGCTGACGCTGCTGTGTAAATAGTAACACAATAGTAAAGTTTAATCTTCTTATTTTTAAGCGGCGCTCTCTCGTATTTCTGCAAGTTTTTATTTGGATCGTTAAACCGTTCGACATCGCTCTTTTATGTACTCGTTTTTATGAGTTTTCAGGGTCAGCGTGAAAACCATCTAAATGAACTCCATTATTATCAGGAGGTAAAGCTTGAGAAGTGAAGGAAAAAAATGACATTTTTCTAACAGATGTCATTTTTTTTAAAGCTAAATTGTCTTTTAAGAACTCAGGAAGAACCCAAATTTAATCTCACTCCTGTCTTCTGATGGATTACAGCCAAGATTTGACTGATCCTACCAGGTCAAACTGAATCCCTAATTTGGATAAATACGACTCTTTAAGCTCTCTGTCAGTAAATCGATCACTGCGAATCACCACAACCTTCACCTGCCAGTTTTAAAACTTTAAAAAATGATAATAAAACATAACTCTGTGGGCTGCATGGCTCTCTTTAAATGATATAGAGCCTGTTTTTGAGTATAGAGGTGGATATAAGGCCTTCAGGACCCTGAGGTGTGCAGGTAGGTCTGTAGATGACCCCTCTCACCCTGGACACAGACTCTATGAGATCCTCACTGAAGGCAAAAGTCTGAGGTCCATCAGCCAAAACCTCTCACCACAGGAACTATTTCTTTCTTATAGTAATCGTACCGTGAACCACAAGAGAGAGGACTTTCTGTATAACAACAGCCGTGTGAATCTATGAAAAACTTCTATTCCCTCTACAACATCAGCTTTGAATCTATGAAAAATGTCCATTCCTTCTATAAAATCAGTCGTGTGAATCTATGAAAATTTCTTTTTCTTCGATTACATCAGCGGTTTGAATCTACAAAAGAATCTATTCCTTCTATACCATTAGCCTTGTGAATCTATAGAAAATGTCTATTCTTTCCATAACATCAACCATGAATCTATGAGAAATGTCTATTTCTTCTATAACATTTGCCGTGTAAATCTATAAAAGAATCTATTCTTTCTTTAACATCAGGGGTTTGAATCTATGTAAATTCCTCTCCGGGTTGCCGTCGCTCGCTCATGCAGATCCTGAACAAACAGACCCGACAGCAGGAAGCTCCCCATATGGGGGATTCCCAGGCGTAAATCCTCATCAAATGCAGGTCTGTGGTCTAATCTGCGTCTATTTCAGGAGCCACAGCAGGAGTATTTGTGGGAAGCCCTCTGGTGGACCCTCCATGTTGTTTAGGTGATGTAGTGCCTTTGTAATACTAATGTTTGGACGGGTAGCGGTGGCGGCAGAACGGTCCCAGAGCCCCTTATTATCCCTCTGAGCTCCACTTTAATGCCGCCTGTCGCCGGCACTCTGGAGCCCTACCAGAGAGAAATTAGCCCTCTAATTGACAGACAAAAGAAAGTTCATGTGTGCGCTCTCTCATGATTACCGTCTGATCTCCTCTCCCTTTCCGCCGCTCAGATTTCTCCTCTCCTCCGCTCCCGTTTGAGATCTGACTCCCTTCATTCGCCTCCAACTCTCCAACTCTGTCTCCCTCTTTCATCCCTCCTCTTCAGAGAGCCGTCCCATCCCTCTGCTCGTCTTCTTCCCATAATTCATAGTGACAGGAAAGGTTAGAGCGTGCACGGCGGAGCGCTGGCTGACAGAAAGAGGAGAGTCGAGTGTCTTTTAAACGGCGTTTACGAGCGAGCGCTGAAAACTCTGAAATGTGTTTCTGACTGAGACATCACGGCTGATCCACGGTCACTCCTGTTTACTCCGACGTCCTCAAACAGACTCAGGTTTGATCTCATTGATCAGCGAACGATAACCGGAGGGTTTATCTGTTTGTCTGTCACATGAAATATCAACACGTTCACGTTTTTACTGCGAGCGTTCACACAGTATCCACATGAGATGGGAAATGAAGAGATGTGATGATACAAACGCCGTTTTTTACTCTGATTATTGATCCAATTATTAATTCCTGTGGTTTTTCTAGATCAGCCTATATGACACAAATTTATAACTCGTTTCGTTATCTCACTCTTCTGCCAAGACAGGGGAGCCAGAGATCTGATTGGGCCTCTAAAAGGTCAGCTGACTGCAGATAACCTTTATTTTTGAGCGATTGGATCCTGACAGTTAATTCACGACAGGAGCTTCCCCCCGTCTGTCCTAAATGCTGAACGAAGACAAGATCAAGTTGTTTATACTAGAAAATAAATGAAAAGAAAGTTAAGAAAGAAAAAATGCCGATTACAGAGCTTGACACTAACTTTTTCACGTAGGAGCAGATGTGCTGTCGTTGTTACCCCCACTCTCTTGCCGCTCCAGGAACTACGCTGTTACATTCACGTTACGTTACCCGCGCTACTCGCTACACAGACCGTGTATAAGCTTTAATGTTACCCTTCATGTTAGTGGAAGAGGGTCCGACAGGATTTGATCTGCTCGTTGATGACTCAGATCAAGTCGAAAATAATGTTGTGTGTTGTTGTGTTCACACAGTGCGAGTAGAATCATTAGTGGCACATTGATATTAATGATCATGTGAAATTTCAGTAGCGGCGCACGTAATTTAACAGAATGAATGTCGGGGAAACACTGCTGATACATATGAGTCCGAGGCAGAACTATGTGAGAAAAAAACTAATTATTTTTAGGTGTGGCGTCTTTTATTTAGCCATGGTGGTGCGCCACGATCAACTGCATGTAGGGGAAACCCTGGGGCACGATGAAAATTGATCAAATAATGTTTGTCTTATTGGTCGATATAAGTATTATTATTTGAAATCAGTTTTAGGTCTTTTGGTCACATGACAGTGAAGCTATTGAAGGAAAACAGCCTTTTTTAAAAAACATTAACCGGTAATTTATTGACGGTCCCTTATTCAACACCGACGTTGACAGTGAGGGTGTCGAGTAGATTTAACCGCGCTGCTGTTGTTATTCCCGGTTATGGAGAGTGAGAAGACACCGGTAGATCCTCAGAGAATGTCCGTCAGATATCCAACCTGAAACTAACTTCACCACCGTGTTTACAGGAAAATATATCCAACCTGAAACTAACTTCACCGCCGTATTTACAGGAAAATATATCCAACCTAAAACTAACTTCACCGCCGTATTTACAGGAAAATATATCCAACCTGAAACTAACTTCACCACTGTATTTACAGGAAAAAACATTTGCTGCCTCAGCTGATTTTTTTTATGCGCACATGCGCCCCTAAATACATTTTACAATTCGCACACATCTATTTTAAATGCAATGAAAGTGAAACGGTCGCACTCTCTAGCCCTGAATTATTTATTTTGGATGTCACAGAAACAGACTTTGTTGTTGGAAACCCGTCGTTCTCACAAAATGAGTAGATTTTACTGTCAGACTCTTTTCTATTTTTACAATTACATAAAAACAATGTTTTTTTAAAGGCTCATAGAACATAGTGAGGGACATGGATAAGAGAACATCAAGTAGTCAATCAGATGATGGCCTGAACTAGTCTGAACCGGTTCTCATGTGGAGCTGGTGTTTAACTTCAAAAACTTGATATAAAGTTTTGTGCAAAACAGACACACATGGTCTCTTTTTAACACATTTTTAAGGTTCCCTTTAAAAAGTTCCCTTTAAGGGGACTTTGGTCTGAGAGAGCTGGTTTCTCTGAATGTTCTTTAAGCAGGTTGGAGGTGTCAGAAGTATTGCCGATATGATGATGTTAGTATGTAATTGTGAAGTTTTGTTCATTTTTTAACTTTGATGAATCGTGCTGCTGCAGATCTTTGACACTTCTGTAACAGAGATTTTTTTCTTTCCTGGTTAAATAAATCAGCCTGATGATGCTCCTCACACTCCGCTAAATCAAATAGTCATTGCTCAATACGAGCGAACAGGTGAGGAGGAAGCTGGAGGTGCACACACATCACAGCAGTCATTAATCTTGACCTGATGGAGCCGAGCCCAGAAGCTCCTTTAAGGTATTTCCTGAATTTAACGGGTCAGAAGAATCAAACAAACCGGTTCACAAACTTTAAGTCATTAACTCCTCCTAAATCTGTGCAGCCTCTGATTGATTTTATCATAACTGAGGATTATCTGAGTGACTTCAGCCTGCCAAAACTAAATCCTGCAGAACTTTTAAAATATCAACACAGCTGTCAGCAGCTTTAAAAACTTTACTAGACTTGGAGAAATCAAACGAACGTCGAGTCCAGACTGTCATTTTCATTTTGGAGAATAGAAAAGGGTAAAGTGTTAACCGTACACTGATGGACTGTTTCATCAAGAACAAAAACCTCAGCGGTGGGACTGACAGCGGTTGATAGAGAGCCAGACTGAGTGGTTTCATCAGCTATGCATGAGTTCAAACTAACTCCAGTATAAGAGAAAGTTACTTAAGTTTAAGTGCTGGTTAGTTTCTTTACAGAAACAGGAACCTCAAGTCTGGGTGACGCCGACAAATATCAAATCTTTATTTTGGCAAAACTCAATCATTTTAGTCATGCATAAATGATTATCACATCGTCAAGCTACAGGACTCGACAGTGAGATAGTTTCACTCGCCATCTAAAAATAGATGTGTGCGAATTGTAAAATGTATTTAGAGTCACGTGCGCAAAAAAAAATCAGCCGAGGTAACAAATGTTTATTCATATAAATACAGTGGTGAAGTTTGTTTTAGGTTGGATATATTTTCCTGTAAATATGGCGGTGAAGTTAGTTTCAGGTTGGATATATTTTCCTGTAAATATGGCGGTGAAGTTAGTTTCAGGTTGGATATATTTTCCTGTAAATACGGCGGTGAAGTTAGTTTTAGGTTGGATATATTTTCCTGTAAATACGGTGGTGAAGTTAGTTTTAGGTTGGATATATTTTCCTGTAAATACAGCGGTGAAGTTAGTTTCAGGTTGGATGTATTTTCCTGTAAATACGGCGGTGAAGTTAGTTTCAGGTTGGATATATTTTCCTGTACATACGGCGGTGAAGTTAGTTTTAGGTTGGATATATTTTCCTGTAAAAACGGCGGTGAAGTTAGTTTCAGGTTGGATATATTTTTCTGTAAATACGGCGGTGAAGTTAGTTTCAGGTTGGATATATATTTTCCTGTAAATACGGTGGTGAAGTTAGTTTTAGGTTGGATATATTTTCCTGTAAATACGGCGGTGAAGTTAGTTTCAGGTTGGATATATATTTTCCTGTAAATACGGTGGTGAAGTTAGTTTTAGGTTGGATATCTGACGGACATTCTCTGAGGATCTACCGGTGTCTTCTCACTCTCCATAACCGGGAATAACAACAGCAGCGCGGTTAAATCTACTCGACACCCTCACTGTCAACGTCGGTGTTGAATAAGGGACCGTCAATAAATTACCGGTTGATGTTCTCAGAAAAGGCTGTTTTCCTTCAATAGCTTTCATGTCATGTGACCAAAAGACCTAAAATTGATTTAAAATAATAATACTAAGGTCGATCAATGTTTTTATTTTGCCTTGTGTGTTCCTTGTGAAAAAAGTTAGTGTCAAGCCCTGAAGCTATGAACAGCATATGTTTTGAGTAATATAATGTATAATTTATTGATGACTTCACTCACTGTTAATGTCTAGTGTTCAGTCCTTTGAATATTCAAATCTTTGATCGGCTAAGAGAGGATTTGATTTTCTTTGGAATTTGAGTGAAATGATCCTTTAAACAGACCCGAGTAATTAGAGGGAGAAAGGTTAGTATACGACTATCAGATGAGACTTTGGGTCACGGCTGATGAGACAATCAGCTGAGAGGCTAACACACACACACACACACATACAGAGGCAGGACACACCCACGCGCGCGCACACACGCTCTCTCACACACACTGCTCTCTGGATTAGCATATAACAGGGCGGTAAACAAAAACAACAGAGCTTTCATTAATTAAGGAGCGAGGGGCTGGGTGGGCAGACGGATGGGCGAGCGCTGCTGAGACACTGCGAGCGCGGCACAGCGCCAGGCCTCCAACCACGCCAACCAGAACACAGCTGCCTAATGGAGCGCTGGCATTGCTGAAGGACGGGGGAGCCGAGAGAGGCAGAGAGGGGGAGAAGAGGTGGGAAAAGGGGGAGAGATCGGAGATAAAACTAAATAATCAAGGAATTTAAAGTTAAAAAACGGAGTCAGAGGGAGGTACGGGCTGGAGACAAAAGACGGAGGAGAGAGAAAGGGAAACAAAGTTTGCGAGGGGATTGAGGAGAGGAGGAAACAAAGGCAGATAAAAGGAGAGGGGGAGTGTGTGTGTGTGAGTGAGAGAGATGAGATGGAGATAGAGATGGAGATTGGATGATATCCCTCTGTCTCTGTTCATTAATACCGTATGATCTCCTCTCTGCCTCCTTTGTGATTTTAACACATTTCTAATTAGCACAGAATCCTCTAAGTTGGAGTAGGAGGGAGGAGGACGGGGGGTAGAGAATCATATTTTTATCTGTCTTTAATAAATTCACTTTCATTTGATCTTTTTTTAAACACTGGGGCTGCTGTGCCGAGCCTCTTTCCTTTTCCCCGACTGTGGCAGAATGAAAGGTGGTGTAAACGCCGGGCTAATTGTTATGCTTGTAAGGCGCGCTAGCTAAAGTCGTTAGATTACAAAAAGTGGGAATTTTTAAAGTTTTACCGCCGAACAAAACCCCAAACATCCTCCGGGGTTTCAAGAAGAAGTAAAAATGAAGAAGTCTGTAAAGACGAAAACAAAACTTAGAGAGGAAAATCTTCTTCCAGAGGTCAGGAGCAGATTTCTTTACTCCATCTGCTCTACTTTGCGTCTTGCAGGAGACAATGTCAGTGCAGCACAAGAGGGAGGCTCCTCCACGCCTCTCACTGAGACTCTTGGCAGCTCGTCTAATCAGAGTGCAATTAGACAGAGACTTCTCTGGGCGACAGAAGACTCTGATTACCCAAGAGTCACTGGGGGTATATTTAGTATCTGTGCTCTTGTTCCTCTGTGGTTCCCGTGTCGCCCTGGAGCTAAAGAGAGAGCTGGTGCGCGGCTCAGACGTCGAAGGCGGGATGGGCTGGACTTGGCTGACTGACTGTGACTGAGCTCTAACGGTGTCAGCCTGATCCAAAGCCTCATTTTCGGGCTTCCTGGAGGTTTCCAATGACACATAGATGGAATCCGTCCATGCCGGCAGCTCCTCTGTGCTCTGCTGCTCTGATCCTGCACGATGTGTTTGTCAGAGAGACACTCGAGCAGATCAGCATCCTCTATGAACTGAAGAAGAAAGGTTCTGCAGTGAGTGATCCAAGTCCAGGCAGTCCAGAACTGGACGAAGAGGTGTAAAAAACGTTACAAAGAGCATGAATACAAAAACACCTTTACCTCTGATTTTAAAAACACATAAACTTTGATGATTTCTAATATTTCAACTCGATGATGAAATTTAAAAAATACAAAGATGGCGTTTAAAAATGTCCGGACATGGACATATTAACCCAACGTTCTGTGGACCGTAGTGAACCCAGCAGACCAGGTTCTGGAGTCTGACAGTGAAAGGTTGTCCCGGTCTGGCCTGACAGAGGATTTTCAGCTGTTCAAAAGTCCAGGGTCTCTTTCGTCCTGTTTTGGGGGTTATGATAGGGCTGGGCGATAAACTGAACATTTACTGATACAAAAATCAAACACACGTGTATAAGCCGGAGATTTCACCTCGTATTAAAGGAGTTGTGAGAAGATTATCTGAACTATTCTGGAGTTATGAAAGTCTTCCTCTCATTATGTCACGTGTGATTAAAGGGTCAGAAAATCTAGATGAATCAAGAATCATCAAACTGAACTTTAAGGGCTGTCGACTTAGAGCTGGTCAATACGACAATAACCAACGTCATTTTGCCCATATCGGTATATTCAGTGTCAAAAAAATATAAATCCAAGTTGGTTTTGGATGTGTGTAGGTAGGCTATGGTCTCATGCAGGGCTCGTTTCACTCGCATTTTTGACTAAAAATAGATGTGTGCGAATTGTAAAATGTATTTAGGGGCACATGTGCACATAAAAAACAAAATCAGCTGAGGCAACAAAGATTTTTTCCTGGAAACACAGTGGTGAAGTTAGTTTTAGGTTGGATATATTTTCCTGTAAATATGGCGGTGAAGTTAGTTTCAGGTTGGATATATTTCCCTGTAAATACAGCGGTGAAGTTAGTTTCAGGTTGGATATATTTTCCTGTAAATACGGCGGTGAAGTTAGTTTTAGGTTGGATATATTTTCCTGTAAATACGGCGGTGAAGTTAGTTTTAGGTTGGATATATTTTCCTGTAAATACGGCGGTGAAGTTAGTTTCAGGTTGGATATATTTCCCTGTAAATACAGCGGTGAAATTAGTTTCAGGTTGGATATATTTCCCTGTAAATACGGCGGTGAAGTTAGTTTTAGGTTGGATATATTTTCCTGTAAATACGGCGGTGAAGTTAGTTTCAGGTTGGATATATTTTCCTGTAAATACGGCGGTGAAGTTAGTTTCAGGTTGGATATATTTCCCTGTAAATACGGCGGTGAAGTTAGTTTTAGGTTGGATATATTTTCCTGTAAATACGGCGGTGAAGTTAGTTTTAGGTTGGATATATTTTCCTGTAAATACGGCGGTGAAGTTAGTTTCAGGTTGGATATATTTTCCTGTAAATACGGCGGTGAAGTTAGTTTTAGGTTGGATATCTGACGGACATTCCCTGAGGATCTACCGGTGTCTTCTCACTCTCCATAACCGGGAATAAAAACAGCAGCGCGGTTAAATCTACTCGACACCCTCACTGTCAACGTCGGTGTTGAATAAGGGACCGTCAATAAATTACTGGTTGATGTTCTCAGAAAAGGCTGTTCTTCTTCAATAGCTTCCATGTCATGTGACCAAAAGACCTAAAATTGATTTCAAATAATAGTACTTATGTCGACCAATAAGAAAAACATTATTAGATCAATTTTCATTGTACCCCTAAAGTTCTTTGTGTGCTCCTTGTGAAAAAAGTTAGTGTCAAGTCCTGCTAACTCCTCTACTCTTTAGAGACGATGATTCAGAGTCCAGGATTAAAGAGAAACTCAATTTAAGTTGAACTTTAGTTACTTTAGAAAAACAAACATAAATGCTGCTGCTGTTGGGGCGAATAATGGCGGGAGAGTTGAAAAGTTAACTCCAAACGCACAGTCTGCACTTCGATAACAACCTACTCGCTTGTTGATTAAAACAAAGCAGACAGTCGGTTCATGAAGTTCAGTTTTCTTCCACAACACAGACGTCCGAGGAGGAGGAGGAGGTGAGTATGGACGGTTGGGCGTACAAAGAAACAAATCTCTATAAATTAGCTGTGATTTGACACATTCGATAATTTCCTCTTGCTCGTTTCACTTCACAGAACAAATACCATACTTGTGAGTTTAGCGGGAATGTGAGAGACGTGCATAACTTTCTCTGCACTTTCCCAAACACAACGATATATGGATTGCACTTAAATCGCACCTTTTAGTCTTTCAGCCACTCAAAGTGCTTCACACTGCGTGCCACATTCACCCACACACACACACACACAACACAAACACACACATTCACACACTGATGGTGGAGGCTGCCTTTAAAGGTGTCAACCTCCCCATCAGGAGCGGATCTACAAGATTCACACAAACACTCTCACACCAAAGGCGGAGCAGGAACAAAGAGGAGCAGTCTGGGTTTCGTATCTCTGCAAGAGCATGAAGATCGGGACACCTGAAGAGTCTGGGGATGAAAACATTTTTACACTGAAGCCACCTTAACAAGAGGACTTCAGAGGGGTCAACAGTTACATTAGAGAGCCGAGTGCACCAGTCAGAGGGACCTGGATCATTCAGCATCCTACAGTAAGATGTCACCCTCTCAAAATCAGATTTTATCTGCATAAAAAGGAAAATAGGAACATAAAAGTTCTCAAAATCAACGTCTGACCCTCTCTGATATCCCTCTTAGTGTTGAATGTTTCTTTTCCATTGTTGAAAAGTACGTAAGAGAAGTTTTATAAGTGGTGGAGAAAGTTTGCAGGAGAGTATCAAGTGATCAGCGTGCGATGCAGCATTCTGCCTTCGTTTTTGGGGCGCTGCACCTAAAAGCGCACAGATTACGAAGACTTCACGCCCGGCTTTTTGCAAAGCTGGGAAATGCAGTCCTTGGAAAGATTGATGTCAACTGATTGAGTGGCTTCTCCTCTTTCAAATGACTACAAACATGGCCGTACGGAGCCATTCTCCGCTACACTGTAAAGCTTTGATTCGGTTTCAGATTTCGCACCAAGACAGATTAAAATCGACATAAAAAGTTTGCACTAAAACAGACATCCGACCCAGTTTTGTGAACATTAGAATCTAAACTTTGATCGAGGTTAACAAAACCTGCCTCAGTGTGCAAGACGTGTGATTTAAGCAGCAGTTACTGGAACAGTTGGTGAAACTCCCGATACAGACTCTTGTTCACCTGTCCCTTAGCTTTTCAGGCACAGACACCTCCTCCTCCTGCTCCTCTCCCTGCTCTCCTCTCTCCTACTTCTCTTCAGACCAAAGAGCAATAACCATGAGTAAAATTCAAACTAGATTAATGTCCGGCTCTGTGGTGGTACTTGTAGCTGATTTGAAGCCAAATTTCAGGATTGAACAACTTTTTTCACAAAAAAATAGAATAGGCGGTCAACCTGAGCGACATTTATCAACATCACAAACATTTTACTTCACGTGTAAAGATCTGGATCGGTCTTTACCTGATTAGATCATCCACAGTATCTCATCATAATAATAATAATCTCATCATTATGAATCCTCAGCCTCTTACTGACCGAGTAGCCCCTCTGAACCCTCTTTCCTCCCCCTCCTCCCTCTGTCTCGCCCGTCTATCAGCCATCTTTGCACCCCCCTCTCCCTCCTCGTCTCTTGTCAGCACTTTGGAGAGCAGGCCGGGGCTTTCACAGATCAAGACATCTGTGTCGATAAGCGTGTTTGCAGAGATGAAAGCTGCAGTGGGCCGAGCCTCTGGAGCCGGCGGGTTCAGGAGTTCAGCGGCTCTGCTGAGGTGTAGTGTTGCTGTTTCTGTCAATCATACTGTGTCTGTGAACTCTGCAGATTGGAGGCAACCTGAGGAACATGATCAGAGTGTTTCGCCTGTTTGATTACAACCGAGGAGGACACATCCAGCTGCACGAGTTTCGCCGCATCCTGGACAACTACTGCACCCGCCTGACGGACAAGGAGTTTCAGAGGTCAGGGTTAGTGGAGCACTGAACGCACGGTTTGAAGTGGGTCAGACAGATGAAGTTATCAGTGATCAGCATCTGAGAGGACAACAGGTAACCAGGACTGTCAGGGAAGTGAGGCCTGATCATGAGGCGGTAAACACCTTTGATAACTCCTGAAAGCATCGGCTCCTGCAGTCAAGTCTGCAGTGAGAAAGCAAGAATCAAAGGGCTGAGTAATCCTGGATGAGAAGATGTTTGAGGAGAAAGGGTCAGCACTGGCTGTCTGATCTTCAGCAGGAGCTGGAGGTGAATTTGTACCTCTAAGTTTTTGTCTGAAAGCTGGTGAACATGTGCCTCAGGGCTGTAATATCTGATGTTGTTTGGCAGCACCAGCGCTTGTTTCATCTTTTTTTTCCCCGCCTCTCTCTTGGCTGTTGTGGACTCGCTCAGAAAAACACAGATTTGATCAGATCATACCGGCTGTTTTGACCTGAATTTCAGAGTGTTTCGGCCTTTAAAATACATCTGAAAAATGTGGGATCATCTTCAGCTCTTAAACAAACAAAACACTTTAAAATCCACCCGCTCCCTGAGACCGGCAGATTCCTGGTCATAAAGTCTGAGTGTGTCTGTGACATCTAGAGGCTTTTTAGTCCTACAAAGATCAGTGTATAATTCGAGACTTTCCTGATCTAATCTCTAAGGCTACACCAGGACAGGATTAAAGACACTACAAGACAATTGCACTGATTTTAGACCAGATTCTGTCCTAACACCTCCTGAGGTGGGAGGAGTGTAAAGAGGGATTTTTCATCTCTAGGATCTGTGTGGAGTGGTTCGCAGCCTCCCCAGAAATCCTTTTGTGCAGGGGTAACCCGTGGACGGACAACGATGCACGATGTCGACTGTAATGTGGAGACACTCGATAGAAAAACAAGGATAGACGCTGACTGAAGACAGCAAACGCAGCCATGGCGAGGATGAGAAATGTAAAGCGGAATCCACTCCTGATTCAACGTGACGGCACGATAGTAGGGATGGGAATTGATAAGATTCTATCGATATTGATGCCATTATCAGTTCTACTTATTGATTCAATTCTATAACGATTCCCTTATCAATGCCTTTCTTTGATTTAAAAAAAAGTAGACTTTAGGTTTACACCGTTAACTCAAAATTTTATTGAGTCTCTAATAACAGACAAAGACGAACGCCACCTTCAGTCAATTAACAAACTCATTAAACAGCATTTACTTCTGTTGGTATTAAGTCATATACATAATACGTTCAGTCTGGCATGCATTGTGCTGATGTTAACAAAGGACATACGTTAGGGTGACCATATTCTGATTCCACAAAAAGATGACACTTGAAAGCACTTAAAGTGAATGCACTACATGAACTTGTGTGTGAAATTTGTGGGAGTGTTTTTTATGCGCTTCTAACTCAAACGTAAATTATTCTGAATTCCCAAAGACAGCGCATGTGTGCCTTGCGTCAGTGGCTTCGCTTAGAAGTGAGTGGAGGGCGGAGCTGCAGAGAGGACTGATGCTCTGCACTGTTTCATCATGAATGAAAACACGTTCAGGTAATTTGAAGGATTTTATAAACTCCCCCGAACAGCCCCCCAAAAGAGGACATGTCCGGGTAAAAGAGGACGTATGGTCACACTAACATATGTACCTTCCATGCCGTGCTGAGACGGAGCAGCAGCAGCTGATGACCGGTGGAGAACATCGAATTCATGTGACTCCTTAGATTTGATGCCGTACCCCGTTGACAAATGTTGAAGCCTGTTGCTGGTGTTTCCACCTTTGCATGTTATCACTGCTCGACAAATGTTGCACTGTTGTTGTTGTTCTTAGTAAAATTAAGCCAAGCTTTAGATAATTTCTGCCGACTTTTGGTACCATCCGCCATGTTTTTTTCTTTTTTTCTATCTCTGTTCTCTTTCACGAAGACTGGCACTCGTGAGACCTTTTATCAAGGCACCCAGAGGAAAGGAATCGTTAAGATAAAATGTAAATGATGTCGATGGATTTAACCATTTAAAACCGGTTCTCAATTTCCATCCCTACACGATAGTCTTGTTATGTTCGCTCGAGGTTCAAACCCACTCTTAAACATATTCACCTTTATTTAACCAGATAAAACCCACTGAGATCAGGATCTCTTTATAAGAGGTCATCATAAGAAATGACAGATCAGATTAATACAAACTTCTCGGAGCCAAGGCTGACTTCAAATAAACATCAAAATTCACACCCTCCTTTTTATTTCATTTGCACGCTGACATGCACATTTAAACCAACCAGGGAGTACAACATCATTTCCAGTATTCCCAGTGGAGTGTATCCACCTGTCAGTGAAGACGGGATCACCGGCACTAACTTTGTGGTCATCCTTTGTGTCGGGATGAGAGACAGCTAATTGACTTTTAAAACTTGGAGCCCTGCAGTCAAATCCACTCCAGAAACGCTGCTCAACTTTTTTGATGTGGCTCTGGAGGATTGTGTGTGACAGGTTCATTTTCAATGGCTTTAATTGGTTTCACTGCTCAGGTCTCACACACACACACACACACACACACACACACACATTTGTTCTGTGTGTGTGTGTGTGTGTGTGTGTGTGTGCAGGTACAGCCGAGCTCAAAGCGTGGCCTCTTTTTCTCATCTCGTCATTGACGCTGACATTAAAGGTCACCTGTGAAGCTCTGTCTCTATGTAAAGCACCTCTCGGCGTGTTTTTCAGGTTATGGAGTCACTACAGTCCCAACAACAGCTCCACCATTTCCTACGAGCTCTTCCTGGAGGAGCTGGGTTTTGGCGACAGCCATAACTCCAGGATTTCTCCAGTCTGCACTAAGCTAGGTATGCATACAGTGGATTAAAATGTGGATTTAGAGAATATGATTGACAGCGACCAGCCGGGAACTCAAACAGAGACGCAAACAAGACTTTTAAAAATCTACAAACATGGCTGCTTGTTTCTGAGTCTGTGCTCAGGACCAGAAACGACTGAGCGAAATGCTAATATTGATGTTGCGTTATGAACTCAGGCTGTTAACTACATCGATAACGTCCTTAATATTTGAAGAGGCGTCCAATCAAAATGACCTAAAAACAGCCAAACAACTGTGACTCTCAGAGGGTTTACATGAAGTTAAAATAACAATTCAGTCCGAGGGCTGGGCGATATGGCCTCAAATCAATATCAACGATATATTGATCAGTTCACCTCGATAACGATAAATGGACGATAACTACTCCACAAGCTGCTCACCCCCTCCCACATTAACTTCGTCTACTTCAGCCGCTACAACTTATGAACCGTCCTCCATCTCCTCACCTGTCTATACCTCTTTGTTAGGGGCTGGATGGGGCGGAGTCACATCTCTGATGTAGGACAGCGTCTTAAGAGGGACATGAGACCATAGCCTACCTACACACACCCAAAACCAACCTTGATTGATTTATTATATTGACACCAAATATACCGATATGGGCAAAATAACGACGGTTATTGTCGTAAATTTTGCTCTTGGAAATTTTCGGTTTGTCGCCCAGCCCTACTCAGTTCTGTTAAAATACACACAAACACAACAGTCAGACTAAAGACTAACACACATCGATAACACAGTTGCGGATCTACTTTCTCTTCCGTGTGTCGCCTCTATCAGAACCAAACTTGGGTGTTCTGCACATGCTCAATAGTAGTTAGCCTCCCGCTAAATTGTTTGTTGTTTGTTTTGGTTCATGACACAAAGGGTCAACCAGGAGACTTCCTGATGGTGCATGTATACTGGGACATGGACAGTACTCCTGCTAAATTACCCATAAAACAACAGTAAGCTCCGTGAGCAGCAGTAGACTGTTAGCTGAACAGCTGATAGTTTCCTAAAAACCTCACATGGAAATGTCAAAATTAGTGCTGAATTTTAAAATGTTGATTTACCCCTTAATCTCAGTTACTGATCATAATCTAACATCCTGTTATTTTGGAGAACACAACAGCTTTACAAGGAAACACACCGACCTGGGGACGTTCCTCAGACCTGAGTCTTTCAGTCTATGATTGAGACTACATGTGCCCGGACATTTAACCCTCTTCATTTACAAAAAGAGCATGCCAAACCTGTAGGCTGCAGTGTAGCGAGAAGCTCAAGCCCACGTTAGCCAATCAGAATCCTGCATGGCAGCAACAACAACAACAACGTCAAGATGCAAATGCAAATGGAAACAAATACAAAGAGATTGCACCAGCTTAAATGCGACTGCCATTCTGCATGCATCCATGATCACCATAGATTGTAAACATAGACTGTAGATTGTGCGCCAGAAACTGGGTTAAATGCGTCGTTGTTTCAGCTAAACCAAATCTCTGTTTTTCAGAGTTTTCCAAAATCTCGGCTCTGGCCGGAGTTTTTAAAAAGCATCATTTTCAGGGGTGAATTCTCCGTTTGTGTCTAAATGAAGGGTGCAAACGATGGTTAATGTCCCCCGTTTTTAAAAATAATTGGGTACGTATAAAGGGGGCCTGAGTTTCATTTGCTGGTCTGATTTCCACGTGTAGACCTTCTTAAATGTCATTTACAGATTAATGGGTTAGATTAAACTGACCTTTTATGAAAGTTTGACCACATTTATACGGCGAGGACTTGATTTGGGAGTTCTTTCTGACCGACTGTGTTTGCTTTAGAGGTGTGCAGCAGAGGGAAAACTCCTCCTGAGTGGATCAAACAGAGGAAGCAGAGACCAGCAGACCTGTCAGTCCTTCCTCTCAGAAAGCTGCACGCTCTCTTTTTCGACAAGGTAAAGACTCGTCAGAATCACTCTGTGTGTTTTACTCCTCTTGTTTGCATGTCACCATCTGGCCCTCTCCCATGCATTATCCTCTTTAAAGACGGAGGGCTAAATTGGCTCTAAGTGGCGCGTCAGGATGCAAACGGCAGAGGGAACACTTCTAATTAAAATGTTTGCCCAGAAAAATCAGCTCCTGAGTTAGTGTGTTAATCACGGCTAATTTGTGGAAAAGGCGGCGGAGGCGGGGTTTGAGCTGCTCTGGGATGCTCTCCATGGTAACAGAACCAGGGTTGACTCACTTCCTGTGATTATTAAGGGACAAGAGACACGGAGAGGAGTCTGTCTGTGAAATACGGATGTGATCTTCTGCTTTCAGATGTGTTTGAACTCCACCTCGGTGTGGCGGGCGCTGCGGGCCTCTGACACCACCCGCTCCGGCCTGGTAACACAGGGAGTCCTCAGGGCCGTCCTCAGCAGCTTTGTATTTCCCATGAACCCTCAGTCCTTCCTGAGGCTGACCAGCCGGTAGACAAAGCAAAACTCTATTATTTATTTTCTCGTCTGCTTCAACCTCTCTGCCCTCGGCTCCTTCAATCTTAAAGTCGAGCTCCTCATTTATTCTGTGTGATACATTTTTGATGTGTGTGTATGGATTTATGTGTGTTTGCAGCTATGGAGTGAGAGAAACCGGGCCGGTGAGGTGGAAACACTTCTTGGGGAACTTTATGAACCCGGTCAAAGAAGGCGAGGACACAAACGACAGGTCGGATATTTTATCTTTAGTTACAAGCAACAGTCAAAAGGATTAAAAGGATGTTCCAGTATTTTCTAAGTGTGGTTGTATTAGTGAAACGCCACCAGTAAGTGTGACCGGCAATTTCCACCGGATCCGGAACGACAACGAAAAGGTCGTATCCGCCAATCATAGCTGATCGTTTCCATTCAAGTTACCGTGTCAATTCACACCGGTTGTTAGAATATTAAAATGTTGAGGTGAAGAGAAATTTAAATATGGTTAACAGCAAAACAAGAATGAATCCCTGCTTCTGTTACTCTTGTCTCAGGGTCCAGGAGCAGCCTGAACACGATAAAGACAGCTCACTTTTCCAGGATATTTACCCTCAGCTGAAAGAGATCTTCCATCTGCTGGACCAGGTAAGCATCAGGACTTGAAGTAAAGTAGATAATCAGCCAAAGTAGAGTAATAAATCTCCTGTTTGTGCGTTGGACACACTGAAATGCCTCCAAACCTCTCCCTTATTTGCGCAGCGTAGCGAAAAGTGTAGTTAAAGAACATGACAGAAGTGATTTTGAATGTTATCAGACGGGACACATGGGAGTCATCTCAGCAGATTGCACAGAGACAAAGGCACACACTCAGGTATGTGCTTTAAAATATAAATGCCAGACAGCTTTACAGATGAGCCAATCATCATCTGCAGCTTTTTGATGGCCATAAACATGATTAGATGATTGCATATGGCCGCTGGTTAGCCACTCAGTCACTAGCCATATGTTCATCTGACAGCGATCGCCTTCAACACGCCTCCGCATCCAGTTCTGCCTCTTTAATTTCAAATCAGTCTTCTTCAGCTGCATCAAACTTTGGAGTTTCACTAAACTTTGGGGGAAGGGGGGGGCTGAATTTTCCATTAATTCACAGTTATGTTTGATGTTTGTGCCGCCACTCACAAAACAACACTCGGCTTCCAAGTTTGACGAAGTGTGTGTGTGTGTGTAAATCTGTGTGTTTGTGTGTGAAGCCTCTCCCAGATATGAATCACACATATCTATCTGCCAGAATCTCCTCCTTTTAATGGCATGGGAGGGAAAAAAATCCCTCCATCAACTGTTTTAATAATCTATTCAGCAGTGGGAGATCAAACAAGAGAGTCCTCACACCGCCAGCCAATAATGAGCTTTTTCACTCAGGCAGGTTCGAAGCCAAATCTGGTTTTTAGACTCTCGGGGGGAGGCTCAGAAGACTTTCTGTGATTCACATTGTTTGTGTATGATTCTCAATCTATCATCCACATCACATGGAGGCAACAGTGCCAGGCCATAATTAGTGCTCTCATTACGGAGCATTATTTAACAATGGACTGTATCATAACCTCGGCGAGGAGTAAACACAGTTATATAAATAATCCGAAAGCTGACAAATCGATGAAAAGCACAACATCAGGTTTGGTGTTTGATCCTCAGGCTCTGAGCCGTGTTAGGGGAGTGAACTTCTCCACGGGGCGTCAAAATACACTCAGCCCACAGTACAATATGGTACCACACTACACTGTATAATGGGATATGATACAGGACTATACACTGCAATATCACATAACAGCATATGATAGGATATTATATAAATTACAACCCAATAAAATATGATGAGACATGTTATGATACATTTTTAATATGTTATGATAAAGTAAGCTATAATACAAATAAAGGAATATGATGAGACATCTTATATGTTATGATATGATACAGTTACCTATGATACTAATAATGTGATATGATGAGAAATATGTTATATGTTTTTATCTGTTATGATAAAGTACCGTAAGCTACGATATGTATAATGGGATACGATGAGACATGTTATGATATGTTTTATCTGTTATGATATGATACAGTTAGCTATGATACTAATAATAGGATATGATAAAACATGTTATATGTATTTATATGTTATGATATGGTACAGTTGGCTATGATACTAATAATGGGACATCGTTGGATACTTTGCATTAACAATTTGATGTCATAAGATACGATACAATACAACGTAATAGAATACAAAGTGATAGAGTATGGTACAATGTGATAAAATGTAATATGATACAACCAATACCAAATGATATGATTGTGACGCAATACAATTTGCTGCATTATGCTGCGATGTAATGATATTTTACAATATGATAAGACTGAGTGTGAAAAGATATGATACATTAAATTTTAAAAAATACAATATGATACGATTAGACTCTATAAAAAGATGATACGAAATGATACGATGTGATACCACCATACTATCTAATGTGATTCAATAGGACGTGTTTAAGCTGTAGAAGTGAAGCTAATATGAAGTAAAAACAGACACCAACATAAACATCAACACTGCCAAAGTAATCATCTTTAAAATAGTTATTGTACTTGTGAAAAACCTAAGGAAGAGGTTAAATACTAACAGTGGCTGATGACCTGATATCTCACCTGATCATATTATCCAGACAGATGACCAAAAGAGACCAAACCCCAACTCCACCTCCACTCCTAGAGGCGACACATCATCACCAAACACCCATCCTAACACTCAGGAGACTGCAGATGTCCCAAAGACGACTGAAGAATCTGATGTAGGCTTTTAAAGCTCTTTGCAAAGATTCATGTCGGACATAAGGCCATAAATTCAAACTCTGTTTTTGGTTATTTTTCCCCAGCTGCAGCAGAAATCCCCAGATGAGATACAGACCACACGGAGCGATGATGATGTGCACGTGGCTGCTTCACAGAGAACAGTGAGAACAAGATGTATTGTGATCAAAAATCACCTTTATCACACGAAGCATACAGCAGCGGATCAGACAGAGACAACACAGAGGATCAGATCAAACGAAAAAAGAGGGGTTAATTATTAATGCACTGTTTGATATCTGTGTGTGTGTGTGTGTGTGTGTTATAAAAAGGTGGAGCGTTTGCTGCAGGAGAAACTCAGTGCAGTGTTAGAGGCTCTGAAGCTGCGTGACCCTCAGCTCTCTGGAAACGTCACAGAGGAAGATCTGAAGACGGTCTTAAGCTGCTGTGGAATGCTCATCTCAGACACACACTTCAACAAGTGAGAGACTCACAAACACAAACACACACAAGCAAACGAGGGCAGCTGTCATTTTCAGAAATATATCAAGAGCAACGCTGTGACCTCAGAGATAAGAAATAAACGCCTGGACAGATTGGTGATACTGAACTGTTTGGCATGAGCGATGAGAGCTGAGATACTGAGTTTAAAAATGAAGATGTCAAGTTCAAGTGTCTCTAAATCGTAGGGGGATTAGTTCGAAATTTGCTTATTTAGTTTGTAGCTAAGAGTGACGCAAGAACTCCACGAGGACGCTTTAAGAACTGAGACAAGAATCAACTAGACTGAGAGAAACTGTCACAGATTATGGGACCAACTCGAAGTCCTTTGACTGTGTTTAAACATGAGTCCCATAAAGGTTTATATGCACAGGATGACTTTAATTTACTCTTCCAACTAAAATAAAAATAGTTTCTCTTACCAGTTCAACTCCAGGTTAAAAGACAGTGTTGATTCCACACTGCATTTGGTCCACCCTCTGGTCTATCCTCTGGTCCGTCCTTTAGTCTGCAGCAGGTGCTGGATAGTGTGTAAGCATCTGAAGGACGCAGACGCAAAGTGACCCTGAGCAGGACACACAAAAATGGCATGCAGATATTTACTAGTACCAATACAGATTAGCTGCTGACATAATTATCTTAACAGTCTGAGACACAGTTGTATGTAAAAGAACTTACCATCAATTTCCATGACATTGGAGTCATTTGAAGAGCAGCCACTTTCTGTAGTTTTGGACATTTCTGATGAAAGACGTCCTACATCTCTAGAACTTTTTCCAGACTCTGCATTTCAATGACAAGTGGCAGAAAATGCAGAACTTAATAAGGACTACAAATGTTCACAAAATGTTGAATGTTGCCGACCGCTTGCTTCTCTAGTTATACCAACTTTAGTAACGACAAACCTCAACCAAAACGCCACTCTATAGCCACAAATAATGCTCAGAATAGCACCTAACTTCATCAACAGGACATATAGGGTCACAGACATAGTACTAGACACCAAACATCTTTTTAACTTTGACTCATTTCTTTAGCAAAGAGACTAAACACAACTCACCTACTCTCTTCCAGCAGCCGCTTGTTTGTAGCGAGACCTCATGCCAGTCCATTAAGGACTACAGCGGGGTGCCGCAGCTCAAGGAAGAACATTTATGATCATTTCCATGAAGAAATGATCATAAATGTTCTTCCTTGAGCTGCGATCGTTTACTAAAGTTGGTATGACTAGAGAAGCAAGCAGTCGGCAACATTCATGTCTTGAGGGGGTGTCTAACTCGGTGTTACAGTGTGTACCTAAATTAATTTTACGCCGGAATATCCCTTTAAGAGGACCAGACTATCAGGAAGACCATTCATATGATAATCCCTAAAACAACAAACACCCACCAGGACCTTGTCAGCTTACTTAAAAAAAGCAAATATCAGCTGTCTGATCATGTCAAGAGGAAATATAACCGTAGAGGCTTCAGATAATTGGACTTTGCGGTAAAGCGATTGTTTGGTGTTCGGTTGGTGTTTCTGCCTAGGTGTACCTAATACTGTGGCAGGTAAGTGTAAAACAACAAACATTTGCTAACTATGCCTGCCAATTTCAGCACGAATTTCAGACTCTAAACGAAGCCCATGCCTCACCCTTTTGGATTTTAACACCCGAATTTCTGGTCAAACTTCAGAATCCGCAAACCAAACTGACAAAGTGCGCAGCAGCACAGACGTTAGCTTACTTTAGCTAACCTGCGTCAGTTCGCGCTCCGTCCAGCTCCGCGTTTACCAACCGATAACGACTCAAAACGACACATACAGAATAAATAACGACTAACCTGTCGTTCCTGGGAAAATGTAAGTTAACTGTTGAAGTATTTTCCTCCTTTCCTTGAAGGGCTGAGCTTTACCGGTCTATCCGATACTGACTTTGTGTGTGTGTGAGAGAGAGAGAGTACCTGCGTATGTGCCAACGTCGACCCTTTGCGTCATGGCGGCAGAACGAATACGGGAGGGGCAACGATAGGGACGCAAGCTAGCTCGATTTTTCCGTGTTAGCATTAAACTACCGAACTGCTACACCATAGATATATACCCGCGCATGGCGGCCATTTTGCTCGCCCGGGACGCTCGGCCACTCCTGACATTCCAGTCTACGGTGTATGTAACATTTAAATAACAATAGATTGATTAATTTAAACCGATTTTCAAACGGTTTGGTTGGTAACAAACCTCAGAGTTTTAGTTATGTTCCTGCATACTAAAGAATAATCCTGTTAGCCAAGTTAGACAGCTGATAAACACAAGCGCATCCACAAAAACTGTCACTTAGACTAAATAAATTAAATGAAAAATAGGCTGTCATACAAGAAACTAAAACCTCGATTGTGGTCTTAGTCTTGACAACTCACGCAAAGCGACTCAAAGTTAGACCCCGTGCGTAAATAGCTGTGAAACAACGGTGCCCTGCAATAAAGACTTTATTTTTTCTGAAAGAAAATCTGCCATTTCAATATGTCCAAGCATCCTGACTCATAGCCACATTATTAAGGTCTGTAATAAACGAAACCATTTGTAAATCTATCAAGATTTCAGCAAGTTAAGAATATTTTTGATCATCCTGTCAGCTACCATAGAGCGAACCAGAATGGTATACTGGAGTAAGATGGCCGCTGTGTAGGGACACCGGTGATTCCGCCTCGAGTCATCCAGCCTTTCTTATAAATATCTATGTTTTACACATACAACATTCTACTTCACATACAACATGCTGGAAAATATTACGATCTAACACCAGCTGCTCTGTTTGTAACCAACCTAACAAAATATCTTTCGTCCATTTCTTAGTCAGAAAACTTTATAATTACAAGTCTGGAAGGTACTTCTGGCAGAGTTCATGTAATAGTAAACAAGGCTGACTTACCTGGGGCGTCCCTTTGTCTCCGGCCTCAGTTATAAACCATCAAGCTGCTTTCAGATGCAAACACTTCTAAAAAATAGTCCCAGCTTTATACAGGAAGTTAACACAAGTGAACAAAAGAGAATTTTACACAAAACACTCATCTGCCCTTCCTTAACTTGAAACCAGGTGTTCAGAGCTGCAAGAACCAGTTCTCCAAAGACAATCTCCCACTTTGAGGCTCATATGTGAACAGAAGTACCTGAAAATATCAGGGCCTGAAAGTTCTGACATTATCCAGAAAATGTCAGGAGTTCATGTGTGAAAGGGGTCAGTGATAGTCACCCCTCTTTGAAAGACTGTTAACAATCTGCTCCACAGGCCCGACTCATCACCTCAGCCGACCTCGCAGTCAGTTAGCGAACATCAGCCACCTCAGTGCAACCTGAAGGTACCTCCAGACACCTGCAGCATCCAGGATGATGTTCTTCAGAAGATAAAGTCAAGATTAGAGAGGCGGCGGAGCAGACTGATCGACAGGATCCAGGCGGTCACGCAAAAATCTGATGGGACACTGTCAGAGAGTGATGTCAGAAAGGTGAGTGGGTGTGAAAGTGTCTTCTCAACAACTTAATGTCATATTTCCTGACTCTTTGAGTTAAATACAGTTCCTAACAGCTGCAAATGAAAAAGAAACTCACTGCAAAAAGACAAATTAACTGCATGTTGGGGCTGTAGTAATATACTGGTATTGATGATGAACATCTTAATAAAAAAAGCAAAATAATATTAATATCCTTTTAACAATAAGTTCATGATAATTCCATGAGTTTTAAGTACTGGTCGTCCCAGGTGAAGAAGAAGTAGCAGCCTGCTAGTGAGCCAGCTGAAGCGTCCCTTTTAAAACGGATTATTTGTGAATCTAAAATCAATATTGGAGTTTGTGTCTTTTATTACCTGAACATTTATACTTTCTGTTTGTTCTTTCAACTTCTGTCCGGTTCTCCAGTTCAGGAAATTAAGCAACCGAAACCCAAGATAAAAAAAAATATATCAAGATAAAGCATGATAAACAATCATTTAATGAGCAGTGGTCACTGGACTGATGATAATGTGATTTATCAATAAGTTTATGCTCCACTCTTGTCTTGACTCCCTCGTTTTGATTGATTGTGTTGTTTTATTTTCAAGTTTTCCATAATTATCACAATAATATCGCAATCCCAGAGATGATCTCACTTTAACTGTCTACTTTCACACCTGTATGTTGTTTTTTATTTATTTTAATTATGTTTCTAGCTGTGTTTTTATGCCCTGTAAATTGTCCTTGGGTGCTCAGAAAGGCGCTTTTAAATAAAATGTATTATTATTATTATCTTGAGGTGAAAAAAACTAGTGTAGTTACAGTCCAAGTGCACATACAGCAAAACACTGAAATTACACAAAAGCAGAAGGAAACTGCAGATAAAAACACAAAGATCCATGTTGTTATATCAGTTTTGAATTTGCAGCAGGTTTCCACTTTGGTGTTTGTTTCTGGATTTTTGAAGATGAAGCAGGGGAAGATTGTTCAGGCTGTTGCAGAGAGTTTGACTTATTGGCCACTGCAGAACCATGTGTAGAAAAACAACAGAGGACCTAGGACAGGACCTTGAAGGACGCCATGAGACAGGAGCCTGACTGATAAAACATGTTTCCCTGCAGTGACTTGTATTTCCTCTCAGACGAATAAGGGGGAAGCCCGTTTTAAACACTGAACTCCACAGGATCAAAGTGCCCCTCTGTCTCTTTTCCTCCCTCAGATTTTGGAGGACAGCTCGGTCATCTTGGGTGATAAAGATTTCAGCGAGTTCGCGGACCTGCTGGGCTTCAGAGATGGACGAATCGAGAACTCGTCACTCCTGCAGAAATACGAGGGTGAGACTGAAGAAAGGCAGCCAGAACATCTTGACCAGCAGCGTCTCCAATCCCATCAGTTCTGCATGACAGGGCTCTCAACGCTTAAATAGAGATTTCAGAAATCCCTTCCTACTCCCATCCAGGCTCCGACCCCCTTTCCACTACATTTTCCTCTGCAGTCAGACTCGTACCCCACCCACGGCGATCAAACATAAACCCCCCACCTCCTGTAAAATGATGTCTCTCTTAGCGCAGGATCCATCGGAGAAATCACCCCAGATTATAAATAGAGGAAGAGGGAGCCTCTTCGTCTCTCATTAGCAGACACAGACTCAGAGTCACACTCATTTCTGCTTGTTTGGGCTAATTATGTGCTTTCGAAGCAGAAAACAGAGCAGCAGGGCATCGCTCTAATTTGTAATTTCTTTTAAAAAAAAGACAGAAACACAAAGAAAAAAAAGAGGATTCATTAAACAAAGACGGGACGCAAAGTTAGTCATGTTTGCAAGGCATACAAAACGAGCGGAGCAGCTTCAGAATACAGTGTGCTGCTAATTAAATGTAAATCAGGTCAGCAGTTAAATGCCCAGTGTGCTCGTCAGACATGAAGGACAAAAAAAAACACACAAAAAAACACACAAAACTGAACAAAAACTCTAATTTGTTGGGTTTAACTTCTTCACAGAGAAGTGGGAATTAGAGAGCAGAGGTTAATTATGGGATTAATTAAAAGGCCAAATATGAAAGCTCTGGATATTTGACGTTTGTTTTTCTGCAGAGTTCACACACAGGCGCTCACGGCAGAGCGCCGAGGGTCACAGTGACGAGGAGGGGGTCGGGGTCGGACGCCTGCTGACCACGGCTGAGCGGTGTTTGGCTGCCATGAAGACCAGGATCAAGACCGTGCACGGGGTGAGAAAAACATCTGCAAGAAATCAGTTAAAGCAGCAGATACAGACTGAAACTGTGAGTCAAAAGTTTTTAAAGTCGTCTGACTGAAGTATCTTTCTGTTCGTCTCAGGATAACCTGTCGGCGTTTCATCTGATGGACGGGAGGCGAAGAGGCGCGGTCGACCGCCATGATTTCAAATCTCTGCACGACAGTCTGGGGTTTTTCTGCAGGGAGGACGAGTACGAGCGGCTGCTGGATCTGATGGGTCTCCATCCTGGAGGAAACCTGAACTTCTCCGAGTTTGTGGATGTCGTGGAAAATAAAGGCAAACCCAAACAGCAGCCTCAAGCAGTGAGAGTGTGAGTGTGGCGTGTTTTTCACTCATGTTTGACCACGTGGAGGAGAGCTCGTCCTGTGACGGTGACGGTCGGTGTCTCTGTCTCTCCTCACAGACAGCAGCAGCTCCATGAACTCCTGTCCTCTGAGGCTCGACACAGATGGACCGACATGTCGAAGGTCAGGAGCGCTTACAGGAAGCACAGACGTTTGTGTGGCGTTAAGACCTGACCCGTTTGTCTCCTCCCATCAGGTGCTGTGTCAGTGTGATTCAGACGGTCAGGAGTGGATCCATAAAAACAGTTTGAGGAGACTTCTCTTCACTTACTCTCTTCCCCTCACATCGGAGGAGTTCGACCAGATCTGGCTGAGGTACAGCGCAGAAAATCCTCTCTGCTGTCGGCTGAAACTCGCTTTATTTTTAGCAGGAAACGCTCTTGATTTTGCTTTTTGTTGCAGACTCTAAACTCTGAAATTTAACCCAGATTCAGTCACAGTAAATTCTTTAAAATTTTCCCTGATTTTTGCCAAGTTATCTAAAAACTGTAGACATTTGCCCATTTTTTGTCGGCCCTGAGTTTTAGTTTAAAACAAAATTAAAAAGTTAAAGTCCACCGTACATCTGGAATCCTTCGAATCGAGCATCATAAACGAGCTGTTTTGATTTTACTCTGACAGGTATGATCCAAAGCTGCAGGGCCGTGTGGCGGTTTGTGACTTCCTGGAAAAGCTGGGGTTTCATCACAAACGTGAACTCAGGAGGACTCAAAACCAGCAGGGGACCAGCAGAGTCCTCTGAGGACACCTCACAGGAGACTGAGGAGTAAGAGGAGAGGGAGCTGGTTTTTAGGAGGACATTTGATTTTAAAATAGATAAATATGATTGATTTATGCTTTTAATTTTAGACCGATACACAAGATTACAGAAGCATTCACCAAAAAAAAAAAGAGCTGTTTTTCAGAGTAATTTTTTTTCTTTCTGTTTTTCGGGCTTTTTTTGTTTGTTTTTCAGACTAATTGCATTTCCTCTTCTCTGGGATCATGATCATTTAAAATCAGATGCAGATTCTTGCAGGATTTTAAAGTATCTTGTTTAGTCGGGGGGAAAAAAATAGTCCAAAAAACAGAAGGACGAAAAAAAAATATTACGAAAAACAGAAAGATGAAAAAAAATAAGAAAAACAGAATATGAAAAAAAAATACAAATAAAGAAAGAAGAAAAAAACAGTACAAAAATACAGAGAGACGAAAAAAATAGAACAAAAAAAGAAAGATGAAAAAAAATTTAGAAAAACAGAAAAAAGAAAAAAATTAGAAAAACAAAGAAGAAAAAAGTTATATGAAAAAAGACAACAAAAAAATAGTACGAAAAACAGAAAGACAAAAAAATTCTACGAAAGACAGAATAAAATTCTGATTAACAGAAAGAGGGTAAAAAAACATTTGTACAAAAAAACAGATAAAAAATGTAGTCAGAAAAACAGAAAAAAAACCCCTCAAAAAAACAGTTTCCTTTTTTTTTTTCCTTTTCTTTGTAGTGAATACAATATGCTTTTGTATAAGATGGTTAAAAATGTTATGAAGTTAGTTTTTCCAGCATTGGGGTTAAAAACGTCAGAAAAGCAAAATGACAAAATAGAAATGAGTGCATCCATCAGCTCAGGCTTTTAGAGAGACTGGACATAAATAAAACTCACTGACGTCTGTGAGAAATAATAATAATAATAAGTCATGTGATCAGACAGGCTGTGAAACAGACTCAGTGTGTACATTTAAATATTTCCCACTGTGTGTTTGTTTCACTCTGATAAATGAGCCTCTCACCTCGGGGGGTTCAGATAAACAAACAGTTCAGCCTGATGATAAAACATTTGACTCCTGCTGTGATTGTTATTGAGCCATTATAGAAAAATGTCTTTATAATACAGATATATATTTAACAACAGCCCGTTCAGACTCTCAGGGAATAAATGAAAAAACTAAAAATAAAAGTTTGTTTGAACGTTTAAGAAGAGACAGCAGAAGTTTCCTCTTGGTCTCCTGCTCACAGGAAGAAGAACTTTGAGGCGTTTCAGGACCAGCTGGCTCACCTGGACATAAAGAGAGACGGCACCGTGAAGGTGGAGGAGCTGCTGAGTCTGTTAAACACCTACACCTGCTGCGTCAAGAGGGATCAGCCCCTAAATCACCCGAACAGGTAAACCCAAACTCTCTGTAGAGGTCTATCCATGAGAGCAGAGGGTGTCGAACAGTTACCTCCAAAAATGTAAAGTCTGCTTTGTAGTAAACTCTACGGTGGCCGACCAGGGCCAACAGTCGATAGGAACACAGAAAACCGCGAACACAGGGGTGCTCTGGTAACTTCATTTCTGCTCATCTTTGGTGATTAAAGGGATATTCCAGCGTAAAAATAAATTCAGGGTCATGTCTGTGACCCTATATGTCCTGTTGATGAAGTTAGGTGATGTTCTGAGCATTATTTGTGGCTATAGAGTGGCGTTTTGGTTGAGGGCGTGGCTCTCTGTATTACTATCCTGCGGTCGTTACTAAAGTTGGTATAACTAGAGAAGAAAGCGGTCGACAACATTCATCTCTGGAGGGGGGGTCTAACTTGGTGTTACGGTGGGTTTGACCCTTAATTAATTTTACGCCGGAATATCCCTTTAAGACCAGAAAAGAAATCTTAAAGTCAGATTTGAGAACGAAATGATGGATTTGAGTTTATGTGCGAGGATCTTTTTTTTTGGACAAAACATCAAAAATGATCATAAAAAGTCGTCAGTCTTGTCTCGTTTTCATGGATGATGACCATGAGAGGGTTTTTCTTTCCACAGAGACGAATCAGAGAAGAAGAGTGAGCGTCCTCCTGTCACCCCTGATGCTCTGCGTCACGTCGAGTTTTTGGGCGATCTCAGTCCTGGAGCAGCTCTGGCTCGGATGAAAGATCTGGTCTCTGCCTCGGCGTCTGATCTGTTTAAGGTGAAGCTCTACGACTCGTGCGTCGTTTCTCTCCGTCTTCAGTTTCTCTCATCGCCTCCTCCTCCTCCTCCTCCAGGCGTTCTCGGCCTTCGACCAGAGCAGATCGGGGTCGCTCTCAGCTCTGCGGTTTCGTCAGGTGTTGGAGAATTTCTGCGCTCGTCTGTCGGACAAACAGTACCGGTACATGCTGAGCAAAGTGGAGCTGGACCGTGAGAGCTGCACTGTGAACTGGAGGGACTTCCTGAACAAGTTTCAGAAGGTATGAAATTAAACGCACCAGATTCGACCGCTTTAGCATGATCTGAATTTTGTTTGTCTTTTTTGTAGATTCCTGCAGAGAGAAGTCAGAGCGAGAGTAAAACCAGATCCCCTCTCCCGGCCACTTCAGACTCCAGCATCCTGCAGCTTCAGGAGGTCACCCCAGACCACCTGCATGAAGATCTCCTGGATCAGGACTCCTCTGACGACCAGGTGGAGCTTGAAAATGAGTTTACTTCTGCTGATATTCAGGAGAATTAAATCTGAGAGAATTCAAAGAAAACAAGCACGTTTCCAGCAGCTCTCCTTGTGCTTTCAAGCTGAAACAACCGACGCTGGCATCAGTTCATGCTTACAAATGAGGAGAGGAAATTTGGGTACATTTGCCAGCTCCATTCTCCTTAGTCGGATATGTTTTCTTTAATTATTCTAATCAAAATCTAATTTATCTTTGCTGATAATTACTGACTGCGTGAGACAGTTACTCATCTGAAAAGCTCATTTAGGTGCCGTGTTTCACTCTCTTTGTGGGCGTTTATTCAGCGTGTTTTTCTTTTCCCCAGTTTGAGTGTTTGTGGAGCCGAATGCCTTTAAATGAGCAGAAGAAACTGCAGTACGGAGAGTTTCACAAAGGTTTCGGTGCTCACGGCGCGCCCCCCTGCAAAGGAGGAGAGGGTCCCGGCATCAACAACCTCCCCCATGAGTCCGGAGGGTCGGTCTCTGCAGGAGCCGGTCTGCAGCGAGCTCAGGTACAAACAGGAGGACAGACCTTAGGGTTACTTCAGCATTAGTGCAGGTTTCTGCTGAATGCTAATCTACGATGCATGAAGACACCAGCTGCTTTGTAAACCCGGACATGCTCAGAGTCCGCTCTAAGAAGTCTGGGAAAAAGAGACGGGCCGTTTCGCTGCAGAGGCAGGAATCAAACTTCGCTGAGAAAAGACTGGCAAATAAAAAAGAACAATTTAATTTGAGAAAACTAAATTCAATTTCCTGCCCGACAAACTCGTGAAAAACGACTCTGCTGAGATCCACAAGAGCTCACGATTATTGCTCCAACTCAGTCGTCCTTTTTTTCACTTCGCCTGGACTTGGAAACCAAATCAGTTCAGTTGAAACGCTTCACTGGAAAAAAAGAGAGAGTGCAATAAAAACTAGGAATTAATAAACTGTCACTTCATGGATGATTTCTATTTACACATAAATATACTCAGAGGTTTAGGTCGTCAGCGTTAGAAGTGGTCTGATTTTTCTCCAAGATGAAGTAGAAGAAGAAAGTCAGCTGAGTTTGGCGTGAACAGAAGAAAAAAGTCTGTATGGAGAGTAAAAGCAGGAGGAAAGTAAATTTATCTTTACAGGCAGAAAACTAAAGGCAGCGTTTGAATCTCCTGACTCCCTTGAATGCATCAGAGATGATGGAACCGACTGTCGCTCAAACTAAACCGACTTTCCTTGAATGTGATTTGAGTAAACCGACAACCAATCACAGCGTGACCCTTAATCAGAGAGTAACGGCTCATTTACGCTCGCCATACGTGTAAAAATGTACGCGTCTGTTTCAAACGATGGTTCCGTCACTGCCCACATACTTATATATGTCCTTTACGTTGGCATGGATGTTCACTGTTACATCCACCAGGGGGCAGGCCGGAGTCAACAAACAAAAAGAAACATGGCGACTGTGGAGGAGCGAGTGATGTTGTGGCCATTTCATTTAATAAAAAAAAAAACACTGTTTATGATTTACATCCTTTTTGTTTGGTTGGATCTCAGCTGATTTAATTATTGGTTGGTATTTCTGACGTTACCATTGTAGTCACATGATTATGGTCACGCGTCACGGCTGGTGGTGTCAGTCTGCTCTTTGAATTTAATTTTGATTTCAAGAAGCTTTTGCGGACATTTAAATTTCTTTTTTGGAATAAATCTGTTTTTTTGGAGTCCATGCGAACACCACAAGCCGTTCATTGCTACGACAAGTGATAATGTTAATTTAGCATCGGAGACAGAAACGGAGACAGCGTTGGAGGAGGCGGTGGTCGGTCAGGCCACTAAATGCCTCGCGGTTTGGAGGACGGAGAATTCTTTTCCTCAAAAAGCCCCGCCATAGTCTTCATCGTTTCTCTCTAGAAAAGTGTATTCGGCGGTGACAGCAGCAACACTGCCCCTACAGTTCCTGGTGGTACTGCTCCGGGCCGTATTTGTAAATATGTGCAAAAATACGGACAAAAAGCTCCGTCTGGATCCAGATCCGTATGTGACGTTGAGCATAAATGAACCTTTACACTTCTTTGAGATTTTTCCAGTATTTAGCGGTGCAGGTCGGCTGTAAAACATGTCCGATCTTGTTAAAACTGTCTATATGATCCTATTTGGTGTTTGTTTTTGTGCGTTTTCTTATTTTCTTTATTTTGAACTCAGAGGAGGAAAGTTTGCAGACTTTGTTAAAGTTGTTCAAAATGTGCAGAACAGATTGACTGAAGTTTATAGTTCAAGCAAAAATAACAAAGACCTCTAAAAAGGAAGAGGATCCTCGTTTAATGTTATTAATTATTGAAAAAGTTTGAACAAAGAATATTAAAAGTGTGTTTGTATGACGTCCACATGAGGCTAAAGACAGAGCAGAAACCTCAGAGATAACCTGATTGTCTAATAAAGTCCACAGAGCAGCAAATGTGAGAGTTTACACCGAGTTAAATAAATGAAAGGAAAAAAAAACTCTTATTGTGCGCCAACGTTTGAAAACAAACACAAAAATTAACCGAGCGGAGAATTGACTTTCTCCGGCTCTGATTTAATCCTTTTAGTGTGAGAAGAGCAGCAGCTTCAGTCCTGAAATAGAAGAAAAGAAACTGAGGAGTAAAAACACTCGGACTTTAGACTTCGAGGTCTTTGAGCGCGGCGTTAGAAACACGCACGCTCCAAAGTCGTTTTTCAGCTCCTCTCCGTCCTCCTCCAGTCTGCCCCGCGGTCCTCCTCCAGGCGTCCTGCCACAGCGGGGAGGCCGGGAACAGGAAGCCCGCCGGGGAGCGTGGAGAGGAGTCTTGGAGGGGCGGTGCAGCGCTGCTGGAAGGAGATCCAGAGGAGCTGCAGAGAGGAGGACTCTGGAGGAGGAGGACTCATCAGCACCTCCATTTTCCTGAGTGAGCAGAACACCGCAGACCCTCTCCCTGCTAAAACGCTCATGCTAATGATGAGTGTGTGTGTTTCAGGGATCCTGCGCTCTCTCAGCGTCGGCGTGACTCAGCAGCAGTTTGAACAGCTGGCTCTGAAGTTTGACTTCATGAGTAACGGCCTCGTTTCATATCAGGACTTCCTGCGCCACTTTCTGCTGAACCTGAAACCAGCAGAGACCAGGACGGCGTTCAGACGGAGGAGACTCCCTCTACCCACACAGGTAAACTGACCTCCTCCGATTCATCCTCAGAGACCGGGTTCTGTTCAGGTCTCCTCCGACACCAGAAGAGTCCAGTTTGGCTTTTAAAGTCACACTTGAAAAATACATGAAGCTCCTTTTGTGCGCAGACTCTGGTCACAGTTGGAGCCGAGCGTGAAATCAGGACTCGGGTTTGTTCTTTCAGCTCCAGGTTCTCATGCTGAGCTGCAGATTAGCACGTCTCCAACGAGTCCCCCTCTCCTCCTCTTTAAGGTTTGATCTATTGTAGTTTTATTGGCTCCCAGTTCACATTGGTTTACAGTTAAGTGGAGGGCTGGTGTATCTGGAATATGAGGAGGAGGTGATGGGCGACGGCGGGTTTCCAGACTGTGTAAACTCAGCGGGGACCTCCCACCCTCAGGCTCTCGACTATCGCCTCCCATGACAGGCGGAATGGGCGAGTTTGCTGGTTAGCTTTTTCGTTTTGGCAGGAAAAGGTGTATATGAAGCTTTGAACAATGACACACGGGTGGGCACGCTCTAAAAAAAAACCCCCCGCTGAGTGACTAAGCCGAGCCCCAAGCTTCAGTGGAGCGTGTGGGTGAGGGCCTAATCTGCCAACCAAGAGCTGCAACCTTCCAAACCAACTTTTGGATTCACAAAGACCTGCATTGTCTCGAGCGGACCAACCATCTGGGTAGATTTTGCGGAGACCCCCTGCACGGATCGGACTGGATGGAGTGTTTCTGGACGAGTTTAAAGACGAAACCTCTTCGTGAGAAACAAAAAGCTCTGTGTTTGGAGTCTCCGCTCATAAAACATCTCCATCGTTTCCTCTTTACCTAAACTGGACAGAGTTTCCTGAGGCCTGCGGCTCATTTCTACGTCGATGACTCTGTCCGTTACTGTTCGGCACCTTCTGCCGCTCAAGCTCGTGCAAATCCGAAATGCCGATAAAACAGATCTGACAGTTTTACATTTAAAGAACTAAAGCAGCTTTTAGTGAGTTTATGATTGTTAATGTCTTAGTTTCAGCTTCACTCTGGACTCTTCAGTCCACACACAGAGAGCAGCAGTTTGAGAGGAAAACACCGACAAGTTTTAATCACGTTTAAAATCGGATTTACGTCGCTGCGAATAAAGGTTACTGTTTTTAAACGTGGGTTAGCGTGACCTGCGCACTTCCTGCAGCTGTGAACCCTGCGCTCCTGTGGTTGGATTTAAAGAAACAGTAAGTGAGGAACACATGACGGGTTTGGATATCTGCTGATCCGCCTCAAATGTTTGGTCTCGTCATCATCTTGTAGGGCTGAACGAGTAAACAACTTTAATCTTAATCAGATTATTTGATTATGACGATGTTAAAAATATCCTCCAGGCCACCGTAGGCTTCCTAGTTCCCACACACATCAGTGTAAACAAACATGGCGTTCGCAAAAGAAGGCGATAATTTCGTGGTTAAATCGGACAAGAGCGAGTCAGTCGTGTTGAATTGGTACGACTTCACAGTTTCAGATGAAGAGTAAACCACTCCCCGCTGTAAAGTCTGTCTGAAGGCGGTATCAACCCGTCACCACGGAAACGAATTCAGGAGGAAACGCTAAAGTTTTTTGTCGTATCGGCGTTTCAGGTGACTGTAAACGGTACTTTTTGAAAACGGGTCAGAGAGTGAATAAATCTGTAAACGACGACCATTTCATCTCCGTGTGGATGTCTATCTGCATCTCTGGAAACGATCATGTGACACACAGAGGAACTCTTTTATGGCGCCAAAACAACCTTTATACACATGCTCTGTACTCTTCTTCAGCGTTACAGCGCCACTTACTGGCTTGGCATATGAACTACATCGTTTTCACAGAGGTGATAGAAAAACGTATTTTTATAATGAGGTTTGGTGAAGTTGTCACTGAATCAAAAATAAAAAATCGAGTTTCCTGAGAAAAAAAAATCAGGATTTTGTTTTTGGTTAAACTCGTTCGGCCCGATCGTCTTGTTAACAAAAATAAATATCTGTCACAGTTTTTATCATAAGTGATAACATAAAGGATGTGCTGCAACTTCACCCCCTTGAACTACCTACAAAAGGATTTGTGGTCTGCCTCAAGTGGACACTTGAGGAACTGCAGTCGTTACTCTTCTGCTCCAGCTTCATTTCTCAACACTGAAACATTTTTAACACGATCAAAGTTTTAATGCAGGTTAATCATTTCATAAACAAATATTCCCACAAAGAACTCGGACCCTCTGGCGCCCTCTGCTGGTTCATTTATGATCACAGGTATAAAATCAGCTGTTTTTTTCCCCCTTTAATCGTCTCATATTTCACCTGGTCTGTTTCAGATAAGTCAGGGTGTCCTGAGCAGATCCTGCGTGGACGTCATGCTCAGGATCTACGATGTGGTCCGCCCCTCCTGGACCTCCATCAGACGCCGCTTCCTGACATCTGACCGCGCCCGCACAGGAAGCGTCTCCATGCGGGACTTCAGGAAGGTGAGTCGATCTGCAACACGGCGCCCCCGCAGAGCTCCACCTGCTCCGCCGCGCCTGAGCGCTGTCCGACCCTCGGAGATAAACGGCGTCTCTGTGAATTATTGATGCGAATGTTTGAGTTTCGCTCGTGTCTCTTCCATCAAAACGTCTGAATGACTGAAAATCCATGAAGCTGCAGCCTCACACACACACACACACACACACCTGACAGCCAATCAGTAATTTTAATTGTTCAATTAAGCTGAAGGTTGAAACAAGACCAGGCCGACACTTTGGCCCAGGAGAGCAGCAGCTGACACTCCTGCTTTATTGTTCCAGCTGCAGGATTGACTGACGACGGCGCTCGCCGACTTAATCGATAGGAACAATTAGCAGCCCGGTTAGGGATGACATCTCCTGAGCTCTCACCGAACACACGAGGACACACACTCCAGCATGCACACACACACACACACACAGATCTGTGCTATCACCCTGCAGGTGCTGCATCACTTCGGCGTGGATCTGTCGGAGGAGGAGTTCTTCCACCTCAGCTCTTATTTCGACGCCGACGCCACAGGAAAGATCTGCTACAACAACTTCCTGTGGACTTTTCTGCGCTGACCTCGGATCAGATGAAAACGCGGCGTCATGAAAGGCGAGATTTTGGCCGATCACATTCGATCAGATTCACAGCTGCTGTGTCTCTTCACTTCCACTGAGACAGGAACGTGCAGCAGCTTGTAAAGTTTTAAAGTGGGAATCCTGCTTAAAAAAAAAAAAACTTTATTAACCCGAGAATCAGAGACAGTCATGGTGAAAGAGGACCACGAGGAAACAAGTCTTCACATGAGTCACTGGGTCAAAAACTGAAAAATAAAGATGGACAGAGAAAGATGAGTTTTTCACGTCTCCGTTTACCTTCTCTGTGTTTGACTGTTACGTTTCTGAAGGACGGGGAAAGTAACAAAAGGGAAATCTGCACCTTCAAACTAAACAAAAATAAGTCCCTTGGGTTCGAAAAGATGGAGTGGAGTCACACTTCCTCACAGCCGCCCACTAATTCTGCCAAAAGTAGGTGAACCAAAGTAAAAGACCTCAAACAGGACAAATCGGTGAAAACACCGAGTACAAAAAACCTCCTTATAGATCGAAACCTCAGAAAAACTCTAGAGTTTAACCTCCTTCCCTCAAAACTCAACCGCTCTCAAACACACTCATCACACAAACCAAGAGACACCAACTAAAGGTGTCGACTCTTCGGTGTCACACCTCTAACTGAGAGAAAGAACCTCCTTTATAGACGAACCAGCCGAGTGTAACGAGGACAGGTGAGCTGAGTGAGGGGCTCGTTAGGTGTGCTGGAGGTCACAGACTACGGCGGTAAGACAGCGGTAAAATAAACGATCGATCTGGTGATTTTGACACACGGAGACGCGTATTTGTCCGTGACTCTGCATCTTTTTTGAAAACGGGTCTGCAGGTGGATATCTGGGTCGTTGGTGTAAACAGATCAGTCCGGAAAAGACGGCGACCTCATAGCGCCCCCCAACCCACGTTGTCACACACACAGCAACAACAACAATGGCGGTAGCTGGGGTGATTTTGTTTTTGTTCCAGCAACTACAAATATGGACGGACAGGAAGGAAGTCGACCTTGAATGTACATTCTCTGTTTTTGGTGCTTTGTGGCAATTTCACAGCGTCACCTTTAGGCCGGGCGTAGGTACTACAGGAGTTTGCGCTGTCATATAAATGCACTAAGCCTATTTACAATACGACGTGTAAACAGCGATAGATGTTTTGGTGCCGACGCCAAGACAATTTGTCACCCCGCTGTAGTCCGTAATGGACTGGCCTGAGGTCTCTCTACTAACAAGCGTCTGCTGGAAGAGAGTAGGTGAGTTGTGTTTAGTCTCTTTGCTAAAGAAATGAGTCAAAGTTAAAAAGATGTTTGGTGTCTAGTACTATGTCTGGGACCCTATATGTCCTAACCTGAGTAGATCATGGTGTAGTTCAGTTCAGTAACAGAACCTCATTGGAAAATTATCTGATTTAACTTTACTGTGCTCTTGTTCAAATATATTAACTCGACAGCACATAAATCCATACCTGTTAACAAAATCATGATTTTATTGATAATTCGGCTCAATAAAAACACCTTTACCTTTTCATTTTACTACAGTAGAAGTTTATTGGCCCAGATTATAGACTACAGAGGTGGAGAAACGCCCCGCTTAACTTTATGTTTTCTTAGGAGTTAGAACAACTCTGAATATAGTACTATGTCTGTGACCCTGTATGTCCTGTTGATGAAGTTAGGTGCTGTTCTGAGCATTATTTGTGGCTATAGAGTGGCGTTTTGGTTGGGGGCGTGGCTCTCTGTATTGCTATCGTGCGGTCGTTACTAAAGTTGGTATAACTAGAGAAGCAAGCGGTCGACAACATTCATCTCTGATGGGGGTGTCTATCTCGGCGTTGACCCTAAATTAATATCCCTCTAAGTTGCAGACGACAGTGGAGCTCCGGGTTCATCTTTGTGAGGTGAGACGGACGACGAGGAGACGGAGGGGACGTCTGTCGTTCATTCAGAGGAAAAAGTGCGACAGCAGCAGGATGGATGGCTGCAGCCGGAGAGGAGGGCCGGGAATCATTATCCGAGGAGGCAGATGGAAAGAGAAAAGAAAAAAGAGGAGAGAGTATGAAAGCCGGTAAAGTAAAAAAGCCGTCCGTGAATAAATTAGCCGCTCTCCTCTGGGATTACTAATGTAATTATTTGAACGAGGGTTCTCATTAGGATGTGCAGAGGTGTGGAAGACCTGCAGAGACAGAGCGGCGAGGGTTTAGCTACTGGAAATTAACTCTCCGCTCCGGGCGCTATAATTGATACGAGACACAGATACCTTTGATTGGAACAAAAGGAGAAGAAGCAGGACGGGGAAAGTTTCCTCGCCGCCTCTAATTTCGCTGCTTAGGAACAAAAAATAAATGAGGAAAGACAAAAGGATGGAAAAGAGGAAGCAAGGTCACAGATAAGGTTTTATTCAATCAGTGGATAATCTCTCAGAACCAGCAGAAACTTCAGGGTTTAAGAAAGAAAAGTATTTTACATTTTTAGAGTTTCTTTTTCTTTTTTTTTTTTTTTACCCAACAGTTTAAAAAAACCTCCACAACACCATATGAACGCTTTTATCCCAAAATGATATATGCACCTTTGAAAACGAGACCCTCGGTTCAGAGCGCTGAAAGAAAAAGGCTCCAGCAGGTAAATAAATTATTAATAATCCTGAAAAAACAAAACACAACAATCTGCTTTCTAGTTGGAGCTGTCGATCATCTCCTCTTCTTCTTCTTCTTCTTCTGTAGGCGTCCCTCTTCTTCTTCTTTCAAACGGCACGTACCTCATTTTGGAACAAACCTCTTCATATGCAGATTGTCTGAGTAGCAGAAGTCATTAACTCCTTTAAGCATGCCTCAAGAAAGAAATCAATAAATAGTACTGAACTTTTTCTTTCTTAGAAAAAACAGGAAACACATAACACGGCTATTGAAGCAGGACGGCATCAAAGTGGAGACGTGGAAATGAGGAAAACAGACAGCTCTCGATCAAAACTTGGAGATGAAAGTTCCTCCCAGATTTGGGTTTTTAAAATCTCTTTCCCTTTATTCCTTTTTCCTCCTTCAACGACTTTAATTAAGTTTGTGTTTTAATTCAACCGCAAACATTCAAACTATCAAGACGAACCCCGATCGAAAGTCCGCACTTCATCCCCGAAATCCTGCAGCTTTGAAGAGCAGAGCTGATATCTGGTGCCAGATTTCAACAAAGAACCATCACATGGTCCTCTGATCCATCAAAACCAATTAGTGGAGTGGGGTGTGTTACTGGGAGAGCGGCGCCGCGGCGTGTTTCTGAGGAACAACGGAGGTGTGGAGCAGAGGGAGTTTTACCTGTTTGACTGACTTACAGGAAGTTTATCGAATATTCTCAAAAAAAGAAAAAAAGAGTTTTAGTCGGAGTTTGATCAGCAGAGATTCCGCTAAAAATCAACTCAGATCACATCCTGTTAGAGCGAAAAAGGGCGACTCTCACTGATCAGCTGGACCACATTAATATTCTTCATCGAACTGGTGTGTTTACGATCATTATAAATCTTCCACATGATAGTAGGAAAACGTCAGATTAGACACCTCACCCCTGAGATTACAGCGAACTGTCCTCCGCTCTCAGCTGCTCAGAGCTGCGCTGTGAGCTCTAATCCTGACGGCTCTCAGGTGAGGATGGAAAGGTCCTCATTGGTTTATTATGGAGTCGCATTTTATAACCTTCTGGAGCGAGGAAACAAAAGGCATGATGGGAAAAATAAATCAGTGCTCCATCGTGTGTAATGTACGGAAGAGGATTAGGGCCACTGAGAAAAAAAAGGTCTGATATAATAATTATTTTTAAATTTTTTAAAATGTTTATTATTATTATTATTATTATTTTTGTTGTTGTTGTTCTGAGAAAAAAAGTCTGAATTCTGAGATTAATCTCATAATAATAATAATTTCAAAAAAATTATATCAACCTTTTTTTCCCCCCTTTTGTTCAGTGGCCCTGATCGTCTTCTATAATAAAGGCAAAGCCTGTAAGTGATCAGATTTTTCATTTTTATTAAAGGTTCACTGATGTAAACATAGTATTAACTCTGTGAACTCACATTGTTTTTTAAATTATTTTTCTGAGATAAAAAAGTCGTAATTCTGACTTTTTGATAATTAAAAAAAATTATATCAAACCTTTTTTATTTCTTTTTTTTTTAGTGGCCCTAACCATCTTCTGTAATAATGACAAAGCTTGTAAGTGATTAGATTTTTTATTATTATTATTATTATTATTAAAGCTGCACTGATAAAAACATCAGCAGTTTTTATAGTGCAGCTTATTTTCCACGATGAGACGATACTCGCTCTGCAGAGCTGTTTGAGGACCGATTAAACTTAGTAAATTAGGAAACGTCGTTTTCTGCTAAAATGGGAATAATTGTAATCCTCAAACTGACCCTTAAATTAAAGACACAGATAATCTGCCTCTAATAAAAGCCTGTTTCATATAAAGGCCTGGCACCTTTGTTTACAGTACGAAAACTGGTGTCACTTTAGTTCAGCTGAGATGTTTGTTTTCTGCCTTAAGTGCTTAAATTATCTGTAATCTTTGCCTCCATTTTTTAACAGTGGACCCCAAGTTAATTGTAGACCAGATTAAAGTCCTCAGTTTTCAGGTCTTCTAACTCCAACTGCTCCACGTCACGTTTGCATGAATCACAGTCAGTCAGCGTCGCTCTAACAAGTGCACCGCCTCCTCCGTTTCTCTGCAGACATGTTTTTTTTTTTTCCTGGGCGAGCAATCCTCTTTTCTCTCCCTCTCTCTTTTTTTTTTTTTCGCCGTTTGGAAACATTAAGACGTCAGGCGGCAGAACGAGCGCTGATGTGCTGAAGAGGCGAGAGTGAAGCGCGAGTAAAACCTCAGCCGGAGGGAGCGTTCAAACATAATGTCGAAGAGCACGGAGATCAAAGTGTGACGGGGTCTTGTTATGCCGAGCACATTCAGACTCTCAGTGAGGATTTTATCATTCAGAAAATAAATAAAAGCTCTTCTTTAAAAGCTCAGACGAACGCTCTGGGACACGAATCACAAAGATGAGCCGACCTGCTTCTTCACAGAGAAGAAGAAAAACACAAGAAGATTTACACCGCAAAGAAAAGGCTACAACCACACAAATATTAACAGGTTTCTTTTGAAAAGCATTGCAAATACTTGAAAATCTTCAAGAAAAGTTATTTTTTCTTTACAGTGACAGAGAACATTTACATGGACCAGTTACAGTACATTTAATTACAGCGTCACTCCTCGTAGAAAGGACCGAAAGTTCAGTTTCTCGGCTAAAAGCACAGTCCAGAAGAAGCCTCCGCATGTAGCACCTTTGCTTCATGCTATCCGGGTCCAAAAGTCCAGAAATCCGAGATCACAGCATGAAATATTCAGAGGGAAGAGCTGCGCGTGGTTTCCCCGCATCCTCTTCCTCCTCTTCGTACGTTAACAGGCTTATGAGGGCTGTAATGAGGCCCAGGGGAGCCGTGTCAACATGTCTGACACTCCGGCTCTCTAACCGCCCCTGGCAGAGACCTCTGGCTGCCCTCACACACTCGCTTTGATCACACACATGCACCCAAGAAGAAAAAAACAAGATTATAACACACACAGGCCTGAGGAGCGGAGAGGAAGAGGAAGAAGGAGAGAGAGAGAGAGAGAGGCGAAAAAGACGGAAAAATTCATGTTCAAAACCAGGAGAGGAGAGAAGGTTCGGATTCTCCCGGTGAGAGTTTCAGAGCGGCGAAAGCGAAGTTTCGTCGACGCTCTTTAAAATGAAAGTGGAAATAAAGGAACACAGACATCCAGGAGTCCTGTCTCTTTAAGAGCAAAGTCAAGATTGTCAGTGCAAGTCACGTAAAGAGAGCGCGTCCTCGGCGCTGTCGGACTTCCTGTTTCATCCCCGTGTCGTCTTCGAGATGAAAAAATGTCGGCGCATGAAATTACAATAACGTTGTTGATCCTCTTCGTTTCCTCGCAGTTCGTGTCTCGCCGAAAAACACACCCGTGTCGTATTTACAGATTTCGGTGCGCGCTGCCCACCGACCTCACCTACCTCTCCGGGCTCCCTTCTCCTGATTGGCTGCTGGCGTTTGGGCGCCGGCCTCCTCTAGTCATGTGGTCCGAGGGTTCGGGAGGTCGAAGACGATGGGTGGGTTCATGGGCAGGAAGTTGACGGTGCAAGCGGAGGCGTTCACGAACGTCGTGGTGCCGTCCGTCATCATGCCGTAACCTGAGGAACAGAAAAGGTAAACAAAGTTACAAACGGACCAATCACAGCGCTGACAGTCTGTCGCTCCGATACATGGGAGGAGCTTTTTGGGTCGGGCTGAACGATTACTTTGCGATTAAATTGCCAAAATGCGATTTTCAAACCGCAAAGGCTGCGATGATCTGGTCATGTGAGAAGTCAACACTACACTCTGTCGCGTTGCCGCCTAATTTCGCCACGGAAGCTGACACTGCAGGAAGTACCAAAGACGAGCAGCGCGGCGGTCGTGTGGATTTATTCCGGCTAAAAAAGATGCTGCTGCGCAACGTGTGCAGAACCTGCCGCGCTGCTGTCGCTCCATCAGGGGGCGACACGACGAATACTTATCAAGACCTGCAAAGTCATGGACGATAGTTGAACGGCTAAAACGTCAACGACCAACGCTTCAACTTTCAACCACGTCGGAATAACGATGGAAAATGAATGGACCAATTATATTTCGCCATCAGAACGTAGATTAGAATCATGACGTGTATGATGGCGCGTGCATGTGTGTGCACGATAGTGTGTGAGCAGAGAGAGCCTGTGTGTGTGTGAATCTTCATAGTCCGGTTTTCATCGGAATAAGGCGATAATTCGTGTTTTCTCGAGTGTCATGGAAACGGACTGACTGTCTTTTGTTGTTTATATTAAAAAAAGTTCTATATGCTTGTTAAAAACTGGAATGTGTATTTTTTGCATTTATTTATTTGCTTTTATGTAAATTGAATTTTCACATTTAAGGCCGTAAATGTTCTTGTTTGCGTGACGGATGTATAAAATAAATACAAATACTGTGAAAAAATTTTCCACCTTCTCAGGAATATTTTTCCTCTTCTTTTAAACAAACATCATAATAATAATAATAATAATAATAATAGATTTTATTTGTAACGCACTTTACATCTGAAAACAAATCTCAAAGTGCACAACGAAAACAGAAAAAAAAAGACAATAACAGTAAAATCAAACAACAGGACAAAAACAATAAAAACAGTCAGCAGATTAAATTAGTCCGAAAGAGGAAGGTTTATATCAAAGATAATTTGTCATGTGATGAACAGAGTATCTGAGAATCGCTCTCTCATGATACCATCGTTATCATGTACAGAAGCGTTTTGTCGTGGGGAGTTCACTAAAGTTGTATGTTGTGATTTTTCTTTCCTCACTTAAGTGTCCTCCTCTTTGGCGTTGTGGAAATGGTCACCCCACCCATGAAACTACAATCCAAGTTTGGGCCATCGAACGGACGCCACCCGCTCTGACTGTTCTGTGAGAAAGTTTCGTCCGCCGTATTTATTTGAAACGGACCGTTTTTCTCCCTCCTGCTGTCACGGCGTGTTTTTATTGTCTCGACTTTCCCTGAAAATAGACCACAGTTGTCTCGTCACTCTCGCTGTTTTCACCACAGTTTTCTCTAAAAGTGTTTGCCGCAGATTCGCCACCTGCCTCTCTCAGGCGTTACATTTCAGGGAGAAACTAATCACTAAATAAATTTCTGTTCTCAGAGAGAGACTACCGAACAAACAAAAACTGTGTTAAAGAAAAAACACAAAAAAACGTCAAAGTTTTCCTGCAGATTAAACATGTTAGACTGAAAATAAAACCAGGGTTGGAGTTCGGAGATGAATCCTCCATAGATGCTTTTTTACATTTCATGTTTTCATCTAATTTCTAAGATTTGATTTAATTAAAATCCTGCAGGAAATTCCTCCTCATATAGACGCCGATAAATAAAAACGGTCAAACTGAACTTGGAGGCGGCGCCGGGGTCTGCTTCTACGATAAACACACAAAAGCTGTTAGTATCACAGCTCCTCTTCGTCTCTAAAAAACTGTGAGGATCCAGTTTGAGCAAATGTATGCATGAGAGTGTGACACTAACACCACTACAGCTAAAAGAATCTGTGCTCGAAAGCCTCTTTGGAGCAACGCCGCTTCCAAATGGCAGATCTGAAAGTGTGACCATTTTGTCGAGCATAAGTTAACAACCATCTCCAAAAAAGTAGTGCAGTTTAACTCTGCACCATCAGTGATTCGGTGGAGTGTAGGTGTCGCTTTTCAGCAGCTCTTGGAACAGATCTCTGCGTGTCCGCGCCGCTCTTTTTCCCGATCCCCGAATACATGAATAAAAACACTGAGGGGATAATTTATGTCTTTATGAATTTCTCTCCTCTTAATCGTATAAAGAGAGCGGCTTTCAGCGCCGCGCTCCTCCTTTAAAAGCTGATCTAGTTTTCTAATCTGGTTCCTCGCTGAAGGGGGACGGCGGCTCCAGGGGCTCGGCGCTGACCTGATAACCCTGAAAAAGCAAACCTGAGTCCGGGGAGGCGGCCTCTCTGCCCTCGCTGGCCTGGATGAAATGCTGATGGGCATCTGGAAGCTCATTTCTCTGATAATTTCTTCAAGCTTGGTGCAGAATTTCCATCTCCTCCGAGGTTACGAGGAAAAAGACGGAGTTAGCAGAAGAGTTTCGAGGACTTGAGTCCGGCCTGAGTCCTGATGTTCAGCTCTTAGTATGGCGGTTTTGGATTCGGACTCCTGACGTCTAACTGGTGTGCGTGTTAGTGATGGACTTCTGCTCAAACGCAGTGACACACCAGATTTTTTTTACCACCATCACACTAAAACAGGATTTCCACTCCATCCGGAACAGCGGTCATTTTTGCCGTACGCCAATTCCTACCGGATCATTTGTGAGGCGAATTTCGTTAATCTCAGATTCACGTTCAATCGCACGATAACGAGTTGTCTCTCTAAAGACAGACACATAGACATATCAGCAGTAGATTGTGTCCTTCCAGAGGAGGAAATCTACTTCTAGACTTCTAGAATCAGCATCTCCTCATCCATGGTGTCATCGGGGTGAAATGACGTCTAAAAACCTTGCGTCGCCTGAAACACAGAGTGTTTTATTTTGAAAAGAAGCCGGATGTTTTATTTTGTGTCTGTGCCCGACTTCCTTTCCAGCACGGGTTAATCTGTGCTGAATTTATCCGCCATGCTCCGGCGTCCAGAAAAAATAGAACTCTTGTGATCAGCTGAGGAGTCCGGCGATCCGCAGAGGAACGGAAAGAAGTCGGTGTAAATTGACACGTTAACTTGAATGGTTACGATCAGCTACGATCGGAGGATACGACCTTTTAGGAGACGATCAGGATGAAGGTGGTTACACGTAGAAATCAGGAGGACCTGAAATCTGACAGACTGTCTCAACAAAAGCTGCAGAAAACCGTCACCCTTAAAGCTCCTGTGAGGAACTTTTGTTTTGTGCTGACTCTGGCGCCCCCTGTGGACAAAGCCGTCTTTGTTTATGTGTGAGAGTGTGTTTGGTTTAACAGGAGGACTCTACTGCTCTGATGGACACAAACGTTTAAAACAAACGTCGTTTTTTACTGTTTGACACACGCAGGAGTTTAAACACGTCACTGAGTTTCTGTAAATGTTTAAAATCATCAAAGTTTGAACCGTTTTTATGTCTCTGATCGTAGACGTACCTTCATGAATGTGTCCGAACACGTGTAACTTGGGCTGGACTCTCCTCTGCACCGTGTTGAGCAGCTCCATGCAGCCCACACGCTGCATCTTCTTTGGGACCCAGTCCAGGAAACCTGCGAACAGAGACCAGGAATTTAGAAAACCAGAAACACAGACGGACAGAAACTGGATCAGAGTCAGACGGTCAGACGGTCAGGCTCGACTCCGTCAGCTGCTTTATTTACAGTCTGATTTAAAGTATGTGGTGTTTTTTTACCTGGTTTCACGATAGATTAAAAAAAGGCCAAGCAGCTGATGCAGATGGACAGAAGGAGGCAGTAGAGAGTAAAACATGCAAATTTCGAGTATATCATAATTTTAGTGTTGATATTGATTTATTGGAGGTGAAGAGACTTAATCTGCAGATACAACCTGGACTCAAACTCAGGCCGGGCGATATGGGCTAAAAATTAATCATGATAAGATTTGTCTGTCTGGCGGTAACGATAAAAGTATAATTGTAATCTCTATTTTTGACTCATTTTGTCTTGAGAACACCAGTTGGAGTCGTCAAATAAGAAACTGATCCACAAGATTGAGTGGTTGGTTATGAAGAAAACGAGTGACAAACAAGTTTAAAACTCTGATTACACAGAGTGAAGAGCAGCGGATCCTCTCTCTGATGTCAGGCAGACTTGATCGGACTCGTCTAAACCCCGATCTTGAAGGAAATCCGTCATCCGTCATCGTTCAGTAACAGTCCCTCACACTTACATCATCAACTTGCATTTATCGTATTTATCATGAAACAGCAAATATTTATCATGGAGGATTTTTCTGACGATTTATCGTGAACGATAATTTATCGCCCATCCCTAACTCAAACGTGTTTTTAAATTCAGACTTAGTCTACGTTCAGACTGCAGGTTAATTCTGATGTTTTAACCATCTGTGACTCATATCTGATGTTTTCATCTAAGTGTGAACAGGTCAGTTCTGATTGGTTCTGATCCGACCCAGGCCTCTTCTGTATGTGGATATAAATCTGATATGTATCTGATGTGACTGCAGTGTGGACGCTCAGGTCGCGTTTATCGACCTTTACGTCATCAATATGAGACAAACGTCACCGTTGTTCGACGACACAAACAGGAGCGGGAAGATATTTGTGTTTTGTGAGCATGCGGGTCACTTCACGGACAGATTGAACTAAAAATGTATCATAACCTGCCGTGTGAACGAAGCCTTTATTTCAGTTTAACTTTTCCTCTCTTCTATTTTCATCTTTTAAAACAAAATCAAATTAAAACTGATTAAACTGATTAAAGTTGATTATTTTTGTCACTTTTTAACAGAAAAAAAAATCGTTTTTTTTGGTTGATGGTCGGCAGCAGATCTTCTTTTAAATCTCACAAATCAAACTTCAATGTTTTTAATTCGTGCACTTAAAAGGAAATTATGTAAAGTATCAAAAATAACCTTAAATCAGTTTTTAACTGAATATTTTCTTTGCAGACAAAAGCGAGTCAAAATAAAAGTTCAAGTTTTTCATGTTTTATTGATAATTTTTTATAATTTTCTGTTTTTACTTGAAGAAAAAACGTGAATAAAAAAGTTGAAACCTCATAAATTGTTTGTTTTACCGTCAGAGTCGCACGTTTGTAAGATCTGACTCATAAATCTGACGTCTGATGGAGGATCGAGGACGTGCACGTTTCTGTCTCTGAGCGTTTTTTCTGTTCCTCCGTCTTCAAACAGCCATACATCACATTTTAAATGAAGCTTTCTCTGTTTCAGACGACAAACTGCACATCGCAGCACAAAAAAAGAGAAAAAGCAGCTGTGGAAAATAAAGATCAATCACAGACACACACAGACGCAGACTTCACAGTGTGTGTGTGACAGCGACGAGGCGTGGTGGAGTGGGTATGATTTAGTGGCGGCTCGGCGAGGACGGATGCCGCCGCCGCTGATGCTGAGTCAATAAAAGCATCAAGACGCAGAAATAAAAAGACTGAGGAGCCCGCGCTGCCATCTTTCCCGCCTTCTGTCGCCCTGCCCAGACGGAGAGAGGAGAGCAAACAGGATGAAGAGGAGGGAAGTACAGACGAGGGAACAAAAGAAGCAAAAATAAATAACGTACAGAGAGGCCGTATGTTCGTGTTTGCTGAGTGTCCTCGGAGCTGCGACTCAGGGAACGCCAGGAGAGGCCGAGGTTTGGGTCTGAGATGATGTGGGTCATCAGAAAATGTCAGATTTTTACTCTGAGGAGCAAAAATATCCAAATAAATCTGCAAAAACGAAGTTCAGAGCTGAAATATTTGATAAAATAAACCAGGATGTCGACAGACAGATGTGCAGGTTTTTACCCCGAGTGTTTAATGACATCTCAGAGATTAAACTTTAAACTTGATGAGAGTCAAAGGATAAAATAAGACAGAGGGTTCTCTTTTATAAAAGGTAGGAGCTAAATATCTGTACGAGGATGAGCACGTCTCGAGTTTTTACAGGAAAGTTCGACCTGAAAGTCGTTTTAAAAAACAACTTTAACTCGGTACTGAAGGTGAGGACTTGGTTTTAGGGTCCCGATGTGGTCTCAGGTCTGTCGAGGAAAATCAGAATTTAGTTTCAGAACTTTAAAAGTCAACAATTGTCAAATTTCAGATCTTTCAGAGCAGGTCCAGGTTTTCAAGATTCACGGGAAAAGTCGAGATTTCAGACTTTAAGGTCGAGTCAAAACCACGTGTCGTTCTTTAAGACGTCGTCTAGTTGACTCTAAACATTCATGATCCTCGAGTCTCAAACCTGGCGAACATCTTAAGGGCGTGAAAAAACCAGGTCTCAATGATAAAGGAGAATTACGCAGAAAAAGGGATATTTATTTATCGATGCCTGTTTGCGAAGTGACGTCGGCCTTTGGGGACAAAATAAATGTCTCTAAATACGACGTACTGCACCTTTAAAGAACAGAGATAATAATAAAGATAATAAAATAGATAATATTGAGTTTTTATGGGGAAAAAAAGTGAAGTCATGTTTTTAAAATCTTTAAATTCTGCAAAAATCTGCATCTCTGCGTCGACATGAAGATCTTTAAAGTCCTGAAAGGAACCACGTATTGATTTAATAACTCATTTATAAATAAAGATAAAGACTCTGCAAGCTCGACATTTAAAATAAATGATAAATTACTTTTGAATTATAAAAAAATCCAAAAGTAAAAAGTTTGAGTCTGAACTGTTGAGCGGTTTTTCGTCTGTGAGTGAGAAGCTGACGGTTCGGTTGGATTCAGTCGTCGAGGAGAAAGGAAAGTGAAAAGGAAAAGACCCTCCTGGGATCACTCGAAGTTTCCTCCTACATTTTTATTTTTCACCAGCAAACCGAGCGCTAAAAATCTCACTCAAAGCAAAGTTAATGGACCCTCTCGTACTCCACACAGTCATCAAATCTCCTGTGTTCTCGGGCTGGCGGTGAATCAGTCACGCCGCTAAAGTGAAACAGTCGACTACTTTATCCTCTAAATGGATCTACCTGGAAAAAAAAAGGATAGAATAAAAAAATCTGATGTGGAGTGAGGAGCCTTAAAACTGTGAGCGTGTTCTTTACAAGCCTTCAGAGACGCTGGAAGTGAAGTGAGAAGTTACGAGGGCTTTTTGTGTCTCGGGGTATTTTGCTCTAATGTGCCGCTTGTTTCAAAGCAGCTGCTGCTTTGGGCACCGAGCCTGTTTTCCTCTTTTTGTCTCACTCTCTCTCTCTCTCTCTGTCTCTCTCTCTCTCTCTCTTTCTGCTGTTAACTTCTTCCTAACAGCCAGATAAAGAGGCCATATTTTCCCTTTTTTTTGCCGACGATCTGCTGGTTTATCGCACCTCCTCGTAAAAGAAGAGATGCTCTGCTGCAGTTTGAAACAACATCTTGCTTTTACTCCGTCTCCTTCACCTTGTTCGTCTGTTGTTTGTTGTTAAATTCAAGATTTTTGCCCCGAGTGGCTGAAAAAAAAATCTGTCTGTACTTCTTTTTTTTACTCTAATGTCATCGTTTTCCTGACGACGTGTTCGTGTGTTTGCAGACGATCTGCTGGTTTATCACTTCATCAGGGGCAGGGTACTTCTTTAGAAGAAAAACTGAGATAGTTTTCTGTTTTTTAAGGGGGAATTAAAGGGATATTCAGTGTTTTTAAAGTGAGAATCTGCAGGAGGACGGGCATGAGAGGTAGGCTACAGTTTTTAGCAGACGGGGTCAAACCAGTCTCTTTGAGCGACTGACCAAGACCACGACTTTTTTTAAGTGTACAGTCAGTCGGAGAAAGGTAGATCGCCTTCTCCAGGTCGGAGGATCTTGTTCAACGGGAGATCGACAGGCGGATCGGAGCGGCGTCAGCAGTGATGCGGACGCTTCACCGATCAGTGGTGGTGAAGAAAGAGCTGAGCCGTAAGGAGAGACTCTGGATTTAC